TTTCCAATCAAATTTCACTGATTGAAATCGCAAGAAGAGAGCCACTGAAAAACCAGTAGATTTTCACTGATTCAGTTTTAGAGAGATTTTTTTGAAACAAACAAATAATTTAATTAAAACTATAATGCATTTGAAATCAATGAAATAATTTAATTAAATCAAACAAAATGTGTTGTGCGAACCTGATTTTTTTTAGCTAAACAATACCCTTAAGAAGGTTCAACCTATGAATATAACCCCAAACTAAAAAGTAGTTTTTACTTTTTAACAGAACTAAAAATATATTTAAAATGAATTTCACCCAAATTCCAGAAAATCATTTAAACAATTAAAAAAAAAATTATTTTGAGTTAAAATTTATTGTTAAATAATAATTAATAAACATTTTGTGTTTTTTTTTAAAGTTTGTGAACAATTCTAATTTTTATCTAATTTTTATAAACAATGGCTTATTTTTCTCTTTGAAATATTCTCTACAATTTAAATTTTGTGCTTTTTTTAAATAATGATTTGTTTAAAAAATATAAAATATAAAAATATTATTTGTTTATTAATTATTAAACAAAATATTGTTAATAAAATTCAACGAACAGAATTGTAGAATATCTTTCAAAGAGCAAAATGAGCTATTGTTTGTAAGAATTGGATAAAAATTACAATTGTTCACCAACTTTAAACAAAAAATATAAAAAGTAAAATAATTATTATTTAATAACAAATTTTTTCACAAAATAATTTATTTTAAAAATCGTACAACTGAATCTATTATAAATGACAATATTAGAATAAGTAAAAGTTCGATTAAAAACAATTCCATCAATTTAAAATTCTTTTTTATATACATTTTTCTAAAAATTAATTCTGTGATAAATGAAAATTCAATAAATATAAAATTTCGGCTGATTAGAAATTCTGTTATTAAATCAGAATTTCGCTAACTAAAAATTCTTCGATATGAAAAATCGATTCAATATACAGTAGAATTTCGATTATCCGAGGTAATGTGGGGAAGAGGCACCCCGGATAAGCGAAAACTCGGATAACACGGAATAAATACCTAAAATTCAAAAATTTTAGTTATTTTTTTTATGTATCTACACGGAGAGAAATCTGGTGCGATTTACGCATGAGCATGTCCTTAGGAATATAGTAACAGACGCTTTCAAGCAAAAATCCTAAGTGAGCGAGGTATTATTGTATGAGTCTCACCTGATATTCAGATGGAATCTTATAGTTTTTGCTTGGAAGTGTCCATGCTATATTCCTATGGACTTGCTCATGCGCAAATCGCAGCAGATTTCTCTCCGTGTAATGTGCTACAAAGAAAATTAATCACAAATGTATATAAAAGTTGAAATCTAATGAACGTAGATTAACTTTTGGGAATAATAAAATTATTGTTAATGCATATCGGTTCCATCCGTTTTATCCGAGTTTTTCCGTATTATCCGAGCATGCACCTCGTGTTCGGTGCCTCGGATAATACGGAATCTCGGATAATCGAAGCTCGGATAATCGAGATTCTACTGTAAAGTCCACTTTATAAAATTCTGCTAATTAGAAATTCGATAATTAACTAATTCGACGCCACAAAAATTCCTACAAGCCTAATGTGGGGAATATTCAAGCGTCCAAACAAAACTTTTGTTATTTCATCAAACAAAATAGATTTAAGTAAACTGCATCGTTAAATCATTAAATCAAATAAACCTTTTCCCTGAGTTCATACATAAAGTTTATGATTCTATACTAAATACTGAAATCGAACAAAAGAAAATACCTACTGAAAATATAATACATCGAAAGTTAGACGAACAAGACAATTTGTCCCCTTAGTGCTAAATAATGACGTAGTAAATATATATATATATATATAAAAGGGACTCGAAAAATTTTGGAAGGCGTGACGCTAATTTTAAAGGAACCCATTAACGGTATAAGCGCGTCCCTGGTCATTAAGATACGAGTAAGTGCTACTAAGTGTCCCCTGGATAAAATACACTGGGTCGAGAGGCAACATCTTAGCTTCACACATAAATGCGTATACACCTATATAGAAACCGTTTTCATCAGAGTCAAGAGTTGAAGCCAAATATAGAGGTGGGTGGAGAGAAAAAAAAGTGAACAAGAGGAAGAATAGAAGGAGCCTTTAGTTATATAGTGCGCTATGCCAATAATGGCAATATATTGCGGATACCGCAGTACCATAGAGTCGTATTGCCATTTTTATTGCTTATAATCGCGGGGTGAGCATTGCTCTTTGATAGTTCGCGGAAAAGCGTAATTTCTATTCAGTATATATCCATGTATGACAATATGAGGCCACTACTATATAGAAGTACCAGATTACTTTTTGCTAGTTTCATTGTTAGACTATACTGAAAAATCAGTACCTAGAAAAAGCGACTAATTTTCTTAAAGAAGAATGTGCGGAAAATAGTAAAATAACTTGTAACAACACTGAGAGAAACAATTGGTTGCGATTACCATTTCGTTAGTAAGAGTATTGTTGCTAATTTATATTAGTTACTGTTACCATTCAGTTAGTAAGGTACACTCTCAATTTGAATCAGTGAAATAACTAGAAGTCGATTACTGAATCATTTAGTGAAATTTTCACTGAAAATCAGTCATATATCACTGATTTTCAGTGAAAATTTCACTAAATGAATCAGTTAACCTGTTTTACTTATTACCGATAAAACAATTTCACTAAATGATTCAGTAACCGACTTCTAGCTATTTCACTAGTGAAATTTCACTGATTCAAATTGAGAGTGTAACTAATTAAATAGTTATTCCAACAAACTAATTAGTTAAACCAACTAATAAAATAGTTACGCCAACTAATAAAAATAGTAACCACAACTAATAAATTAGCAGCAGTATAGTTTACTAACTAAAAATGGCCACCTCAAAAATGGTAACCCCAACCAATCTTTTCTCTCAGTGAAGTAGTATTATCTTCTTCTATAAGATTAACACAAAAAATTTCTAAAATTGTAAGGACAGTTTATGCTTTTTAGCAAGACGATTTATGCTCTCAAAAAACTTGTAACAAAGCTACTTTTTGAGATAATGAAGTTTAAAAAATTGACTATTTTTATCAGATTAAAACATGCAATATTTATAAAGATGAAGTTCGTTCTTCATGGTTAATGATCTTGAACGAACTTCATCTTGTATATATATTAACCTAATAAAAATATATCCAATTTTTTAAACTTCATTATCTCGAAAAGTTTTAACTAATTTAAATTAATGACTCACTTTTTGCTTCTGAATTAGTTAAATTTTACTAATTATATAGTAAAAAAATTTTTCTTTATTATTAATTAGTTAAATTCGAGGTTAAATTTTATTAATTCAAAAGCAAAAAGTGAGTTACTAATTCAAATTTGTTAAAATTTTTCCTAATTAAAATGTAGAGATAAAATTTAAAGGGGTCAAAATAAAGGTGGTGCATCCCCTTAATACGAATTTTAATATCAGATAACATTTTTGAAATGCTTTTATACATTTGAAATTTTTTCAGTTTATACTATATAGTATCTTTAATTTTGAAAACAATAATTTAATAGAATATATGATTAACTTACATTAAACTGCACTCAGCTGTACCCCATTCTCCTCTGATCACCTTCAAGGAGAAGCTCCGGAACAAACGCCTTTCCACCAAGAAGACATACCTGCAAATTGCAAAAGAAAAACTACTTTTAAATAAAATTCTTTATTTAAAAAAACAAAATTTAAAAAAAAATTCAATATTATTTTTTCTAGCACAGTGTTTCAAACTTTATAAATAAATAAATTAAATTCCCAGTAAATAAAATTTAATTATTTTAAAATTAGTTCACAAAAAAAATTTTATTTCTTTATTTTTCATTTATTTTTAAAAATATAGATATTAAATTAAAAAATGTATGGTTTGATTCTCAGTGGCCATCTATGAATGCATTCAGATATTAAAAACTCTTATCAACTGAAGAGTTAAGCGAAGAGAAAATGCGACATTATCTATTGCTGGTAAATGAATATTAATAATAATTGTAAATAAATTATTATTCATTTAAAAAATATACTCAATTTTGACAAAAATAAATGCAACTTTTACATTTTTATATTTAAAATCGAAATGTTTTGACGTGTATAATAAAAAGAATCTTCTATATCTTTTGCAGTTTAAAGTGTTTTCTTTAATTTTATGTACTCTAAACTTTATTTTTATATTATATTAATAGTGTTTATTTCCTGACACTTGTAGATGATATATGAGAATAAAAAAAAGGGAAAGTGAAATAGAACTTTCTTACAAAACCACAAATCTATTTAATTACATAAATTCCAAATACAGCTGTCAACTTTCATAACTAAAATGCATATGTTTAATTTTATGTTTTATTTACTTTCTACAATAAACAATATAGATAAAGAAAGTTGACCATGTAATATTGTAACAAATAGAACATCAATTTTTTTCAAAAAAAAAGTATTTTCGTTATAGAAATTTTTTTATACAATTTTCAATATAAATTTTCATTTTCTATATAACAAGAAAAAAAAAGTGTTTTTAAAAAAAACTTTTTACGGGATGTATATATGTATATATTATAAAAGTATTAAACAAATCTTTTACTTATATAAAATTCATTTTTTGAAAAGAAAATAGAAATTTAAGGATATATGCAACGTTTTTAAAAACATTTTGGGAAAATCATAATTTAATAAAATATGAAATTGCTATTAAATAAAATTAAAACTCATAATTAATTATTTTGAAATTTTGAATTTAACAGTGTATTGAAAATAAAGTTATTAAATTGTAATTATTTCTGATAAAATAAATCAATTTTTCACACGCTTATATAGATAATTCGAACCTCGTTCTTGTCTACGCACATAGTGAAACAGTAACATCGGCGCAAACTCAGAGTTGTATACGTCATATACAAGTTCTGTTTATTTCAGTGTGGACGTCACAGTCAACCTAGGAACATTTCACAGTGGTCTCTCTCAATATAGTGGCAAATAGGGGAAAACCAGTCTTGTATTCTGTGTACTTGGCACTACTGTGTATTCTTTTGTTGTGTGTGCCATCTGTGTCTCTCTGCTCAGTCGCAGTTCAGCCGATTTAGGCTTTGAGGGACTACTAAATCTATCGAGAATGGCCGCTTGTGCCATTTTCACTTGATTTTTTGTTTTCTAATTTAAAGTCCTTTCGGTCGTGTTTTGCGTTCAAATAAAAATCCTACATAATAATGTGTCTCGTATTTAATTATAAAACTATGTAAATTAGTTGTATTGTTTATTAATATATAGAAGACAAAGAGATCTATGGTTGTAGTGCATTATTGAAAACTGGTGCTTTCTAAACTTCATCAAGATGACGATGACGTCGTGATGATGCAAAAAGACAGGGTTTCGTGAACAACACAGTGACCCGCGAGAGAGTGAGATAATTTTACAAATTTCTCGCGATATGGAGTCCATTAGAAAATGGTTCTACAGACCAAAGGTACGTAAAATATATCTATAACTTCCTCATCATTTCCGACAAAGAACAAAGTCAATTGTCCTCCTCCTTGTCCTCTTTTTCATTTCTCTTCAACATTGAATTTGACATTTAACTCTTTAATAACTACAATTTCCAAGAAACCACCTGTTTGCTAAAAATCTATTTGAGAATTGTAATTGAAAATTATTAATCAGGTCGCAGACTCCATGATCGATTTATGTAGACCGCTTCTATCAAATTTAATTTAATAATAAAATCAAAGACGTTCATTGAAAAAAAAGAAAACTTTTTCTCAATATAAGGACAAAGAACAATATATTTTTTTCTTTGTTTGAAAGTGCCTTATGAAATCAAAGTCTCTTTACAAATATTGATAGTTATCTCAACTACAGGCCAAGGCTTGTGATGAACTACGATTTCCTAAAAAAAAAAAAAATTTCTTGGATAATTTTTGCGAGTGAAAGTCCTGAAAAATATATACGAACCAACTCAAGACACCTTATTTACAAGGTCTATAAATGTATTATACACATATTGTGTTTCAAAGTAAAAATCATTTTAGTTGATCATAAACTTTGACAATTGTACTTGCTCCAAAAAATTCGACAAACACTTTACATTAACTATTCAAAGAGCACAAATTGATCTTTATACGAACATCAGAGCGATAAATATGATTAGATTGTTTTTTCTATTTCTATTAGCTAATTATAACAAATAAAAAAATTTAACAGATAAAATTGTTTGTCGATAAGTTGTTTGAGTATACTAAAAAAATTTCGATAAAACAAGATGTACAATTATTAATCATCAGTCCAAGTAAAATTTTGTAGCACAAAGAAGAATACAATAACAGTTATTTATTTCAAATTACAATTTTTTACTAAAAATTTTCTTTTGTATTACTTTTTTTGTAATTATAATAATAGAAAAAAAAATCAATTGACAACTGAAAGATTCACATTTACTTACACGGAAAACTAAACACCACTTTTATATTTCTCCTAGAAGATAAATTTTTATTAAATTGGACCTGCCAATTCACACGAAATTGCACATAAATTTTCAATTTCATACACTATCTTCTAAATTCACTTTCTATTTTCCAGCTTTCTAATTTGAACTTGTCTATATACATCTGACTTCGAACATATTGCAATTTAAAAAAAAATCCTTTTATCATATTCTCTTTGGCCTTTCTACTTGTGCTGCTTCATATAATGGTTCATTTTGAATAAATTAATTAATATAGTATGCCTCAATAAATTTTCTCCATATATTTAAGTATAAACTCTTTAGATGTTATTTTTTTCACTGTATAGGAAATAAATTTTGTTATTATTGTACTATATCTGCTTTTAATATTGACGGGAGATTTTCTAATTTATAATTTATTGTGAAATACTACCACCTATAGTGCATTGGTTTTTTTTACGATAATTCGATATCGACTGTGGTAATTCCACACCAAGTTAAATAAACCGCTAGACTTGATGTCTCGGACACTATTGTTTTTTTTTTTTTTATATATATATATACGGTTTCAAGGAATTTCATATAAATTGAAATTTGTGGTCATTATTTAAGTGAACTTCCTTATATTTTAGAGATTAACCTGTTGTATACACTGTCATTTATTATAACAACTGTACATGACTCTGTTATCATTTCATTCTACAGACAAATGATAAAAAATAAAGTAAAATTTTATTTTAGAAAATATATTTTTTTTTTATTATATTTGTTATTATGAAAGTATTTTTTATTATAGTGTGATGTCATTTGCTTTATTATATTTATTTATTTCTCTTCATGTATACACTTCTTAGGGAAAATTGTATTATTATAGTAATCCATATTTATTAATATTACACATTGTTTTGTTTTTTATTTAAGATAAATTATTTTTATCTCCTGTATAAACTTTTTAATATAAACTGACTTTTTATTTTATACAATTACACGAATGTTTATATGTTTTGTTAATTAAGTTATTAGTAGAAGGCATTATTATTTAATGATATATACTCTCTAAATCTGAATTAGTAGTTTTCTACTAATCAGGGTGTCCATCAAGAAGTACAAAAAAAATTCCCTGACTTTTTCCTCACTTTTTTACAATTTTTCTTTAATAAATATTTAATATTAAAAAAATGAAAAGTATGAATTATTAAAGTATTTTTAAGATAATAAAAAACATTTTATTTATTAGCTTATTATTATTATTATTCATTCATTCGTATTATTCACTTTTTTTGCACCAGAAAATTTAAAAAATTCATAAAAATGTTCATTTTTGGCAAATTTTTAAAAAGTTCCCTAACTTTTAATCAAATTCCCTGACTTTCCTGATCGCTGGACACCCTGCTAATGAAAAAATGCGGATTCGTTTATCAATTGAATTAGTAACAGTTTTGACTCATTTTTAGTAGAAAACTACTAATTCATGAAGTAAATCGGCTTACTAATTTAAAATACAGGGTGATCGCAAATCAGGGAAAAACTGGAAATCAGGGAAAATTCAGGGAATTTTGTTAGTCAATTCAGTTTTTTTGTTCAGTTTTTTAATTTTGTTATTAAACAATTTTTAATTATCTTACCTTTTCTTTTATGAATAAAATTGTTAAAAGCATTATAAAAATTTCAATCAGCAATGCAGAATATTAAATAATTCAAAAGTTTTTTAGTCAGGGAAAATAAAAAATTAGTCAGGAAAAAGTCAGGGAATTTTGAAAATAAAATTTTACGGCCACCCTGAAAATAGTAAAAAAAAAAATACGATTTACTCCATGAATTAGTAGTTTTCTACTAAAAAAAGAGCGAAAACTGTTACTAATTCAATTGGTAAATGAATCCGTACTCTTTTATTAGTAGAAAACTACTAATTCAGATTTATAGAGTAACAACCGGAAATTTGGTCCACCGAAAATAGTATATTTTGCATTAAAAGATTGACTAAAATTTATTCATTAAAATTTAATCAATTATTTTAAATTTTGTCAAACAATATAAAAAAGAAATTAGTCGTTTTATTTATTTTTTAATTGCAAAAAAAATTTTGAATTGAAATTTCTGAAATTTATTTCAAGAACATTGATTTAATTCAAAAAATTACATCAAATTTAAGAGAAAGTTTTTGTTTAAAATATAAACTATAAAGTATACAATAGAGTTTCAAGTTTCACATAGTGACGGTGCTTTGCAAGCGAACATATGAGCTTTCTACTTTATAGAATAGGGTGTTTGATAGTACAAAGACAGAATGTGAAGGGAAACTCATATTACGCATCCAGATGACTCATATCAGTGTATTGTATGATTATTCTATACGATATAAACTAGCAATAGTTCTTCTCAATATTAATATACTACGTACTATACATTCGTATTAAGTTATCTTTGACAAAAAATTTGTAAACCATTAGAGAGTCAATTTAAAGACCTTAAAATTTACTTTTAGCAATTAATTAATGTGTTCGTTGTGATTTCATATTATGTACATATTCTCCGTATAGGTTTTCACGCAAAATACACGACAGATTGAACTAAAATTTTGTGAAAAACTCAAAAATAGTATAATCCCGAGTCGAAATTTTTCCCTCTTTTCACCCTCGATTTTCTCAGCCTCTTTTCAGCCTGTAATCATGCGCTTATTTCCAAATCTGCATGTTTAGAGGTTGAAAAGAGGTCTTGGAATTTTTTCTTAATTTGAATTTTTCCAAGTTTTATTCCTCCTAAAAGTTTTATAGTATTACGACAAAGACCAATAAATATATCTTCAATAGGTTCAATAAATAATGTCCATAAGAAAAAAAATCCAATTTTTACATTTTTTTAATTTTATTTTTTTAACCTCTTTTACGCCTCTCTAGTCATCTTTAAACCCTCCTTTCAGCCTCCAATATAGCACATATTTCCACTTTTGCAAATTCGAGGTCGAAAGTGTTGGAGAGAATAAAAGGAGGATAAAAGGAGGTTTTTAGAGAACTTATAGAGAGTCTAAATTTCGACTCGGGATGATTCGTTGTCATATGCCAGAGTATATTAATATTTTTTTGAACAAATTTCTTCTTTAAAAAATTGAATTTTTTGGAGAAATGACTTAAATCATATTGCCGCCATATTAAATTTTCCTCAAATATAGAATAATTTCAAAATAAATTTTTTCACAAAATATTAATATTTTAGCATTTAACAGCAATTTCTTACACTATTTTTAAGTTATTTACAAAATTTTAGCTCAATTTATTAAGTATTTTGCAAGAAAACTTATGCGGAGAATATTTATATATATGTGAAATTATATCAATCATATAACCCTTAAATTAAATCAATTTTTAATTAAAGAAAGTTAATTTTTGTTCTTGTAAAACAATCAATGTTCCTAAAATTTTTAACATATAAATCATTTGGTTTTTTCTAACATTATTATATTATAAAAACCGCATGAAAAATAAAATGGAAAAAATTAAAATTATAGAAATTTTAATATATTCCTTAGGAAAATTTTGTTTCGAAACAATTAGATTATAATTATAATGCACATTATATCACAATTTTAAAACCTCAATATCCTAAAAAAACAACAAAAAACACTTGCGTAAGATTATAAAGTCAAACTAATTTTTGAAAAATTTAACTATAACTTGATTTTTTCAACGATGAAACTTTTAATGGAAGTTGAGATTGGCCTTGCAAACTGGATTTAATCTCAACTTTCAGGAAACAATTCCATATGCAGCATATCAATATAATAAACTAAAAGTTTCATTCTTCTTGAATACTCTATTTCTAACAAAAAAAAAAAAAATTACAACTTTTTTATATAATGACAACCTTAGTAATCAAGATAAAAATAATATCTTTATATAGGAATTTTTTAATTTTTTTTCAATTTCATTATGAATATGTGAGTATAATTAACAATAAAGCTTATATATGTCGCGTACGCATTATAAACTAATTGCAGGCGTGCCGATCGAATCATTGAAATTATTATGTTATTGTTCTCTTGTCTGACGTTCTCTAAATATGCACGATAATACTGCAAATTTTCTTTCCTCATGTCACTTTTTAAATAATTTATATTTATCTGTGTTGATTACTACTTGATTGATTACATGTTACAATAAATTATATATGAAACAAAATCTTTTATAATTAATAATGCTTTAATTGTTAAAAAAAAACAAGTTGTAAATGATTGTAAATAATATTTCCTTTTTGCTACAAAGCTGAAGTACGCAACGTTTATGATAAACGATTTTTAACGAAATAATATTTTAAAATGAAAAATTCTATAATTTTTTGCATAAAAAATATTTTTTTATAATTTGTTGATTAATGAAAACTACAAGAAAAATATTTTTTAGGCAAAAAATTATAGAATTTTTCATTTTAAAAAATTATTTCTTTAAAAATCGTTTATCATAAACGTTGAGTACTTCAGGTTCGTCTTTTTGCTAATATTTAATATTAAATTGTTTCTATAAATAAAAATAACATATATTAATAATAAATTTATTATATATATAAATATTTATAGAAATAAGGACAAATCATTTTAGAACTAGACACATTTTTCTTTGCAATGTGATTTTTGAAAAATAAATTTATTTTAATGTTGTTTTTAAAGTGTGACTTGGTAATTTAAGTAATGTTAAAAGTAGCATTTTATAAATTGAAATTTTTGCAACTAAATTTTTTTTTTTTTTTTTTTGAAGTTGAACAAAATATTTTTCGCTATATCTTTAACGATTATTTTATTATTGTCCATATCGAGAAAATATCAGCATTGAAGCATAAAAATTTACAGTACCGTTTATCACATTACGCTGCAATAAGACTAGTAAAATTAAAACATGTAATTGAAGGTTACTACGGTAATTTGTAATATTGTTTCGTGACTTTCAAAACGAACGGATTTTAATTTTTTGTCTTGTTTATTGTATATGACATGCGGTATTTTTTTTAAGTACAAGGCTCAACACTTGGGTTTTCCAGATTTACCTTCACATTTAAACAAATTGATGATGATACTTTAAAATAAAAATTGTCATTAAAAATAATTTAATATTATCAAAAAAAAAAAAAAAAATTAATTACTTAAAGATTAAAATCAATTGATAATCAAATAAATTAAATTATATTTATCAAAAAGGACATTTTTGTTATTTTATTTATTTTTAATACTATTTCATTGTATTTTTTATTAAAATATTTTTACTTTCATGTAAATAAAGAAAAAGAACGTACAAGATAACTTTTCAAACATTTGATTGAAAGTCTGACAAATTTCCTTATCTTTTATAATGAAGACTGAAAACAAATTACTTTTTTTGTTCTGTTCACACTCAAGTCATATATAATTTTATCACTGATCAAATATAGAAATGAATCGTCAATATAAAAATAGATAAGATGAACCATTTGTGGTCTTAAAATTAATATTTTTGTTTTTAATACATTAATATACTCATTAAAAAAACTTTACTATTATAAATGATTTTCTATTGTGAATAGTTATAATTAGTATTATCTCGATTTTCTTGTAAAAAGCTCTTTAATTTTATAAACGAACAATAAAAAATAATTTTTTCACTTTTGAGAAACTGAAAATTAAAAAAGAAAAAACAAAAAGTTTTGTAATTCTGTGAGCACGAAACCGTAAATGTGATACACTTTCTAAACATAAATTTCATCACTTATTTTTGTCAAAAAAGGAACAATTTTTATACAAGGAAGTAAAAATGGAAAACCCACTATTTTCACAACAGAATTTGCTTTCAATGTTAAGTTTCTTTAAAGAACAACTAATGAATTTTAATGATCGCGTAAATTCTATGACAATCTAACGACAATGTCATTATAGTTGTAAAATAAATGAATATGCAGACAATAAACAGCAAAATTTGTAAAAAAAAAAATGGCCGTAAGAACGAAAAACAAAAATTTTTATTTAATAATTTTAGGATTCGCTTGGACGATCAAGAAAAATAGTTAATAACCAAGGTCAACTAATTTTGAATTCAAGAATTTGCAAACATTACAAATTATTCAAGAAATATCTATCATGAATTTTTCATATATCTAATGAAACCAAAAAATATTTGAAAGAATGATAATATTTTCAAATATATATCTCTAAATAAATTTTCATGAAAAATTTTGTTAACTATAAAATAATTTAAAATATATTTTTGTTATAATATTTATATTTTCACTTAGCGTAAATTTTGCTCTAATTCCCTAAAGAAAAGATCGCAATGAAAATTATAATTGTGAAGGAAAGATAATAGGAAAAATCTATATAGAGAAAGGAAACTTTAATGATCATGGCAATTGTAACTAAGAAATAAAATCGCAATGAAGGCAGTATTAAATTACCAATTCGTCATTCACTTAATACAAAGTACTTATTGAGTTTCTTAAAACTTTATTGATATCAGAAGAAACATCTATCAAGATATAAAATCAAGTTATGATCTAAATTTAAACTTCCTTATTGTCCATATACATTTAATATAGAAAATTAATGCACATTGACAATTTTCCAACGACCTCGACTTAAGTTTTCAGGATGATAAAATAATTTCACGTAATTTGCATTTTTATAGCATTTCTTAAAATTTTATTATTTTCATTTTAGTAGCATATAAAGAAAAACATATTCACAGAATATGTATTTCTTATCTTGAAAGTTAAGATTAATTTGAAAAGAACGAAAATTGTTTTCAAAGGATTGTTTCTAATAGCCTATATACAAATTAATTTTCAATCTATAATCTTACTAAAATATTTGATTTTGTTTGTTAACAGAAGGACGATACAAGTTTACTAGCTCAATTCTTTTATGCTGACGAATCCCTAAATGCAGTGGCCTGTGAACTAGATTCATTCGACGGTCGTCAAGAACCAGAAAGATGTACATCTTTGGTCAATCAACTTCGTCATTGTCAAGACAAGGTCTTAACTATATGCAATCAAATTATGGATGATTTAATCCCAGAGAATAGAGCTAACAGGGATTTTCGAGTCAAATTTCCTGACGACGTGATGCAGGAAAATTTGGCTGGCCAACTTTGGTTTGGAGCCGAATGTTTGGCAGCAGGATCGTCAATTATGAATCGAGAAGCTGAAAGTTCAGCGATGAGACCTTTAGCGAAAGCTCTTACTAAATCATTGGAAAACGTTAGAAATCTTCTTCGGGAACACGCATTAAAAGGACATATGAATTTAAAGGTATACACTTTATTTAGCAACAATGTTAATAATTTTAATTTCAACTCATTTACTAAAATAATCATCTTTATATTATATAGATTCAAAATCCACTGGAGCCTTCAATTGAAAAATTAATTGAGTCACTGAAAATTTTCGATCGTCTTTTCGCTGACTTTGAATTATGTTATGTCGGCGCAATGGTGCCAGTCAAATCAACGAAAGAGTACGAACAACAAGAACTTGTTTGTGTTTTATTCTCGGAAACATTACAGAGAGCACTTGAAAGAGGTTTATTAAATCAAGCAGATGTTGACAATTACGAGCCTGCTTTAATGTTCACTATTCCACGTTTAGCTATTGTTTCTGGTCTATTGTCACCTCCTGGAGGACCTCTTTGTCTTAATTCTCCCGATAATATTAGTGAAATGTTCAGACCATTTAAAGTAAGATATTAATTTAATTTTATAATTTAAAAAAAAAAAAAATTTTTAATCCTAAACATAATGAATAATTTACAGACTCTTCTTCTAAAAATAAGAGAACTGCTCTGGACCTTAAACAATCGTGAGCTCTACATGTTGGAAAAGCTATTGTGTTCAAATGAAGAGCCATCCGCATCGATGACGCAAACAAGCAACACAACGTGCCAAGATGTTCCCGATCTTGATGAATTCGTCCACAATTTCTACACTGGCTATCCAAATTGTAAGGATTTTATTGTCGACTTTTATACAGTAACACGAAATACTGGCAACAATATGGATGAAATAGCCAACGACGCGATTCAAATAATGGATCAGAGAAATGGACAAATCGATTTGTCGGACGTGTGCGAGATAAGCCAAAAAGACAAACTGAAGGAGGAGGAGAAGGTAGTGGTAGTGATGGAAACAAATTCGGAAAAATTTTCATCTCTTGCAGAGAATTCAAGTATAAAAGAAAATAATAATCTTGAAAATAATTCTCACGAGGTGAATAATATTTCTACTTCTCGGCAATGTGCCTTGAATCGTGAAACAATAATGAGAAATTCAGAAGACAATGCACAATTTTTGGTGCATAATGACATTCCATGTAGTGTTAGACAAAATTCCGATAGCAGTTCTTCCAGTAGTCAAGAAAATAACGTTCGCAATGAAAGGGTTGAAAATTATTTGACCTCTAACATGGCACAAATGCTTGGTGATTCAGAAAATCTTGAAATACCTTCACTTCAATATTTATTAAATCAAGTTTCACATGAAAATACTTTAACAGGTGAGCTATTTTAATTTTCTTTATTTATTCTATACAATATAATTACAATTGAATTATTTAATCAATTTCTCTAAAATTATTTTATCATATTAACAAATTTTTTTTTAAATCCTTTACTAGACGGAGAGTGTCTCAATGAAATATCAGAACATACTGACTCGGGAATTTGTACAGTAATATCGTCTGAGAATACAAGCCTCTACGATAAAAGTCCCGAGGAAAAAAAAATATTTTCAAATGACGCCGAACAAAATGAGAATCATAATTTCGACGACGAGGATATTGAAGAAAATACAAGTTATTCTTGTTCTAATCTTAATTCGCCAAAGAGAAAAAATTCAACAATTTCGGAAAATTCGTGTATTTGTAGTTTACGAAATGCAAAAGTTGTCGATCATTCATTAGAAGTATCAACAACATTAACGACAAATGGCGTTGAATCAATGAAAAATAATACAAGAATATCATCAACCTTTGACGGATCAAACGAGGAATTTGTTGGTGTTGCCTATGGAAATGGACAAATTTCCGTTTGTGATGGAAATCAACAACCAAGCTTTCAAATAAACTATTCGGAAAATTGGGAAAATTTGAATATCAATATTGATGCATCCTCGTCAAGAAAGGAATTTTGGAATGATCTTAAATGTGAAAATTGTCCTCCATCGACATCGCAGAATATTGAAAAAATTGGTAGCAAAATTGAAAAATTTGCAAATGAAAAAATTATCACAAAACGCGCAAGAGAAACGGAGAAACAACGAAAACGTCATCAACGTAAATATGAAAGAAGTCACAAAACAACACATGATGAACATTCAAGACAAAGTATCTCGTTTAATGTTCAAAGTATTCATTTACCAAGAAGTACTGAGAGTTCACGATCGAATTCAATTGATCGTCTTAATCCTAGATTATTGAGTTTAGGTGCCAGCTTGCATCCTAGTCAAAATACAAGGCAAATGCCAAATTTCGGCAGTCGTAGTCCTCATTCAAGTCCCAGACTACAACATTTTGAGACAAGAGGAAATCTCAATTCAGAACAAAGAAATGCTCACTCCCAAAGATTATACCAAAACTCGTCACCTCAAAATAAAAAATTATTGGATCACAGGTAAAATTTATATTCAATTTCAATTGTCAAATACACCAAAAAAAGAAATTCAAAAAATCTTTTCAATTGTAAAATAACTTCAATTTTACAATTGAGAAAGAATCGGACGTAATGTCAAAACAAAAGTTAGTCAAAATTCACATTTTCGTATTTGTAATAAAAAAAAATTTTAATTAAAGGCTGAATCCATTTCAAAACGTACAGGCCGACCACTTTCAGGTTGTAGATTTTTCTGTCGATGAAATATGTTATTCTACATGAAAAATAAAGAGACACGTATTTTCTTATTTTTCATAAAAATTATGTTTAACGAAGTTATGGTCATTTGAAATTTGAGTGGTAAAACTCGAAAGAACAATGAAAAAAAATTGTTTCGCCTGTAATTTTTTTTCTAATGAATGCAATGAAATTATTTTTCTTGGATCTTGTAGGGGGTATATTCCTCTTTAAAATCCCATTTGAAATTTGAAAAAAGATTCAAAATTAACAAAACAAAAATTAACAATCCTGGTAGTAAAGAGAAATTTTTTTCGAAATTTCTTTTTTTACGAAATTTGAAATGGCTGACGTGCAGTTTCAAGAACAAATGAACTAACTGAATAGAGTCATTTTATAACCAACAATAATGTATTCCAATATTCAGTTACTTTAAATGTGTTTTAATGTGCAATAAAAATATTTAATTATTTATATGTGAAAATAATTCATATTAATTTGAAAAAATATTTTTTTAATATTTGAATTATTATAAAATAAACTATCTTGAATTTTTACTTAATCAATTTATTTTAAAATGAAATTTGCAAATATTAATTTCCAAATTGAAAATTAAAACTTTAAGTTTTTTAAAAAATTTTTGAATGATAATTTGTATTGGAAAATATTTCAAGAGTATATTACTGAAAGAATCACAATATTTATAAAAAATATTTTTTCTTTTTTCACCTTTTTATTAATTATATATTTATTATCATTGGTCTTAACGATACTTCAAATGTCAAATTATAAATTTTTTGATGTTTAGAACCTGTTTGAAAAAAGTGATTTTATGGTTATTTTCTATACATACATTATTGTTGGTTATAAAATGACTCACTTCAGTTAGTTCATTTGTTCTTGAAACTGCACGTCAGCCATTTCAAATTTCGTAAAAAAAAATATTTCGAAAAAAATTTCTCCTTACTACCAGGATTGTTTAGCCCGCTTGAAACTCCTAGGATTGGTTCTTCATATTGGTAAGAGTTTATGGTAAAAATTTGAGAGAAAAAAAAGTGGGGTTTTTGAGAAAATTGACTTTAATGATATTTAGAAAATCATCTCCTGTTTTGTTAATTTTGAATCTTTTTTCAAATTTCAAATGGGATTTTAAAGAGGAATATACCCCCTACAAGATCCAAGAAAAATAATTTCATTGCATTCATTAGAAAAAAAATTACAGGCGAAACAATTTTTTTTCATTGTTCTTTCGAGTTTTACCACTCAAACTTCAAATGACCATAACTTCGTTAAACATAATTTTTATGAAAAATAAAAAAATACGTGTCTCTTTATTTTTCATGTAGAATAACATATTTCATCGCCAGAAAAATCTACAACCTGAAAGTGGTCGGCCTGTACGTTTTGAAATGGATTCAGCCTAAAATGATATTATTTTTCAAATATTTTATTTTTTTATTCTTTATGTTTTAAATAATTATTTTAATAAGCTGACGATTCTTTAAAGAACAAAAACAAAAAACATTTAATCGTTAATTAATTTTTTTTCTTCGTTTAAAAAATCGCTAGCTATTAAAATATTTAGTTTAAACAAAAAAAAAAAAAAGAAAAATAATTTGTTTCAACATATTTAAAATTTTGATCTAGACTTGTAGTTTGTTAAATAAAAAAAAATTTATGATTTCTACAAGAATGGAAAGAATATTTGAAAATTTTATTTTTATGGAACACAGATATTTTTTATCCACATAGATACACTTATACAGTTTTTTTTTTTTTTTTTTCATTACAGAAGATCCAGATCGGAAAAATTAGCGCGTTTAAAAAGAAAAGAAAATGCCAAGAGAGATAAATATGAAAGAATGAACGCCAAGTCAGAATATAATAAAAGACGACTAAGTGCTAGGAATTCGAGTGAATTAATGAACGATGGTTTGGGACCAAGAACTGATAAAAGTGGTTTAGTGGTGGAAGCGATTTCGCCAACCGAACCACGCTCTTTACGTTATGAACGACATGATTCAAAAAGAAATGTTAGACCTGTCATAATTAATACATCTATGGTTTCAAAAGTTCACAGTTCAAATCTTGAACATTCTTTAATACAGAGAACAGATTTAGATTCTAGTTCGAGTTATTCGAGTTGCTATGAATCTAGTTCGGAGACAAGTGAATTTCAAAGCGATTGTCAGGATGATGAAGAAATTGCACTAGCTATGCAAGCTGCTGAAATAGCAAACAGAAATCAAATTCGTGCTAAATTCAGGTAAATCTTTTGGAAATAAATACTTTATACTAATCGTCTTTAAAAAAAAAAAAAATTAAATATTAATAACAAAAAAATTAATTTTTTATATTTAATTTTTCAGATCCTCCGAGGATTTAGTGCACAGATTATTCGTTTGCATCGCTGGTGTTGCTGATCAATTACAAACAAATTTTGCTTCAGATCTTAGAAATATCTTAAAATGCGTTTTTCTAATGAATAGCAGTCAAGCGACTGATGATGATACTAAAGTAGAAGAAGAGGAGGAAAATGACGAAGTATTAACTCCTACTGAACCTAATAGAAATTTTCCAGAATCATTAATTTCTACTGAAAATAACCAAAATTCAATTCAAGAAACTGAAAACGACCTATTAGGAACGACGCCAATAAATGATAGAAGTAAGTTTTGAAAAATTGAAAAACACTAATTAAACAAAAATATTGTTAACAATTTCTAAGATGAGATTTTATTTTTAGTTTCTCCTACGACTGAACGAGGTGAGGAATGCGTGGAGCGGGCTCCAGCATGGGTACCAGACAATGATGCCCCAAGGTGTATGGCTTGTCAGTCGGGATTCACGGTTGTTCGTAGAAGACATCACTGTAGAAATTGTGGCAAAGTATTTTGTGGCCGTTGCAGCAGCAATAATGTGCCTTTGCCACGTTATGGACACACAAAACCAGTACGAGTATGTAACAGGTGTTTCCTTTATCAGGTAACACCATTCACTGTGTCTCAGGTAACGTCTACCAGCTGAAGATTTTCCTTGTGATTATTCATTCTTAAATTACTATACACTGACTTGTCTCTGCTTTAATTTAAAAAAAAAAAACAAAAAGTTTGCTGTTGAAATGAAGTTTTTGTACATATATAGTTACACGGCCTTTTTTTAAAATGGGACCATCATTCCTATTGGAGTTTCTAATTCTAATAAATATGTATATGTGTTGACTCTCTGCTTTCGTAGAGAATATAAGTCAATTAAAATTTAAATAAAATAAAAAATGTCAAATAACATTTCCAATAATTATCAATGTAGAAAACAAAAATTACGTTTCGACTGTGCATACTATCGAAAAAGCAGTATATATCTATACATTCTTCTGTTTGTTTTTCCAATATTTATGTTTTAATAAAATATTTCTTTTCTTTGTAAACACAATTAATATTATTACCTAAAAAGAGCGCAGAAAGAAAATTTGCGCTCAACAACCAAAGTTGGTGTATGAAAATAAACATAAAAAATATATCGATTAACGACGTTTGAATTTCGCGAATATATATGTATATATATATATATATATAATATATATATATATTTACAATATATTTTCTTTAAGTGGAAACCTTGGTAGTCTTATATGCTTGTAAAATTTTACAAGTCATTTCGCTAACAATTCTTTTTAATATATATTTAACATTCACATGTTGATTTTTATTTTAACGAAAAAAACAAATAAAAAAAAAATTAGTAGAAAAAAAAGTGATATAGGAAAAATATTTAAATCGTGTTTAATAAATGAAAAAAACATCGACTTTAACCCAGGTTAAAATTCAACGGAAACCATCCCTTAATTTTAATAATTGTTTAAAATATTAAAATACCAATGGTAGTAGCTACTATTAATTGAAATTATCAATAACAGAATTTGCGAATGATTAAAAAAACAAACAATCCCATATTGCAAAAAAAAAAGACTGAAGATTTTCTTTTCTTTAGTTATTTGCTTTAAAAAATCGTTTCCGTCGAATTTTGTTACCTGTAGATTACAATAATATTTTCGGTCAGTTCTTTTAAGTTTACTTTAATTTTAATTTAACTTTCGAATAGATTTTTTAAATATTAAATTAAACCTGTATTCTTGCGAGTATGTAGTAGAATTTGCATAAAAGTACAAAGCCATTCGTACTTCAATCAGTTCAACTAATATTTGTTCAAAATCGTGTAAAAAAAAAGTTTTAGCAGAAATTGATTTTATGATTTCTTTTATGTTTATCAATATTTATAATGAGAATAGTAATTATGCCTACACAACATATAACTGCCGGTACTGGGTATTTTCTGATTTTAAATAATGTCTGTGGTAAAATTCTAAAGATTTGTATATATTAATTAATGATGCCTTGTTTTCGATAATTTACTTTTAGAAAATATCCAGTAGCACATGTGCATTTGGATAAAAGATAAAGACTGTTTTGAATATAATTATTGTCAAAATGCGCGATTATTTAAAGGAAATCATGTCGATTTTTAACTTTCATTCGCTTAAAAAAAAAAAAAGCTAAAAAAAATCTAAACTAAATTTGGAAATATGTATAGAAAAAATAAAAATATATTTTGCTGCCAATTCGTTACGAAATGTGGCCTACACTTTTTCATATAAAAAAATTTTAAAAACTAAACTCTTGACGTTTAACTGAATTGTGTGCGCGTCTATTTCCGCAAGATAATAATTAATTAAGTAATGTAATTACTTATTCATCATATACAGCTGTACAGATTAAAAGCGTATATTTTGTAAATGTCAAAATAGTAAAATCAAGTGTACAATATTTAAATAATAATCAAGAGTGTTTTAAAAAATAAAAAATAATTGGTTATTCACTGCGTGAATTGTGACTTAATTAAAAAAAAAATGAATCCATTAATTTATTTAATAATATTATATAATTCAAAATAAAATAATAATTCATTCCGTTTAGTTTTATTTGCTAAAAGTAATTTAAAAAAAAAGGAGATTTCTTAGACGTCATATTATGACATTTTAATTAGTGATTTATATATGATATGAATAAAACGACAAAACTGTTTGATGTATTCATAATGCGCACGTAATATAAAGACGTTTAGGAATAAACTATTTTTCAATTTTTGAATGTTGATAATAATCTTAAGAATTTAAAAATGTGTCGAAAAAATTGTTACAATTACACTTAAATATGTAGTTTAAATTTCGCGAATGTGTGTAATCTTTAAATATCTTTGCTCATAAACTTAAAAATTCACGTGCCGAATGCGAAGCTTTTTCTCATTATATATAAATAAATAAAAATTAGAAATTTGGTATTTCAAATCTTAAATAAAAAAAAAATTCTAAAATTGTCAAAAAAAAAAAGTTAAATAATATTTATATAATGCTTGAAAAAGTGTTTGCGAAAACTTAATATCTTAGATAAAAGAATTTATAATTTTTAACAAGATGCCTTATATAAAAATTTGTTGTTCTTATCAATAAGAAAACATAAAATAAATTCTTGACTGTTGCTTAAATAAAAAACAAAAATGGATTGTATGTGTGCAGAAAATATTTTAACTATGAATTTTCAAAATCAATATTTGAAAGTATTTCATTCTCTCTATATATACTCGATATTTCAAGAAATATATATATCTTCATCCATTAATTTTTGCTTTTATTTACATAGAATGCTTTGTAACTAATGAAAAAAAGCATCAATGGAATTAACAATATACCAATTATTATGTAGTCAAATATTTTAATTTAAAAAACTATTAAAGCGTATTTACAATTTATTTAATATTGTTTATATCGACAGATGTGTGTATATGTGTGCATTTGTAAATAAATATATTTTCTTGAAATTACATTAATGTCGATCCTTGTAGAAATATATTACGATAATTATAAGAATTATAAATTTTAATTAAAATCCAAGTATATATACTTCTGTTCTTACACAAAAGCTATATACATGTATTTTCTTTTTTGTAATTTAAAAATTATTTTTAATTTAATGAATCGGCATAAATGTAAACAAAACAAGAAAAAGATTATATTATATAGTCAAAGTGTATTTGAAAATGACAAGATGTTCGTGATTATTTGAATGTATTGTAAAAATTGTTGTGTGAGAATAAATCGTATCATGAACACATTATGCAAATATAATAATCACTGGTTTTGGTCATGAACTTTAATATGATACGAATGTAAATAAAATTTGTTATTCAAATCATATTGATTATTATTAATTGTCCTAAATCAATCCTTATTTTAAAATTTAGAATGAATTCCTATATCCCAAAAGGACATCATGGAGAAAATGATAACTTTCTAAATAAAATCGAAGTAAAATCTAATTCGTAAAAGATAAAAATAATAACAATTACAGGGTGTCTATTATTTGTGGTAGAACAAATTCTCGGTTCATTTTAATTCTTGTTAAAAACCAAGAAGTTTTTTTTAATTATAATTATTAAAAAAAACCTTTAACGAATTATCATTTGATAGAATTCTTAAGACGCTGTGAATTTTTATTTAACATAACTTGAATTAGTTCGAACAAACATCCCACAGAATGATTTCGGCGCAAATTTTAAAATTGACGAACCACAATTTTCCTGATAATTTCTGATTGGTTAATTTTAAAACTCGTACCAAAATGACTATGCTGAAGTCCAAGTTTATGGGGTGTTTTCGAAAGTGTGAATATATTCAGAGTATGCTGTGATTGGCTGATCCATCAGCATGTTTATCCTGATTGGGTAATTTTTTACTGTCAGTATATACTTGTCAGCAACTCTCGAAAACATCCATGGGCCATGATCAACGATTAGAAAACAAATTAATTATTAAAACGAAAAATTATAAAATTTTTTATCTAGAAAACTGCTGGAGGAATGATTTTAATGAAATCAAGATCACGGAATTAAAAGAATTTTATTAAATTTTTTTTTGTAAAATATGGATTTAAAGTATATGAGGTGATGGAAACTGACACTTTTACATCTAATAGAAAATATTAAAGAAAACATATAATTTACCATGAAAATGTAAAAGAAATATTGGAATTTATTAAGAATGACTAAATTTATTTTTATAAATTTATAGAAGCAATTAAAAATAAGAAATAAATAAATAATAAATAAAATACGCCGCGATTTTAAAGTTCACCTGTAAAATAACCTAATTTTGCGAATTTTATCCATTAATTGTAAGAAAGGGAAATCATTAAATGAAATAAAAACTTACTAAATATAAAGTAGTTGTGATTAACTTTTAATTGCATAATTTTTTTATTTTTATTAAGAAGAAAGAAAAAAAGTGCTAAGAAAAATTAAAAGTTAAACACAAGTATTTTATATTTGGTAAGTTTTTATTTCATTTAATGATTTTCCTGCCTTATAATAATGGATAAAATTCGCAAAATTAGATTATTTTACAGGTGAATTTTAAAATCATATTTTATTTATTATTTTTTTATCTTTAATCTTTAATTCTTTTATCTTTAAAATTACAATATTTCTTTAATATTTTCTATTAGATGGAAAAGTGTCAGTTTCCATCACCTCATATACTTTAAATCCATATTTTACAAAAAATAATAAAAATTTTAATAAAATTCTTTTCATTTCGTGATCTTGATGTCATTGAAATCATTCTTCCAAAATATTATAATTTTTTAAATTTAGTCGTCAACGACCTTAGTCGAAGTATAATGGAATGACTCTAATACTTAAAAAAATTGTTCCTAAATTGATATCATTCATCACTATTTTTAAATTTATAAAAAATTTCAATTTTTATTCTTTTCTTTTAATGGGATTGGCTCACTGAAATATTTTTAATCCAAATCTTTATGAGGAAGTGAAATGAACCAAATCCTTATTAATGATGAAGGATCTCTCTTTTCGTATTTAAATTATATGGATCAATCCATACGAAATTTACAATCAAAATAAAAGAAATTATAATGGTGTCATAAAGACTCACCGATCAGCCGCTATTCCTCTTCAACATTATTAATCCTTCATTCCTCATCCTTTGAGTCCTTTTGAATTTTGTATTTAATGCAGGTAGAAATTCTCCCCAATTTGAAGAAAAATTCACTATAAAAAATCCACAACTTTAAATTAATATTAAAATTAAAAATATTTTCCTCTTAAAAAAATAAAGAATTTTAGATTCAAAAAATTAATTTCTAAATATTAAATAATTAATATATCATTGACCAAAATATAATTCAAATCTAAGAAATATCAAACATTTATAGAAAGAGAAGGATTAAATATTTTAGTTTATACTCTTCGATACTTATTAGGTTTTTCGTTTTATTGTTATCATTAAATGATCAATAATAAAATAATAAATCACTTAATTTTTTGCTTATATTTGTTGATCATTTCATTGATTTTAAAAAGTAATATATAAATAATTACAATGTAAAAAAATATGTAAAATACAATATAAGATAAACTCAATAATAATAAATAAAATAGTTATAAAAAAATTAAATATTTAAAAGAAAATTTTACAAATTTAACAATTACTCACCTGCATCATACTCATCATATGACAATATTTGTATCTCGCAATGAAACTCTGCAAAACCATTTTAATGATCATAGTACGGAAACAGAAACTTTTGCTAGAATCAATTCCAACTCAAGAAATCATAATCATCATTCTTCCTGTGCGTCAATATTTTTGTAAAAGCTGAAACATTATAACAATAAATGACTATTAATAGCAAAAAGTAGAATTAATTGTCTTATCATTAAATTTGAATAAATAATTATTTTTAAAAAATTATATATAATTGTAAAGAGCAAACATAAATAATTATTTATATTTTAATAGATATTATAAATGTCAGTGACGCGGGCATAAAAAGGATAAATGCTAATATGTTTGATTTGAGACTGATGTATTGATTTGTTGTATATTATTGTTAAATTTATGTATTATAGGTAAATAGGTGAAATAGAGTTAGGAGTAATAATATAAACTAGGTCCGTTTCTGGGCCAATAGGCTGAAAATGAAGATTATTGTGTATATATACATGAATAATTATTATTATACTATTGTAATAAGCATATTAGGCATAATCATTTTTCTTTAATGAAAAACTAACCAAAGAAAAATAATATTAAATTGTCTCTGAGAACAAGAAATGAATAGATAAATTTTTCATTCATAATATAACCTATATATAAGAAAAATGATCAAGTCTAGATATTTTTTTAACACTTTTCATTAAAAACCTGCACAAACCATTATTTCAGATGAAATATAAATCTCAAATGTTTCCCTCCACAACATAACCTAACCTCTAAGTAACCAGTTTGAACATGTTGAATTATTTGATTGATATTTTTCTAACTTTTCTCAAAAACAAACAGAACGTCTAATAATGTACAATTATTATTAACTTATAAAAATTTATACAAAATTAAACTTAATAAGAACTATTTTTACATTTTTACTTGCAATAACAAATTCTCTGGAAACCCTACTGAGAAAATTTGTATCGTCCGTATCTATGTGCATCCGCATTTATTTTGACTAATATTTAATACATAAACAATCTTTAATCAATTATTTACAAGAATCAACAAAAATTTCGTCAAAAATAAATAAATATTTACCAGTTTTCAGCAAAAATCAGCAGATATACAAGATGTTATCAATGTTAACAGAAGATACCTTATGAAAATTTTCTGAAACTCACAGAAACAGCCATATTGTTCTGCATGTAAAACAAGCGTTCTGATTGGTCTTGAATATTACCATTAAAAAAGCGCCAAAATTCAAACCAACTTTCAAAATTTAAATAAATATTTTTTTAAATTAAGAGCAAAAATAATTAATAAATCTATTACTTTAAATAAAATTACCACTTATTATATAATATTTACCTATTTCATCATAATAATTAATAAATAATTTTAATATGATAGATATAAAATTTTTATAGCTATCAGCAGATACTTCATATAATAAAAGCTTAATTTTATACTAACTATTTACTTAATTGTTTGTTTCACTATTTTTATATTATGATTATTTATAAATGATAAAAATTGGAAGTTATTAAACAAAACTGTCAATTACACATGAGTTCCTAAATTATAATAAAAAAAATTTAACAAACACATAAAGAAGGTATAACTTAATAAATTATTAAATGTAAAAAATACATTAAATCAATAAGAAATTAAAAATTTGTAATTGAAATTAAATTGAAAAGTTAGAAAGTATTCTAATATTGAAGAATTTTTCTATTTATTATATTTATTAATTATTATAATTAAATATAAATTAATTGATTTAAAAAAGTAAAATTTAAATTAATTAAATGTGAAAAATATAAAACTAATCAATTAATTATGTAATAAGAAATTATATAATAAGGATAAAAAAATGTGCCTTTGGAAGATATAATTTAGGATTTATCATTTTATAAAATGATTAACTTGAATTTTTTTTAAACGCGAAATAATGTAGATACTTGTAAATGAAAAAAATAATGATAAATGATTGTGAATGAATGTCTTAATTTATAAAATTAATTAAATTTTAATTTTTAATTAAATTAAAATGTTTACCTTAAGTGAAAAAATTATTTACAAGTCATGTTAATAAATACACGTAACGACCATAATAATTAAGCGACTAGGTTTTCATAAAATTATCCAAAATTAATCAATATACGAAATATTTTTTAAATTTCTTGATGTAAAGACGATATTCCATGATTTATTATATAAATTATATATGTGAATTTCAACTTGAAATTCATGTGTAATAAAGCATGGAATCTCCTCTCATAATTAATAATAATTAATCCTCTATAATAATTAGAGCATGTAACGAACTGATGTTGGGTAATAGAAATTTATATCTAAAACTCGGAAATTTTGTTAGTCTCTTAACACTATTTATCAAGAAACGTGTTAAAAAATAGACATGGTTATTAAGATTTTAATTTTTTCGTAAACAATAAGAAAGCTAAAACAAATTATTAAAAAACAAAAAATTGATAAATCTCACCTTTTGGCATTTTTAATGAAAGTATATATACTTTCTATCGTGGTAATTCCAAAACTTGTACTTTTGTCCTTGACTCGTCAGCCAAAAAAACTGAAACAATAAAAAAAAAATGTCACAAAAATATTTATCGTAGACTCTAAAAAATGATCCAAATTTGAGAATATTGCTTTTCAGATTCAGATCTTTTATATATATTATATCACTTTATATAGCTGTATAGGTTAATAATTTTTATTAGTTATATTTACTTCTTCATATTACTTATCAACCTAATTTACAAATAAAATGAAAATTACCGAGTTTCCCGCAAAATGATGTTTTTTTATTTAATGTTGAAAACGATATTAATAATACAATAATAATAAAAACAAACTGAAGAAAAATATTAGAAGCACTAAATTTTGACAAGGAACAAAGAAATGACTATATAAAACAATTTCTGGCAGTTAATCACTTACCTTGAGATCACTGGGTATTGTCAAAATTAATTATAATTCTCCTTTTTAAATAAAAGCCGATGTACATAACAATAGCAACTTAAATTAGACTTTGAAGAATGTATATCAAAACAATGATAAATGGCGTCAATGGCGACAGGGCTATCATATTCGACTTTGTTCATCTTCTTCCTATAACATGGACAAATAAAGTAATCGTCACTTCCGTAACAATAGAGAGAAAAATCTAATTGGTTAGCAGACTAAATGTTTCTTATTAATAACTAAATAGATTAATATTATTGGTGGACAAAAATGTTAGGCTTTTGAGAGTTGATAGCACTGTAATGAATGTCAACAAATTGTTACACTTCTAGGGTTGGCCAGACGTGAAAACCTTTTTTTGTTTTACTATTATTTACCAGTATTTTTTTTTACATATTTATTGTAATTTATTCTTTTAACATAAGTTTGAAAAGTATACAAAGTATAAAAGTTTCAAAACTTTTATAAGATCTCGTGTGACAATAAATCTAAAGTGAAGTCAATATTTTTCTTTTAAGCGAACCTGAGTACTCGTAGGATGAAGAAACCTAACCTCTTAAACTTTAATTTGCAATTAAGTTTTCTACTGCAAAAATGGTATATTTCGCATAATGCACATTCAACTATTTAAAATTAACATCCGGATGAATTATATATCACATTTTTTTTATTTTTATAATTGTATAATTATTGTTTTCAGGCATAGTTATTGGATATTTTTATATCGTGATTTACTAATTTAAAATATTGTTTGAACATTACCATATTAGAAATGAATAACATTAAGTACATTGATGTTAAAAAAGTTGGTTTATTAAAACACGAATCATAAAATTAAACTTATTTTGAGTTTTGCAGATGTAATTATAAAATAATATCATTTTTTACGTTGACTCAAGATACAAAAAGCTACATTTTTATATCGATTTCAATTTAATGTCTCGCATATTTTTGATATTCTCTTATTTTTTTTGAATGAGTTAAAATTTATAAACTTGTTGAATTATCTCAATTTTGTAGGTTAACTACCAAAAACGTAAAATCTCTTATATTTGCAAAGTCAAGAAAGTATTTAAGTATACTTCACAGACCAATATTTAACAAAAGTAATATTTATAGAAATTATAAGAACATTTTTTTGATTGCATAATTTTTAGCCCTTTTAATTTTTTTGTATTTTCTTTATTTTACTAATTTTTCTTACAAGTAACTGAATTATTGTTACATAAATTTTATAGATATTAATTTATCTATAATTATGTAATAATATTTGATAACATTTTCATTTTCTATATATATATATATATATATATGATCAATCAGATTATTTAATATTTGAGAGTATAGTATTTTATTATATACACTCATTGTTTTTTGAACATTCAGAAGACTAATCTTAGATCGTTATCTAATATTAAGCTGATAATGGAATATAAATTGATGATAATATTAATCATTTGCACTTTTTTTTTATTTGGCCACCTGTCGTGTCCAAAATATTTCAGGAAATTTTTTAATTAAAAAATGGTTTTAATAGAAATTTTATCTATTATCGGAGCTTTATCTTTAGCTCGACTTTTTACTTTTATTTTGACTCCTGTAGAAAAAGTTGAACCTATTTTTGGTATCTATAAACAACCTGGAAAATGGTACTGGGTAAAATATGTGGCTATGTTTTTCATTTTAAAATCTCGAAAAGTAAGTAAATTAGAAATTTATTAATATTATCATAGTAATATAATATCTTTTTTTATTGTGTTTTAAATATTTAATGTTTACAGCAGTTTAAAATAAATATACTTTTGTAAAATTTAATGTATCACTTTAAAATTAACTTTTTTTATTTTAGATATTAGGTTACTTGGATATCAAAAGACATCATCGAACTGGATATGGATTAAAATCGCGATCTTCACCAGAAGAAATGGAGATGCCTCAAACATTGTCACCTGAACATCCTAAAGTAAGAAAATAAGGTTTTCATACTGTTTTTTATTGTATTACTTTTTTTATACTAAAAAATTTCGATTTTATTCTAATAATAAGTCAACTTTATAAAATTTTTCTGTTAAAAATATTGGAAAATTATAAATTAATTGTAAACTACTTTTCTGTAATTTTCAGGCAGTTGAGGCAGTTTTCTTCATCCTGTGTAGCAAAGAAGGTTTTTACATGATGTGCGGATCTGAAAAAAGACATAATGGAATTCACAACGGATATGTTTATCTGTTAGTAAGTAAATTATTACTGAAATTTTATTCTAGTATTTTTTTAATAAATTAATTTTTCTAATTTGTTAAAGTTGTAGTAATTTATTATTTTGAAAAAATTTTTAACAATTTTAAGAACGTGAATCCTGAATTTTTAGTCATTTTTAGGGTACTTTAAATAAATAATATTGAAACAATTTTTTTTTAAATATTCATAAATAATTTAGAAGTTGCGCCTGTTAAAGAGTAATCCAATATACATTGGTGATCAACAAGTTTATCTATCAACAATAAGCATACAATTTTTGAATTTATTTAAATAAATTTTTATTCTAAAAAATTAAAGAAAATTTGTTAATTTGACTATTCTCACATTTTTTAAAAATAATTTTTCCTGCAAATTTATTAATATTTTAATATTTTTTTCTATTAAATAAAGATACCTGGAGTTGGATTATTAGGTAGTGAAAAATTACCTAATACTGTTTTACACGGAGGACATCCCAATAGTTATGGAGCAGAAGGCATAAAAATTTCGTTAGTTAAACCAATGAAAGAATGGACAGTTGAATTTGACGGCAATATGAAGTAAGTATGTTTAAATTTTCTTTTTTTGTTAATGTAAACAATTATTATTAATATAATTTTTTTTCTAGATATATGTCAGGAGAAAAATCTGATTTTCTTAAAGTCAAATTACAAGGTACTTGGAAAAGCGATTTGCCATATTTTGATTTTGACACCGATTTAAATACAAAACAAATCTGTAAAGCTTTGGCTGTCGAAGATTGGACTGAGGACTTTTTCCGAAACCTTCGAGAGTAAATTTCCATAAATATTTAATTTAAGTTTTAAAAAATATATGTCATTTTATAGAAAATTATTAATTTATTGCAATATTTTTTAATAATAGTAATTTTAAAAAATTTTTTTTATTAGAGCCCACCAAACACACTATGAGCATATGGGAAACATGAAGGCAAATTTGTCGATTGATGGAAAACATTACGAATTTGAGGGTTTATCATTTCGAGATCACAGTTATGGTAAGTACCATTTTAAAAAAGGTACCGTAAAATCTACTAGGACGCGTGTATAATAAAAAACAATCGATTGGCATTTTCAGGATTTAAAAGAGATTGGAATTTGATGCACAGATACATTTATCATATACTTTTTATGGAAAATGGAATGACTTTGTCGATTGGCGTTTTAAGTCAACCTTGCACTACTTCATGGTGAGATTTTTGAAAAACTTTTTTGAAATAAATTTTAACTCTAAAAAATTAGAAAATTTTTAATATTAACTTTAAATATGTTTCAAACATATATCTTTATTTATACAATTATGAGTGTTTTATTTTTGTTTATTGAATACTAAATATAACAGCGTTTTCTTTTTTTTTTCTTTTTGATAAAAAATTTTATTTTTTAATAAGTTAATTCCTTATTAATTTAATAAATTAATTTTTTTTATTTTGAATACTTTTTAATTGTGAAAAATTGCACAGAAAAAGTAGATTGCACTTTAATTATTTTATTCTAAAAATACATTAAAGAATAGTCATTCTCACTAAAATGGATTTTCCATTTTAGGCTCATTAAATAGATATGCTAATCAGACAGGAGACTTAAAAAAATTGTCGCTTTTGTAAAATAATTAGAATTAAACTTAAAAAAAAAATTTTTTTATATTTAATTTTCAAGTTTTTCAACGTTTATTAAATAAATAATATAATAAAAATATATTATGTAAAAAAAAGACATACGTCGATTGAAGATTAAAAGAAAAATGTAGAATATATAAAATCCTCACATGTTTTCCAACTTAAATAAGAATGTGTTTATAAGAAAGTTTATATTTTTCTTGAATTTAGTATCCTTTTAATGGAATAAAGCTTTTATTATTTTCAATCATCTAAGATGCACCGTAAAAGTTTAATTTAAAAATGAACCATTTAGATTTTAATATCGTTCTTTTCTCTCCTTTTTTTCTATTACAATGCAATTTAATTAAAATTTATTTGATGTTTTTCTCAATTTAATAAAAAATTTAATTATTTTATACTGTTTTTTCTTTTTTAAAAATAATAATTTAAAAAAACTGTTATTATTAATTCATTATAATTTACTTCAGAAATCTTTGCTTTTAATAAAGCTTCCTTGCAAAAGTTGAATTAAATTTGATATTTTTAATTCAATTTGGTGCATTAATAGTTAAAAAAAGTTTCGATAGTATTACCGACAGTTACAAGTTACAACTAAATAAATTACCAAAGTAAATCAGGTCAGTGTGAATCCGTATGTTTCTAAAAGTTTGTTCTCTTAATAAGAGTTAAAGAAATGAAATTGCAAAAAGTGAGATTTCCTTTAATCATCATTGTTTTTTTTTATTTTATCAAAAAAAAACTGCCATTCAACAAATAAATAATAGTCTAACAAATTGATACTTTTTAATAATTATATAGTATTTGGTAAATAATATATGTATATTTTGTCTACAAATTTTTGAAAATTTATTAAAAATTGTAAAACAGATTATTATAAGTTTTGTTTTAAACGAATTCATATTATTAAGAATGAATGATTTCAATTTTGTTTGTTACATTACAGTTTAAAGACTGGCTACGTCTATGAACCCGATGGTACATTGCATAATTTGCAGAAATGTGATTTAGAATTATATCAGCATGGCGAAAGAGGCATACCAACAAGAGATTACGCATTTTCTTTTTCAGCAGGTAGGAATATTGCGTCCAAACATGAAAATTTATTTTATCCTTATTTTTATGCTTCTCAAATTTTCATTAAATAATTGAAAAGAGTGTATAAATAGAATTATTTTCTATAATTAAAATGATATCACGAAATTCTTGATTTAACATGAAAATTTGAATCAGATAATATAAAACGTTGGAAATGTATTTTTAATCCATTGAGGCACACATTTTTTTATACTTCAATGAACAATTTTTTCCACTTATTTTTTGAAACTTTACGATCAAAAGAAACCAATAAATATATATTTTTTTTGATTCGTATGAAGATTGGAAAATTTTGTAAAAACTTCTATTTAGTTTGACGTATTTTTTTATTTTGTACATATAAAAATAAAGAAAAAACCAATAATGCATGGTCACATTATTCTTACACTACTACTAGTTATTGATAAAAGTATAATTGAAACCTAGATTAATCAATTATTTTCTTCGCAGGTGATAAAAATTACTGGATACAGGTCGAGATAGTGGATGAAGCAGCACATGTTGTTGGTGGAAACAGTGAGGAAGCTAGGATGGTTGAACTTTTCGTAAAGGTGCGAGTGAATGGTAAAATCAACGGTAGAGGTATTTGTGAATATAATTATAATAATGCATATTATCAAAGGATACAAGGAACCAGTTTATAAACAGTTGCATGAGAAGTTTATTTTCTGCAATTCAAAAAATAACAATGCAATAAAATTTAACTGATACATTCTGTTTTAATAAGTAAATTGAACTGGTTTTAATTAACATTCCAATTTTATTTCAACGAATTCTAGTTTATTTAATTGAATTGAGAAAATATTTTTAAAAGTTTACTCCATAAATGAGACATTTATTTAAATATAGATATATAGTTTTCATTTAACAATTTAATTTAAAATATCTTTTCAGTTACTTCCTCTAGATTTCTTTCTATATTTCTATCCGTTTTAACAGTTTTGAAAACTTAAAAAATCTAATTTATTTTCTGAAAATTTTTAAATTCTATTATAGACATTTCATTTACGAAAGTTTTTTATATATTTATTTATGAAAATTGGAAATCGATGGTGTCGAATGAAAAAAAAAAAATAATGTAGATTTTTTTCGCAATAATTTTTCTTTCTCGAATAAAAGGACGTTGTTATTAGAGAGAGAGAAAGAGATTGAAATAATAATTAACTCCATTTACAAGTCAATCAAGTTCCTATATAATTGTTGAAATTTTTTATATTCTTTTTTTTCACTAATTATGAAAAAGTATAATGTATCTCAACAGAAATGATAATTCAAATTCATATATATTATTTATAAAAATTTTGTTCTTTATTCTTTCAAATTGGTGCAAAAATTTAATATTTAGTAACAATTTGATATAATTATTTATTACATTTCTTTTGTAAAACTTCGTTTTGTAAATATCTTGAGAAAAAAAATTATATGAAACGTAATCATATGACCTGAATTTATATTTTTCAAATAGTAGCTGATAGAGTTTTATTCCTAAGAATTCTGCTACTTTATGTCAATATTATCTTAGTGTATGCTTCCGTCACAGGTAAAATTTAATGTTACTAGATGAAGTAATCAAATTGAAGATTCAACAAGTAATATAATATTTGAATGTATAAATAAACTCTAATGAGAAACGTGAAAATAAAATGATAATAAATTAGAGAAGAAATTGTTAGAGAAAATTTTTTTTACAAAATAATGAAAAATTTTAAACCATTTATTTCAATTCACATAGTTTTTTTTAAGATTTAAACTTAAATTTTGTATTCCAATCAGAAAATTAATATTTTAATTTAAAATACATTTTTTCTTCTAAATTTTATGACAATTATTTAATATGTTTAAAAGAACTGAAGTAGAAAGTACATGTATTGATCAGACAAGATGGGTTATTAAAATATTGAAGTAGAAAATGATTGTTTCTGTCAGACAGAGTGTAATATACTAAAAAATTATTGTCAGTATGAAATGATACCAATTTTACTCTCTGGGAGAGAAATTTACCACAAGACTTTTTTTTGGTCAGTATTTTTGTTTCCTTATTTTCTTTATATATACTTATATAGACCCTTTGATCTTCACTGAGTCGGAAGGTACGAGAAAACGATTTTGGAATCCAAAAGGAAATACTTATTTCCAATTCTGTCTTCGTTTTACTTTCTCACAGCGTACTTTTCTTTGTAATAAGAGATTACCTTTATGGAACAAGGTATAAACACTATAATATAAATTAGAAATTATGAACAAAATAAATGTAATTTTATATACTATTTATATTTTTCGTTTATTGACAATATATTTCACATCATTTTTATTTTTATTAAAGTCTTTACGTTATGTAAGTCTTTTTCAAGAAATATTCCTTTTGATATCCTGAAGAGGCCATCTGTTACACGTCCATCATATCTTTACTCAGGAGAATAACATTTTCAACTCACTTACGCCTAAATTAACTCCCTTAATCTCAAATTCTCAAGTTGCGCTTTGGAAATTAAATTCTTTTCTAAGATTTTTTTTTGAAAAAGGAAACTTTTTTCGTTTACATTTTTAGTATAGTTTAATTAAAATTCATTTATAGTAATCTTAATTATTTGGAATTAGGCAATATAAACAATGTAAGCGATGTGGTTGAAAATCGATTTTTATCTTCTCTATATGTATTATCTAATAAATAGACAGGATGCAGGAGAAAAAAAATTTGATTGATAGTCATGTTATGTAAGGCAATTTATTTAATGTTCGCTAACCAAAATATATAATATACGTTACAGACGAAATCAATAGAAATTTTAACAATACCATTTCCACAATATGATTTGCTGTTATTTTATTGTAAGTTTACAATAGCGAAAATTTTTATTTTTAAATCGAAAATTTTGTTTTCATATTTTATTAATTTATTTTTTTTTTTTTACAGATTTACTTAAATTCGAGAAAAATGGAACATTTTTTTTTTTGTAAGTACGTTATTATTTTTACAAAATACTGATCAACAATAAATGTTAAATATTTATAGTATATATAAATTATTATATTTCTTGTTGTGAATTTAAAAAATGTGGAGATAAATGTACAACATTTGTATTTTTTACAGAATCAAGAACAACTCGAAAATTGTATACAAGGATGGATAAAATTCTTCTCTGATGAAGAGGGGAAGCTTTTTAACCTGGGGAGCACGCGCTGAATGCGTGTGTATTGAAATTGTCTTTTGAGCAGAGTGGCGTCGCGACGCTTGCGCGACGTTCTCAACAACGATCAGCTGGCTTCTTGTGGGATTGAAACTATAACATCAGTAGCAAACGTTTCGCGCAGCTCGACGGCACCCACTACTATTTTCCAACCCCTTCTCTCTCCGTCTTTTTCCCTCTCATATGTGAGTCCTCAATCGCTCACGCCACGGTGGTGCAGCCGTAAACCGCATCGGTCGATCGAAACCAGGCACATCAAACTAAACTAAAAAGCTTAACAGAAAAATGATTAAAAGAGCATACTGGTAATATGTATTGTATGGGAAAAATATTGAGATTCGATCGTTACCATAATGATGGCAGGGTGTTGTTGTTATCATTTTTTTACGACACTGTCTGAATCATTGGGAAGTTTTTGACTGCAAGTAACAACAACAACATCACAGAGAGGACTCCAGAAGGAGAGGGAAGGAAGCACGGATACCACGAGGACGCTTCGGACGAACATCGGACGTCGTCTTGGTTTATTCGAAACTTATTTCCATTCGAATGCTACAAAAGAGACAAGATCACGTCACAGCATCCTGGGTACGTCGACGACCACCACGTCGTCGGCGACGTCGAATATGACAAAGTGTTTCCACCTGATGATGGTGATCATCTGCCTGATTACCATCTGTTTTGATCATGCAACAGCGAGATCCTATCAACCAAGGCAGATCCCAAACAATAATAATAATGAATACCCAATGCGTCAATCAGTGGGGGATGATTATGAATATCCACTTGATCCTGGTCAACCTTTTCCGGGCACAAAGTTTGGTCCCATGGGCCCCATTGACAGGGATGATTTTCGAATGTCCAAGGAAATAAGAAATTTGGCAAGTGACACTGGTACCACAGCACCAATTGCTACAAGTAGTCCTTCACCTAAGGAATATGCCATCTTCTCCGTGGAATTTCACCGCGTGGAAACTCCGTTTGTCATCGGACTTTGGATATTTTTTGCCAGCCTTGCCAAAATAGGTGAGTGAGTTAGAGAGTTTAGGTCAGGGGTTATTGGGAGGGCGATGGGTGATTTGTTAGTGAATATTATTCAGGTCAGAAGGGCGAGAGTATAAGGAAATTTCAGTACATTGATATTCCCTGGTGTGAAAAGTTTTGTTTGGTTCATCTAAACAAAAAGTTTCATATCATTTTAATTGACAAATATATATATATGAAGGATTCAAAACAATATTATTAAATTGAAAAAAATTATACTATATACAAAAACACAGAAAAAAGAAATGTTAACTTCATTCAAACAAATTTTCATTGATTTCTGAATGATCTCTAATTATTTACTTCAAGTTCTGAATGTTCAATTAAACGGAATATCTCAAATATTTATTGAAGAGTAAAACAATTACTAGTAATAAAAGTTTTATTTAAAAATTTATTCATAAAAGACAAATATTTATTATTTTTATTCTTTTTCATAAATATTGTAATAATAATTTACATATTCGATAAAAAAAAAATGAATTTTCAAAATCCTTTCCAGTTAAATAAACAATTGAAATGAAAATAAATAAAATAAGAGAAATTTTTAAAAATCCGTTTACATATTAAATAAAATAAAAATAATACAGCATCAGTAAAAAATTTATATTCTATTCTACAAATAGAAGGAAAAAAATAACAGTAAGAGTTACAAAAAATACATAATTTAAACTTTTATAAAAAAGTACAATTATTTATAATTTTTAAAAATTATACAACTTTAAATATTATATAATTCAAATTATATAAATCTTTTAATAAATATTTATAGAAGAGTTTACATAAAACTTATATATAAAGTTATATACTTTTATAAATATTAAAATTAAATTAAATATTAAATTATTTTAAAAAATAGTAAATTAATAAATATTTTGTAAATAAAATAATAAGACACTAAAATGTTGGTTTACATAAACAACAATTTTATATTTTATATAATCTTAAGTTTTTACATAATATATAATTATTGAATGTAATAGCAAATTTGTTGTGATTAATGATTAATGACTTTAATAAATAGTCATAAAACATTTCAAAATGTTGAAAGTAATACAAAAACTTGTTCAGAAAATATTGTAAGTCCATTCTAATTTTATATTTATGAATGAATAAGGAAGTAACCAGTTGATAATGACAAAGAATCATTTCTTAAGATACCTAAAAGCGGATTTATTGAAAAACATTGTACTTTTTTATGTTTATAAGCCTTTTGCATTAAAAAAAAAAACAGTTACTTTTTAAAGTATAATTAATTTATAAGAAAATATATAATAGATGTATATTGATTACTTAAAAGAGTTATTTTTATCAAGCTGGAACAATTTTATTCTTAAAAGTGGTTGCTTACAGTAAAATTTACTCACCGTTTAAAAAAATTAATAATTAGTACAGTTTATAACTTAAAAATATAACTAATAATTAAAAATAATTATTTTTATTTATCATACATAATTATTGAATTAATATAAATAATTGTTTATTTAATATAATATAATAATTATTGTTAATAATAATAAATATAATATAGTATTTTCTTCTATTAAAAAAAAATTCTTCTAATTTAAGTATTTTGTGCTATTTTGAGAAAGAAATTTTTATTATCACCAAATTTAAAAAAGAATTTCTTGTATTGTATATTATTATATTAATCAGTTTATTACCCCTTTTTAAATTTTCTGAGAATAAGTTTTTTGTTTTTTAAATAAGACAGTGGATAATAATTTTAATAAATCATTTGAAATTGACTTATATTTTTTGAAATGCTTTTATATTTTGTAATAAATAATACATTATTAATATTATTGTTTCCCATTAATTATTATTATTTTCAGTAGGAAAAATGAGAAAATTATTATTATTAAGAATTGAATATATTGTTGATGAAAATTATTACAAAGTAATTTAGGGGTAGAAATTATTATTATCTTTCTGAAATGGCTATGATTATGAAATGTTTTATGATTATTATATAGAGGATGCTAATGACAGATTGTGAATACATAATATAATCGATTTCTGATTAAGAACATTTGTAAAAGTATTTCTTATTAATGAATAAATATTTAAATACATGCATTCAAGCAAGATAAAAATATACAATTTAAACCAATTTTATTGCAATTATAATTATTATATTTATATAATTCAGTATATTATTTCATTTGTTTTTTTCATTGTAACTATTATCGCATTATTTTTTATTGAAGTTTTTAAAAATGTTAAAATGTTATGAATAATAAAAAATTTATAATTTGCTTTATATAGTGATATTTTAGTTAAAAAATATATTTGACTTGTTTTGATATATTCTAATAGTATTCAATATTGTATTTATTTTACACTTCATATTTATTACATACTTATAGTATAAATTTTACAGTTATTTAATTTTTTGCTTCCGCGTAGGAAGTATTGTTTAAATTTAAAATTATTTTTACTATCTTTTTTTTTTTATTTCATTTTTATTTTTTTTCGAAATAGTTATCAATTTCTATTATCATTTTATATTATTATTTTTTATTAACTGTATGTATATATATATTATTTTTAAAACCACTTTTTCAAGTATGTATTTAAATATAATGGCTATAATACCTTACATTGTAAAATAGTTAAATTATTTTACAAATTAAAAATTAAAATTTTATGACCAAAAAAAAAAAAAGAAAATGTAAAACATTTGGACTAGTAACAAACAGCCATGTTGGATTTAAAATTGTATTGATTTCTTTAAAAAGACCAAAGTTAATGTCAAGGACACTTATTACAATACAAAATCTTAAATGTTCTGCTGTGCCATTTTATTACAGAAGTTGTCTTTTGTTGAGAATTATTACACTCTATAGTTATAAGTATTCATATGCCATAGATTATTTCTATGACGCGTAAATTATTTCTAAATCTTTAAATATATTTTGCACGTGTAAGTTATACTAATAATAGTTAAACTATTTACGTAGGTAGAAGTAACTGACTTGAAAATATTCCATTTTTGATTTGTTAATTTCAAAAAGAATGTTTTATTTATTTCTCAAATTTTGTACATTTTAGTTTTGTTTTTATTTTTTTATAATTTCTTCTTCCACTTTTACTTGTAATTGTTTCTTCTCGACTGTATTTGAGATTTTTCTCACGTTAACTGCAGATCTAAATTTTCATTGCACTCACAATTTTTAAACTAGTAAAAATTATATTAATCTTATAATTATTTTGAGTACATAAAATATGTAAATTTATTTATTATATCTATTATATACTATATGAATATCGTTATTAGTATGCAACCTGAGTATATAAAGTAAAATGAGTCCAGAATATTTGAGATCCCATGAAATGATTTTATAAATTCATATATAGGTCATTTCGTGTTGAAATGTGCTGATATGAAATTTACATTGGGAAATTTAGTTTGTCCAGATTGAGTATAGAATTGAATTAAACATTAATCAATCTCAACATCACCCTAACTTTTATTTTACATATTTATGACATTTCAAAAGTTTTTTCCAACTAGGAACGAAAAAGTAAAAAATTATATTTTTTTCTGCCATAATGCTGACATTCTTTTCATTATATTGTATTCTGTTACTTTGGTAAAATTATAAACCATCCCACAGGATAATTAACATTCTTTTTTATTTTAATGAAATTTCTTCTTTCAATAAATAATAATAATAATATTGATTAATTTTAATTCACAGCATCTTTTTTTCTTTGGCAATAAAACACGTTAAAAAAATTGGCTGGTTAAGCTTTCTTGCATAAGAGGTCTTTACATGACTGAATATTGGCCCCTTGATGTTTCATTATCGATTTTTCTTTCCCCTGGTTTTTCGATGACCAACTGTTCTTTTATATATAAATTCGATAAACGTTTAATCTGGGATTCATTCAATTTCTTATATTTTTCATAAAATATTTGATATAGTGAATCAATTAATTAATTTATATCTCAACAATCTGTCCATTGTTCAATGTTCCCAGTTAATTTCTAACCATTACTGTAAATGAAAATTTTTAATTAAATTTTAATATAGTTATTTTAAAGAATTAAATAATTTTATTCGCTATTTTTTCTTTGTATTGGTATACTAAAGTTTTTGAATTTAAATTTTTTATGTTTATGTAAATAAAGATTAAAAAATTTTAATTTAAAAAAGCAATAACTTCGTTTCTACAAAAACGTTCAGAGATTGAAGTAAAAAAATAAATTGAAATTATTTTTTCCCATTACATTCTACATAATTATTATTATACTATGTAATAGAATATAAAATAAAATCTCAGACTAAGAATAATATATATGATGAAGTAGACCAACTTTTATTTGGTCAGACGAAGCCATTCTGATAAAGAGATAAATCATTTTGAACTCGTGTTTTCGTTTTAATATTTATAAATGTATGTATATGGAAAACTTTCGCTACTTGCCATTTGTATAAAACTTTTTCATTTTCTTTTCAAGGCTATCTTATTTTGTACATTTTTCTCATTTTTCGGGAGTAAATCAATTTAAGGATTGATGCCCTTGAAAGTCGAAATGGGATATTTCTCACACATTGGTTCAAAAGATATCAACGCTAGAATATTTAGTATTGTGAGAGAGCAATGAGATAAAATATTACTGACGTTGAAAATTTTTTGAACCGTAAAATAATAAAAGTAGTTGTAATAAATTTGTGGCTACATATGATATACACTAGAAAATTGAGATAAATTAAAAATAGTCATTTTTTTAACATTGTGAAACGCAATTTTATTTGAACAAGAATTACTATTTTAACATTATCAAGACTAAAAACAGCCTAATTAACATGATTTATTTTTGACGATAAACATTAATATATCAGTGATGAGATTTATTACAAATTTTTTTTTTTCATATTGTTCATATAACTTTTTATATTTACAAATAATATAAATCATTCACGTTTCTTCTTGTAAAAAAATGAAGAAATGATAATTATGTTTAAATATGAATTTTTTTTTTATTTTAATTGAATTTATAAATTATATTTTATCGTTTTCTATTTCTTTTTAATTTTAAAATGTTGCCAAAAAAAAAAAAAAAAAAAAAGAAGAAAGAAACCGATAAATAAAAAAGGAAATAATTTTTTTTTTTTAGGTTTTCACATGGCGCCAAAATTGAGCAAAATTTTTCCCGAATCTTGTCTACTGATTGCTGTGGGTGTTATTGTGGGTTTTGTTCTATCTCACGCAAATACCATTGGTGAATCACCATTAACGCCAGATACCTTCTTCCTTTATATGTTACCACCTATAATCCTGGACGCTGGCTACTTTATGCCAAATCGACTCTTTTTCGACCACCTTGGAACGATTTTGCTATTTGCTGTCCTTGGAACTATATTCAATACACTATCGATAGGTTTGTAAAAGATATACACATCTATATATACATTGTTGATTTTGCATTGCATTTTTTTTATATTTGATCAAATTTTAATTACCTCATCATAAAATATTCATTTATTTCTTTAGAGAAAATAAAAACGCAATAGATCCATAAATATTCTCAATAATGTAGAATATATAAAAATATATCTTTATACGTCTTCGTATTTTATTATTTAAAATGTGAATTTGAAGTAGAAAATATAAGGAAAACTGAAAAATATAAAATAACAGATAAAACATGTTTTGAAAGTTTGCATCTATTAAATAATCTAATTTTTCCGTTTTTTATCAATTAATTATTAAAAAGTGAAATTATAGAAATAAATTAAAAACTTATTAAATATAAAAGTACTTGCAATAAACTTTCAGATTTTCTTAGAACTTTTTTAATTGAAAAAAAAAATTTTTAATAAAAACTTTTTAATTGAAAATTGTTATTTTTTCTGATTTTTGAAAAGTTAATAACTGGAGAACAACTTTGAGAACTTTTTGGAGAACAAAAAAAAACTTAAATTGTTACTAAATAATCACTCACTTAAAGTTTTGTTTTCATTTCTAAATTATTTTTAAAAATAACCAAATATATGATGAATATAATTCTGATGAAAATATAATGTAATGAATTTTTTTAATTATACAATTTTTATTTTATTTTCATTTATATATTTACTTTACGAACATTGAAAGTAACTACTTTTTGTAAAATATTCTATGAAATTAAATCTGTTTTATGATACATATTATATAATATTTGAAATGAAAATTATTAGTTTCTTATGAAAATAATTTTTACGATTTTCTAGTCATAAAATCTTCAAATTTCTTTATTCAACAGAAAGTCCATTTACATAATACAAAAGAAAAATTTGCAGAGAAATTATGCATTCATAATTTTGAATAATTGATTATATATTATTATTATTAATATTACTTTTATTATTTTTATTTTATTGTAAAGAAAAGATGAGAATAATTCTAAAACTTTACAAAGTAAAAGAGATAATTGAAAATTGACATGTGTTTCAAATGTAATAAGCGCCGTCATTTGACGTTGTGATTTATTTAGGCTGACAGGAATTTGCATGAAAACAAGTAAAAACGCACTTAAATTGTCATGATGCCAAATTGAATGGAGCTTCACACATTATCAGAAATTTTACACAGATTTTATATAAGACGTAGATGAAAATTTTACCGAAAAAGAAATCATGCCATGGCCTTTTGATATTTTAATTTTATCTCGTGAATAAGAATTTTAACATCTCTCTATATATTTTTGTTCTAAAAATGTTATTATATCTGTATTATACATTATTCGATTATATTGATTTTAGTAATTGATTTTAATTTTTGTGAAAATTTTACTAAATTTGAATTTTTTGTCTATTTCCCACATAATATGATTGTTAAATAAAAAAAAAATCTCCTTTATAAAGAAACAATTTGAGAAAAAAATTTCTTTTATCAATTTCATTTGATTCACTTGACATTTTCCGATAAAATAATATTAATTTATCTTTTTTCTCGAGAGTCAATTGATTCGTAGCATTGAGGTTCATATTTCGTCGTTTTCGAAGAAATAAATTTCATTTTTCAAAAATAAAATGTTTATTTTTTTTAAATGAAAGTAAAATTTTATTCTTTAAAATAAAAGTTTTTTAATATAAGTAAAAAATATAAAATTATGAAATTTTCTAGTGAATTTAAATGTAAAATTGTTTACGTATACATACAGATGACTAAGGCAACGATGCCAGAATTATTTTTGGATTAATGGACCAACTTTATTTTCATGGTAAAAATCCAGAAATATCCGGATTTTTTTTTGCAACAATCGAATATAAAAGAAAGGAGTCTATGCATATTTTTTTCTTTTCATTTTTTTTTTGTTTATTAAACGCGTAAATTCAAGTGTATTAGTTTTTTTGTAGATAGTTTTAATAATAGATGAATTTTGTGGAGTTCACTGACCAGAGGTTCATAATAATTGGACTGATCCCCAAGAATATGAAGAGTTCCCAACAGAGAATGATGGATTATTACTTTAAGAGTTCAGAGCAAAGAAAAAGAGTATTAAAATAGAAATTTAATAAGTTTTATTTTCTTTCATTTCCGTTTTCTAAATTAAATATTTTTATTAATTTTTCGAAAACATATTTTTATTATAAAGTTTATTTTGTTTTGATATTAATAAATTATGTAGGTTTATAATATAAATGCAAAATCACAATGATAACTAATAATTTATCTAAAAATTACAAATTGTTTTGAATAAAAATACGAATTTATTAATTTCATAAATAATTCATTAAAATTTTAATTATTTTAATTTAATTAATTAATAAATTTTTTATATAAAAAATTATTTCTTTATAAAAGAAAGTAAAAGGTTTTCTTTTTTTTTAAAAAAAGCAATAAATTCACTGCAAACAAAAATGAATAATTTTACTCAAGGAAAGTCTATTTTCTAATCAGATAATATATAATTTTTCAAATGGAAAAGTATGACAGACAATAAAGAACCTTGTATTATTTTACATAAAGTAGTATTAAATTCAGTGCATTTAAATTCTATCAATTGTGTGGACACAGAATTTTTCAAATAAAAGAAATGTCTTATATAAAGGTAATATGCGCGCTTTCATAACAAAAGAAATGAAAACGTTTTAACGAAATAAAATCACTTTTTTATTTAATAATAAATAAATAAATATATATATGTTTATACAGGTGGAACATTATGGGCTTTGGGACAATTTGGTATTTATGGAAATATCGAGACACCTCTCTTGGACATGTTCCTATTTTCGGCCTTGATCAGTGCAGTTGATCCGGTTGCTGTTTTGGCAGTTTTTGAAGAAATCCACGTCAATGAAATTTTGTACATAGTTGTCTTTGGCGAAAGTCTTTTAAACGACGCGGTTACAGTCGTGAGTATAATATATTGTTTATTATCTTATCGAAAATTCATTCATATAGGGAACAAGTGCCTGTATCTAGGCTAGAGAGAATAATAATAGTCAGAACAAGGACTTGCATTAAAATTCATATCTTAACCTAATGTAAAAGTAATAAAATTAATTTTTCATTTTATGATATTTTTTTTATTATTTCGATCCTTTTATTTTATTATTTTCTTTCTTTATTTGTATTTATTTAGTCAATATTTATTTTATTTAATTTTTATTTCAGTTTATTTATCATTTTGATATTTTTATCGCGCAGCTAAACATTTTATTTAATTCGTTATCATTGAATTATTGTTATTACGCAGAAAGAGCACATATATATATATATAACAGAGTAAGATTTTAATTGACTGATAAAATTTACAATATATTTCGTGTAATGTATTTTTATTCGTATATATATATTTTTATAATTGAATAATTTTGACAGGTACTTTATCATATGTTCGAGGCCTACAGCGAAATGGGTATTCACAGAATTAATTACACGCACGTTTTGTCTAGCTTGGCAAATTTTTTGATTGTTGCAATTGGCGGCACGATAATTGGAATAATTTGGGGATTTGCCACTGGTTTTGTAACTAGGTTCACTCATCAGGTTCGCGTAATCGAGCCCATCTTCATTTTTATTATGGCCTACCTGGCTTATCTGAATGCCGAAATATTTCACATGTCTGGAATTCTCGCGTAAGCTCGTATTTCTTAATTTTTTTTTTCTTTTTTAATTTAGAAAATTTAATTTTTCATCAAAATTTGAAAAAAAAATGCAGAAAAATTTCCTGAATCTAAATTGTTCAACTTTTATTTAATTATTTTTTGATTTGTTCAGACAAAAAGGAAACCAATTTCAAATCAATCTGGATTTTTTTTTCAATTTTGTTACTGAAAAAGGATTATTTTATAATGGATGCAATTCCAATAAAAAAAAAAGCTATTTCTCTTATACTAAATTGACAATAGAAGCTATGCAATCCGTTATTTTTAACTATTTTCGAATAAAATGCAACTTAATAATTTTCAAGCACAATTATTGCTATGTATTTGAATAAAGTTAACCTTAGAAGCTAAACTTATTTAATTTTTATACTTTATTCGCCTGTCAACGACAGGTCTTTTCAGATATACTATCTAGATATATTTTCAAAATAAAGATCAATGTTAAAATTTATATAAAAAGAACAAAATTTACAATCTTATTAGAATTTTTTTTATGAAATAAATAAATTGGATTTTATTGTCACATTATAATCAATTATTGTATTTTATTTCAAAACTATTTACTAATATATGTGGTAAAGAAAATTGATTCTAAATTAATGATTTTTCGTTACAGCATTACATTTTGTGGAATCACAATGAAAAATTATGTGGAAGCCAATATATCGCACAAGTCTCACACAACAGTTAAATACACAATGAAGATGCTATCCAGTAGTTCAGAAACGATTATATTCATGTTCCTTGGTGTAGCAACTGTGAACAATCACCATGACTGGAATACTTGGTTCATAGTGATGACCATAGTCTTTTGTTCCATTTATAGGATCATCGGTAAGTTACAAAACTAAGTAGAATATATTCTCTTACATTATATATAGAAAATCCGGAGCAATAAAGATTTTAGAAAATCGATACTTCAAACTAATATTTAACTATTAGACTTACTGAAGTTTGCGTCCTATTAAAAGATTAAATTTTCTTTCTTTCATCCTTAATGTACATTATGAACATGATGTCAAAAGTTAAATATAATTAAGAATCCAGCTTAGTTACATTATTGACCTGAAATTCTATTCACAGAATATTTGCAAGTGCAGTAATACTCTTGTTGGTCCATTTAATATTAAAAATTGTTGATAATGCTCAGATATTTTTTTTATCATTTCATTAGTTTAATTTTCCAGAGGATTTTTTTTTACATCACTGTCAAAGAAAAGCAAAACTAATGAAAATAAGTTTTATAAAAATAACATTTCTTAGAGTTAATGAATGGCAATTGTCTGTATTTATTCTGATTAACTGAACGTTTCATATGTGTTATTTAACGTCAATGATGAATTCTTGAGGAAATAGGTCTACTACAATATATGCAAATTTAAAAGAAATTGACTCAAGGTTAATCTTAAAGGTCATAGATTATAATAAAATACCTTAAGGCAAAAACTTCTTATCATAAAGCTTGACCTTATAGAGTAATTTTTTTAATAATAAAAAATGTTCGCAAAAAAGAAATAAACAAATACACAAATTTAGAAAATGAAAATCTTAAAAAGAAATAAAAAAAAAATGAACGAAAAATGAACAAAAGAAATGTTTGATAAAAAGTATAATTAGAGAAAACAAGTCTCGAGTCTTTGGGAAAGCTTTAAAAATAATAAAAAAAAAGACTTTCTAACAAAAGATTACTCGCATGTAATCGACAAATTGTCTTAGTAGAGACTAAACGTGTCAGAGAAAGCTTTATACATAGTTTATATAAGTGGCTTGACAGCAAAAGAAATAATGGTGTGACGCTTTAATTCAATTTACAGGTGTAATCGTTCTGTCTGCAGTAGCCAATCAATTTCGTTTGCACAAACTTGATAAGGTGGAAAAATTTGTCATGTCCTACGGCGGTTTGCGGGGTGCTGTAGCCTTCGCTTTGGTCCTATTGATCGATCCATCGCACGTGAAGTTAAAAAATATGTTTGTTACCACTACAATTGCTGTTATATATTTCACAGTTTTCATTCAGGTAGGAATATTTATACAAAAAGAAAATTTCAAATGAAAAAAAAAAAAAAAAGTTTTAAGATTTCCATACATGAGAGAATTTTAGAAATAAACGTAAGAGCAAAAGATCAAAGAACGCATTCAATTTGCTTCTAGGGAATCACCATCAAGCCTCTTGTCAAGATCCTCAACGTTAAAAGAGCAGAGAGGAGGAAGCCAACTATGAACGAACGAATACATGAAAGGGTTTGTTCCTCGTATTTTCTATATTGTACAAAATATACTTATATAAAGCGGATTTTTGTTCATTTTCACAAATTAAAGGCATTTTTAGATTCAATTTAATAATTATATTTAAATTCAGTTAATTAACTTTAATTATGTAAAAATGAAGACAATTTTTTATTCATATATATTTTTTTTTGTTAAACTTCATAAATAAGAATGATAGATTTCGCCACACCTTTTAGATTATGGATCATACGATGGCAGGAATCGAAGATATTCTAGGAAAACACGGGAACTACCATGTCAGGGACAAGTAAGCCAACACGCTATCACTATTGGATTTCTATTCAAAAGATAAAAGACACTAAAAATGCATTTTTTTTATCGTTCAGCTTCATTTATGCATATTTTCTTTTTTTATCATTCAATCGTCTCAATTATTTAAATTCCTAGAGAAAAAAATTTTTTTGAATTCAAATCCTCATAAACTATATTAAAAAAAAGAAATATTTAATTCTTAGATTATTTATTTTGAGAACAAAAAAAAAACACTTTGAATGAAAAAGTAAAAATATTAACTTAATTTTTAGATTCAAGCGCTTTGACAACAAATTCATTCGTCCCTATCTTGTGAGGGACCATTGTGGAGCAGAGCCAAAAATTTTGGAGACTTATTCCAAATTGGCAATGAAGGACGCTCTCGATTATATCAGGAGGAATGCATCGACCATTGGAAATATAAGTGGTACCGAGAGTATGTCCGCGATATTCAGGAATTACAGCAATACTGGTCAATTTAATGCCAGGTAATCATTTTTAACTACTAAAATATGTAGAATTTTATTTTTTATTAATAACTTCATTTTAGAATTAAAAATTAAAATTTAGTATAAAAATTTTATTTAATTGAATAAATTATAAATTTTCATTTAAAAAGAAAATTATGGTGATTTTTTTTTTTATAAAAATCGCAGATACTCTAAAGTTTACTTTTGAAAAATATCAAAGCAAAAATCGTACTTCTGTTATTTGCTTCCTCGCAGAGAGGAAGTATTTTATTTAATTATTGTTTGCTTTTCATTAACTGTAATTGAACAAACCTTACAACTTTAAGTTAGCATACAGAAGAACATAAAACAAGAGTAACAAAAATCTAACCGCACTGTAATTTAAAGCTCTTATATAATCACAGAAAGGATGCCATTCGATCGCTATTTAATTATTTTTTTAAACAAACTTTAGAAAATATTTTTTATTTCAGTTTTAACAAATTTTTATAATAAAAAATTTTGAAATCATTAAAATCAATAATTTATTAGAAATCTTCACAATTACATCCTCTAATTTAGGAGGTAAAAGGTTTTTGATAAAGAAATGTGTCTACTAGATTGGAGATAATGTTAATAAGAATTCTTAGATTAAAAGATCGATAAATACTTGAGATTGATTCACTTAATTTTTTAGCCCTAGTTGTAGCCAACTGGAGGCTGGTTGGAACATTGATCTTCAAGAGTTGGAGTATAATCCTTCGAAAAAAGATTTAACTGATGCTAAAATACATCATCTTCTCGCGGAGGAATTATGCAAGCCTTATAAACGCGTAAGTAGTGTTCGTGACTAACACATTTGATTTGCTTTTTATCCTTACTAGTTCCCCCTAGACCCAAACAAAATATTTACAGAGAAATCGAGAGACTTCGAAATTGCAGCATCGTCGCCTTAGCTACAGTCGTCATGCCGTCGACGATCGAGATCTCTCGACTCAAGTCAATTACAAGATGCACATGAACATCAGACGAATGGTGGGAGAGCACAAACATCGTCACAAGCGCAGCAAAAAATTGCTCAAGGTTACTTTTACTTATTATTTATTTATTTTATATTGTTTTATTTTTACTTTTCATTGATACGAAATAATATCCGAATTATTTTATGCCACTGGAAATTTCAGTATATAAACTTATAATTGCTTTTAATTTCTATAATTTAAATATATAGTTAAAGGCATTTTATTATATTCAGGATGACGAGGGTGTCGAGTGTTCGAATAATCTTCTATCACCTGATAATATTCCGAGATATATTTCTGATGAAAATGAAAAGGTATATTTCGATAAACCTTTGAAATGCCGAGTTTAAAAAAAGCAATAACACAATCTTAACAGATTTAAAGTTTTAATTTGATCCCTTTAGCTTTTTAGAATAACATTGTAGTCGAGTTGATTGAAATCCAATATTGAAAATAACAAACATTTTAGTAACTCAATTAAAAAACTAGTTAAGAATTAATAAGTGATATTACAAATAAATTTCACTAATTTTTTATGAATCATAGATCGAAAATAGGTGAATATTTTGAAAATTTGACCTAATTTTGAAAAACAGCTAACACCATTAAATTCAGTGTCATCGAATTAGATTGTTTAAATTTTATTAGAATTTCTAAAATAAATCAATTTTGAGGTAAAATATTACGGAGTAAAATATGTTAGCGAATTTCACCAACTATATTGCGTTAAAGGGCGAAGGTTGCAGAAAATAATCGTTCGAGCGATAGATCAGTGCGTTTGAGCTAATTAATGCAATAAAAACGTTTCCAAACCTTGTGATAAATATTATTAATTTGGAGTGCGTTTATTAATTTTTCTTTAAAAATAAAATAACGACATGTTTTTTTAATGTATTTATTTTATTTATTTAATTTATAAATAAACATTACCTGAATTTCAGGATGGTAAGCAGAATCACGTAAGTTTTCCCGAGTTTCAACAAAATGGTTCAACGAAACTTTTTTCACAAGGTTTGTACATTAAATAATAATAATAATAATAATAATAATAATAAAAATAAAGAAGAAAATACTTTAAAAATAAACATTCATAATATTTTAAAGTTTATATTGAACCCTTGTGAATAATTTTGTAGATTATATTAACGACGTGTTGGACGAGTCGGATAATGGGGATTCTTCTAAACCTCCAAACGACTGGGAATCAGGGATTACTTTTACTGCCCGAACCTCTGGTACTGAAATTAATTTTCTCTGAAACAATTAAAAATATGCAAATTATCATTTACATAATTTTAAACATTATTTCAATGTATATATAATATTATTTTCATATAAGTTAAATATATTCTATATTAAAAATATTAAAATTCAGTAAAATAAATATTGTGTTTGAAATTTAGAAACATAGAAAGAAATTACTTTTTTTTATAGATTCTTCAATAACTCCTGGAGCGGATGGACCGTCTTCTGGAGCAGATATCGATGATGATATCAAAACTGATTCTAGAACTGAAGATAGTAAAACTTTTGGAAGGGCAGATGGTAAATTTTTTATTTTTAATAAAAGTATTAATATGATAAAAATAATGTTAACATGACCTATATCGGTTTAATGATATTAAAATATGTTAGATATTTTGAATTTCTAATTAATTCTTCATAATTATCTTAATTTTATTTTAATATTAATAATAATAATAATAATAATAATAATAATAATAATAAAGTAATTTAATTAATCGATTGATAATCGAAAAAATTTATATTTATTTGAATTTCGAATTTATATTCTTTGATAATTAAGGAAGAAAAATTTCCACAGAATAAAACTCGTAATGAGTCATAATTTTCTTAAAATAAGTTTTAATTGCAGGCGACAGTTATAGAGTCACTACACCAACAGCAACAGAAACTATGTTGCCTTGGAAACGGGAGGATGACTACGATTCTGCCCATCCAATTAAACAAAATGAATTTCCAGCTTGGTGCTCTAATAAGGAGTATATAGCTTATAGTTCGCCTTCTGCAACATTTCTAGGTAAGAGTTATAAGTTTCAGAAAATAATAAATTTCTCTTTTCGAATATAACTATAATATTATTCTTATATATAAATTATTAAATAAATATATAAAACTATTCTATAATATAATAAATAATTATATTCTAAAATTTTTTAAATAAATTACAATTGAGTGTTGAATTATAATTCTTCAAAAATTTAATAATTATATATATATTATAAATATATATATATAAATATAAATTATATATATATATATATATATATATATATATATATATATATATATATATAGGCATTTCATATATATAATAATTATGTCAATAATAATATTATTAATCATCCTGAATTAAAAACTATTTTTCTCTTTGTCAAATATATAAAATTTTTCTAGGGGACCAAGAAACTCGCAAATTGCCTCCTTCTTGAAATCAAATTCATGCTTTTATGTCGCACATTATGATGTTAATTATCTGTGTTCAAAATTGCACAAAAGCTATTAGACTAAATTTGCGAATATTTTCTAAATTTTGGTTAATTAAGTACTTTTAAAATTATTCAACATGCAATCTGATTATAATAATTGCTTTTGCATGTAATTTTTTTATAATAATTTTTTTTATTGTTTAGATATAAGAAAATTAGAAAAATATTTTTAGCTCTGTAACATATATTTTTTTTCTCAGCTTATACAAAAGTATTTATTTATTTAATTTATTGAAAATTACATTGAATGTAATTAATTAAGTAATTTAACAAATGTAATTTGTTAAAATTACACGAAATATAATTATGTTATTAATCATTAAATGTAATTTATTCGAACTACATTTAAATTGCAAAGAAACACGAACAATATTTATACTTTGGATTATGAATAATTTCTTATTATGAGCTTAAAAATAAATTTGCCTGAGTTGAGAGTCAACGTTGGCTCTGAGTTTCGATTCTTTGCCACCCTTATAGAATATGGTGAGTATACAGAATTATTATCGATCGTAGAGTGATTATCATAATAACATTAAAGATGAAAGATTTAAACGACTCTGCAACTCAAATACCCAATAACATCGGTTCAAGGAATCATATAATATTTAATTGATAATAATATTAAACAATACCACAATTTTTAATCAAATTACAATTAAAAATCGATTCTAACACTCGCTATGTTGAATTAATAACCTATTACCTTTAAAATAGTAAATTAATAACTGTCTATAAATTGTAAATGAATTACAATACCTATTAAAATTATTTTTTTATATATGGGTTTTGAATAATAATAATTTATTGCGGTTAAAATATAATTTTGTAAATTGAAATAAAGTCATAAAATTTAATTATGTTTTTGACAATAAAAAAAAATTAAAAACTGTTGTCCAAAGCGAAACAGATGTAACGTGTGTTGTATAATATTTACAGTTGTTTATGATAAAAAAAAATTTTTTCATGCCATATGGTTATCCAAAGAATCGAAACAATATGTGTCTATAAGGTTATTATACTATCAACTTTGGCCTCATTGCTTTACCACTTTTTTTTATCTATAATTCCAGAAAAAGATTTTTTAAATCTATAACTATTTGTGTTTGTAACATTGAATGTTTTTATAATTTTGTCACAACTCTATTGTTGTTGTTGAATTTGAATTGAATTGTCTGTAACATACCTTATTATCTTTCTCATTTTTTCTTCTGTATTCAATTAACCCTGGGGACTTTATATATTAATTAATAAGCAATAATTAATTGTATATTTTTCACCCTATTCTTATTAATTAATTAATTATCTATTATAAATTAAAAATAATAATTTCAATATCCTAGAAAGTATTTAATTTTTGTATTTTTATAAAATATGATTTTCATTTTTCTAGGAGGAATTGAACAACCAAAAATTCAGTCTGTGATTGGTCTTTTCCGAAGAGAAAGCGCTGCTACATCCGATACTTTAGGTTCACACGATATTGACGAAAGTGAAGAGTATACAGCATTAAGGTTTGACAAACATAGTCCACCAAGTACTGAAGGTAAATGAATGTCGAAGTTCTCTATAATTATATATTTCTTCAATTTCTAGTATTCTTCTATTTCTTTCTATTTCTAGTATTCAATTTCTATATTTCTTCTTTCATTTTAAATTTTTTTAGTTTTTTTTTATCAAAAATGGAAGCTGTTTGCAATTATTCATTTATTAAAAGTATAATTTAATCTAAAAGAATATTTTTATTAATTTATGTTTAGTTTTTAAGTTTTTATTAATTATATTATTTTCAATTTAAATTTTAACATTTTAAGTTTAATATAATTTAAATAGCAACTGCGTTAAATTTCTATGTACCTGAAAATCTAAATATACATACATAACTAACATTTCATACCAACTAATAATAAAAGCTAATAATATTAGTTTGTATCAATTTTTATTTTTATTTTTAGGTACAAATAAATGAAAGGGGGAAGTGAAGTTGAGAATGTGGAAGATTTCTATTTTTATTTCCTTAAATTATAACTCTTTTGTTACCTAATTGCGTTCATTAAACAATTTCTTTTATTAAGTTTTAAGAATGTTTAATTGATTTGAATTTTAATCAGAATTCATTAATATTTAAATATTTGTTTAATAAGTATATTTTGAAATTAGTTTTTAAACAAAATTAATTATAATTAAATATATTATTTAATTTATATATGATAATAGTTCATAATTTTAGAACTTGCATGAAATTTGATAAATTTACGATAATTTTGAAATGAATTTTACAATTTATTATATCAATTAAATTGATTAAAATTCAGTAACAAGAGAGTGTTTGATTTTGTTAGAAACGAAAAAACCTCTGACAAGGAGACGTGGTTCGATGATGGAGCTGGGAGCTTTAGAATCATCAGCAAAAGAAAAAAATAACAAAGGATCTCACTCTCTTCCTGAATATTGGAATCCACACAGATTGCGATTCACTTCCTTCAGTTATTCTGGCAAAGAACCAGCGAGTCTTTCGACTGCATTGATCGCATCATCTTCCAATTCATCAGTTGAACTTGAAGAGGAAGATTGACCAAGAAGAAAGGAGTCGTTCTCCTTTGAACAACTTCGACCAAAACGAAATCGAAGACGACGTCCTACATCATTATGGTCCAAGTTGCTCGGAGATTCAAGCTCTCCTGTCTGAAAAACAAAAAACCTATTTTTTCACTATAAAAACACACATCGTTCATTTTGTAGGATATAATAAAATATATTTAAACTAATGCTAAGACCGAAACTACGCAATACGGTGCTTTAGGACAAAAGGATAATAAGTTAATGAATGTGCGTGAAAACGGGTGGTGGTGAATTTGTTAAAAAAAAGAGAATGAATTTTTTTTTTGTCATGCTCGAACAACGCGAAAAAATTTAATCAATAAACGGAAAACTATAGGAATTGTCGTTCGACAAAAATAATAGAGGGTCTGTCCATATCGTCGCGACATTAACCTTCTCGAGGAAAATTTTTTGCATGTCTCGCTCGATTTTAAAGAGAGAGATGACAAATATTTTGTTGTTGATATAGTAAAATTGATTAGAGGAAGGCAGGAAAAATTTCAAATAATTTTCATTCATTGAAAATCATGATATTTTTATCTCGAGATTTAATGATTTTTTTTTCTTTTTTTTTTTTTTTTTGGTATTTAAATTTAATTTCACATTCAATTCCATTTATGATTATAATATTCAAATGAAAAATTTTACCTGCCTTCAATTAAGCTCAAATGTCAGGGAAAATTGAAGGTTGTTTAAAAAAATAATATACTGTTGTTGAGCTCAGAGGTGGTAAATTTCTGAACATGCATTCTATATTCTGAAATTTAGATATAAAAAGATAATTGACATTAAATAAAATAATTATTTTGTCAAAAAAACAAGTAAAAAGTAATAAATATGCAGAATTAGAAGAAAAAAAGTAAACCTTCTCAATTTTTTTAATAATAATAACAAAAAAAAAGAAGAAAATATCAAGTCTCTTTAATGGAAATGGAAATTTCAATACACATATTTCCCTATTTTTTTACTGTTTGCAAACACTGATCAATTTTAAATAATAGTCAATATTGAATTGCAATAAAAAAAAATTTTAGACACGTAGATTTCTTTTACTATATGTTCCGACATGTAATAAATAATAATAATAATAATCAATAATTGATTAAATCAGAAATAGAAAATCAAAACTTGTATCAAATATTAAATAAGAAATAATATGATGTCGGAAGAAAAAAATTTTAAGCAATTAATAATAATCTATTGATTAGTGTGAGAAAAAAAACAACGCTGAATATTCGCATAAAAAAGAAATATGCAAAATTTAGGGGGAAAAAAGCACTATTTTTTCGAGCATTTTAGATACTTGCCTGGCTTCGAGCTCGCAGACATGCTTGTAAATATCGTGTATTATAAAAAGAAAGTTACAAACTGTAATATATAGACTAGTAAGTAGTAGAAAGTTTAATAAAGAAAAAAAAAAAACGCTGAAAACTTAGAAAGAAAATTGATTCCCTTCTTGAAAAGTCATGATTTCCATATCTAACAACAATTTCGCTTAATACTGTTATTATCATATAAAAAAAGGGACGAAACAGTAAATGATATAATAAACTTCTTCTCTACATTTCATACAAATTTCCATATCCAAATATATTTCATTATTTGGATTTAATTCACAAATGATATATTTATATAAATTATTTAAAAAAAAATTAATATCCATTAAGCAAGAATCTCTAACAAATTAATCGCATTATTATAATATTATATATATATAGTAAAAGACCATCGCAAAAAGGGATCTATAACACAGGGTGTGATTTTTTCTCACAAATGTTTTTTACATTACAAAAATGATTAAAAGAAAAATATATTTTTCTGCAAGTGAAACTAAAATCACTGACTATATTTCCAGATGTTCAATTTATTTGAAGATATTTTAATGAAATTTTAAATCCATTGTAAATAGTTTTTAAACAAAATTTTACTTCTAAAATGTTATTAAAAAGCTATAAATTAACATTTTTTATATGTAATTTAAAATAATTCTTCTCTGCTTTTTAGTTTCAAATAAAAATTTTCTTGAATATATAATACATATATATAATAAATTAGTGAATTTAATATTTGAATTCGGTTAATTCTATTTTTAACAGATTAGATAATTTTGAAATTAAAAAAGAAAAATTTCTCATGACTAATCTTGAAGGGAATCGGAAAATCGTTTTAAAAATGCACATATGGACAGCTCGCATCGAACTTAAGAAAATTATATTAATTATAGCCTTATAAATAATGCGACGCATGTACTTACATTATTTAGTTAAATACATATAAGTAGGACATTAAGTCAGTTTTACACGAATTTGATGCAACGTCATGTGGCGATGTCGAGAAAAAAGATACAGGTGTCCTTTTTCCAATAAAAATCAGGTTTTAAATCCTAGACCAATAATAACATTTAGGAATTGATGTCTTCAGAACTGAAAAGTATAAAAGCCGATTAAGACTAAATTAAATTAGTAAAAATAAAATAAATCAAATTCTCTTTAAAGAAAAATATTGTAAATTAAATAAAAATAAAATAGATATTTTTTTAAAAACACTTAGCTCTTTTTTTATTCAAAATTATAATATTAAATAATCTCTTACGACAGATTATTGACTTTTAATATTTAAAAATTTTTTTTTCCGGTAGGTACAACTTCTTTCCTCTTCTTTTCAATAAAATACTATTATAATAATATTATTATTAAATCGAAAAACTCTTATTAAAAAATCTCGTTGAAAAAAGAACTTTTTTTTTCAAAATAAAAAATAATTTTAATATATCAGACTAATTTAAACGAAAGTAATTAATTTAATGAAATATTACTGTTCTTATTAATTTTTTGTTTTGTTTATTGTTTGCGTAAATAGTTGTAAAATTGATTCTGAATGATTAATCATTTTAAATTTATTAATTATGAAATTCCTGCTTAAAATAATTAACTTATAAAATGCAAAATTAATTATGTTTGATATTAAATTAGTTAATTGTATATAATAAGTTAATTAACAGTGGAAATAATTGATTAGAGACTTAAAGATTTATGTGAATGAGCTTTTAAATTAAACAGTATAAAATTGAAACTAATGAAGTGAACTGATCTCTTTATTTTTCCTATGGCTTCTTTTCTATCGTCTAGGAAATGCTCATATGCTAAGTTGAATTTTTGAGTCTTTGAAATATAAAATGTTTCTATAGAATAATTTTTTTTTGATTCATATGGAGAAAGGATACGTGTTTCTTTAAAATAGAAAATTTGAAAAGGCTTCCAAAAATCTTGAAAGAGAGAGAGAGAGAGAGAGAATGAGAGTGATGGCACTTTAATAATACGTTTTAATATACTGATATAATTTAAAAATGTAAAAACTTTCTTTAAAAATTATCTCGCTGTTCATAAAACCTAATTTCTGTCTGTTTAAAATCGAACATCAGAAAAACATTTAATTAATTAGAAATACAAATATTTTGATCAGGGTTTTTAGTGCAAAATTATAATTGTATACATATATTTTTTCTAAATTGTACAATTTTTTTTAATCAAGTATTTTGTCAAAAATATGTAAACCTAGATTTTTAATTTAAACAAATTTTTAAATTACTTTTAAAAAACATTATTTAAATAAGATTTTTATTAAAATAAAACTCAGGTTTTCGAAAAATATGCCCAAAAGAAATATTTGTAATAATTTTGTTTGACTTTAAATAAAGAAAAAAATTAATTTTCAAATATAGTTCCTAAAAACTTAAGTGAATTATTTTTTAAAAGCAATAGCTGTGAAATAATAATGAATAAGTAAGTTTCACGAATATTTATAATTAATTAATTAAACTATAAGAATTTAATAATGATTAAAAAAAGAATTTCCCCGAGACCTGTATAAAATACTTGTATTTCAGTCGACTGATCTAAATAAAAAAATTTTGTGCGACTCATTGATCGCGAATGAAGTTTTAAATAATATGCATATAATATTATTTTTTTCAACTAACGAACGAAAAGGAAAGAAGTTAATTTTGACTTGTTCTTGGATGCTGAGTGTTTTTCTAATTAACTATGGGCCATATTTTAACTCTTCCATCTCTGCTGTGTGGCCCAGATAAAAACTAATCGAGACCAGCTTTAACTAGTCTCTATGCTGTTGATTTGTTAAATAAATGTTTATTTCGTACAAAAATTCGATTATTTATATTTTCTTCTTGAAACCTATAACAAAAATTTTTGTTTTATTTCTATAAAAATTCATAGTTTACTTAATATTCATCATTTAGATAAAAATTTAGTAAAAAAAAAAAAAAAAAAATTTCTCAAGAAATAGTTTTACAATAATATTTATAGAGAAATTGCTTCATTCGATAGTGGTATGAATAACTAACTCTAATTAACCGCGTGTTAATTATGTGTTGCTATATATAAAACTGCGTTAATGAACGTTAATAAAAATAAATACTTGACTAGTTATGAACTCATATTATGTACTTCAAAACGAAGTTGCAATTCAATTTTGAAAGTGAAGTTTACAAGTGAATGTTGTTAAAACAATATGCCAGGCGGTGTTGTTTTTTTAGTTTGCATTCCCACATTAAGTTACGAGCATGAACTTGTATTTGGATTTCCGATAAAAAAAGACAAAAAGCCAATAAAACCAAATAAAATGGATTTACGGCTTAAAGATACAAAATCGACAAAAAATTTAATACCTTTAGGTGCTGAAGACACCGATGATTATAATGAGGCAGAAGACGTTGATGATCAAATTGGCAATACTCTCGTCACTTTTCCTGGACGAAAAATTCCCACAAGGGATCGTAATTTTTCAACACCTAGAATGCGTCCAAAGGATCCTGTTTTTGTTTCAATGGAAACGGTAACTACATGTTTTATTAAAAAATACACAGTAATTTATTATATTGTTTGTAAAATAAATATTTTTTAAAACAGGTCTTAGCTGAACTACTGAAAAAACTGAGAGTAGAACACGTTGTGTGGTGCAAAGATAGAGGAAATATGTATTACGAGGTCAATTATTTCTTCTCCATATTTTAATAGATTACTTTCTTCTAATTTTATAATACAAATTAAAAAAAAAATAAAATCTAATAAAAAGCTAAAAAAAATGTTCTATTTTAAATGAATCTACTTTAGATTAAAAATTAAAATATATTTTTATAAATTTTAATAAAAAAATACTTTAAAAAAAATTTATAATTATTACTTGAATAATATTAATTATAATTAATAATCAATTATTGACATTTTATTGTAGGTAATTTTTCCAGTTCCTGCCGGTGATCCTTGTGAGAATTGTCTTCATTGTTTAACTGAAATGGGAATAGGAGTTAAAATGAATTCTATCGTAAGGTAATAGAAATAAAAAAAATTTTGATGTCACTAAAAATTTTTTTGATTATAAAAATTAAAAGAAAATAAATTTTTAGTGTGATACCAACTCAATGTACTTACAGTGGAGTAGGACATGTGGAAGCGGCTGCAATCAAATTAGAAGAAGAACGTAGAAGGTTTTTATTTTCAAAAAAATATTATCTTTCATAATAATATTTTAATAATTGTTTTTAAATCATTGAAAATGAATAACAAATAAATACATTATTGTCCGAATAGAATTACAATTATAAATTGTATATAATTATTGAATGTTATAGAAAAACTGAACAACGAAGAAATGACTGGGAGAATTTTGTGTCCTCAATCCGTTCAAAATTAACTGTTAAACAAGTTGTCGATGGTGTACAAAGCGGTGGCGATTTAACATTTGATTATATTTTATTAGTGCTAACTGCTGAGTAAGCTGCAACTTTGAAAATTATATTTGTAGAAAATTCAATCACAAAATGATATAACTGTATTTAAAATCTTAAATAGTAAATTTACAACTTTAAATAACGTATATAATTAAAATTTAACTGCTCTTTTTTCTTAAGAATATTAAAAAATATATATTAAAATTGACGATTTATTTTAGTTGCCTTGCTGCTCTTGGATTAGTTGAAAACAGTGCAACAAATGTCGTTGCAGCGATGTTAGTTTCTCCTCTAATGGTATAATTGATCGTGACTTTTAAATCTAATATTAAACTGATTGTCAATTAAAATATAATATTAATTATTTTTATGTTTAGGGTCCAGTGATGTCGCTGACATTTGGTACTGTTATAGCTGATAGAAATTTGCAATTCATTGGATTCAAGAGTTTGATGCTCGGAATTTTTCTATCTATTCTATTTGGTTTTATCTTTGGTCTCGTTCTTGGTACAACCGAAATGCCTTGGGGTTATAATGATTGGCCAACAGATGAAATGAAGGGCAGGTAAAAAAAATGAAAATCACACAATTAATTTCACTTTTGTCTTTATTGTTTTGAATTTTATTCAATCTAGTTTATATTAATTTTCTTTTAGAGGAAATTATAGATCATTGTGGATGGGCGTTCTTTGGGCTTTACCATCTGGTACGGGTGTTGCTGTGGCTCTTCTTCAAGGCAGTAATGGTCCATTAATTGGAGTTGCAATTTCTGCATCTTTATTGCCACCTGTTGTCAATTGTGTAAGATTAAAATTGTTAATGACAAAGTGGATTGATTTTAATTAAATTTTCTCATTTTCTTTAAATTAGACCATTGTGCATTATTTTATTTAGGGATTATTTTGGGCCCTTGGATGCATTTGGCTTATTTATCGTCCAATTAAAATGCCTCACATTAAAGGTGAATCCTATACAGATTTCAACAGTTCTTATCAATATGTCTACACTGATTATCTACCTGTTGAATTTTTCTGCAATGGTATCATCAGTGCATGTTTAACGTTTGTAAATGTCGTTTGTATTTTTATCACTGCAATTATTGTTCTTAAGGTCAGTGATTGTTATCTCTAATATTTGAATTGATGAGGCTCAAATATCTTTTTCTATTTCTTTTTATAATTTGTTTAGATCAAAGAAGTTGCAGCTCCTTACACATCAACACCAGAACTTCGACGATTTTGGGAACATGATATTCGTTTAGTTCGCGATAAAAACATATCGCGAGATAACAGTTCGCTCGATTCTAGGTGAATACAATATAAATAAATAAAAAACATTTTGTAATGAATTGTCAAAAAAAATAATCGCTTTCTTGTTTCCAGCTTTTATGATGGATTAAGTAAAATGAAGAAACAAGCTTTGGAACGTACCCTCAACGAAGCAGTTCTTGAAGCAATTGATGATGACACCTTTCGCAAAGTTCAACGAGCCAGTTATGGGCAACATGGAGCTGAAGACGTAAGGAAACTTGGACTGTAAAATAAAATTATTTATACAAATAAACAAAGAAAACTATTTACACTATTTTTTTTAAATAGATATCTCCGAGAATTGGATTACGTAACGCTTTAGGGGAAGCCGATGTCAAAGGCAAAGTAGCAGAGAAAAATATCGATACTTCTCATCCAACTGAAGGTTTACCAAATCAATTGCAAGCCAATACCACTGAAGATCTTGCAGCTCTTGACAGACTCATAACATACTTACTTGGTCAACCATCCACCACAAATAATTCCAATAATTCGGGAAATTCAAATTTAGACAATTGGCAACGTTCTTTTCGCGCTAGTGCAAGGGGTTATCGGCCATTGAGATCAAATGAAAATCCCGGCGAATCTTCAAACGGAATTAACACTACACCATTGTAAAGATAAATTTTTTTTTTTTATTAAAATTACTAAGTTTCGATAACATTTTCTTTTTATAGAAATAAGTAAATGAAGAAATAATATTCTTCATTATTCGCACATATTCATTATCACGACTTTGAAAATATAATTTACGTATAGTCAATCGACAATAATCAGTCAAACATGTATGCCAAAGTCTTTTCCAAAAATGTTAATCATCCTCGAGAGATGGTTCAGTTCCAAAGTATCTGTCACCAAAATTACCAATTCCTGGAAGTACATAAAATTTCTCATTTATCTCGGGATCCACGGCTGATGTGACAATTTTCACTCGCGGGAAGGCATAGGCAATTGAATGAACACCGGATTCTGCCATCAAAAGTGATACAAGTAGAATATTATCTTCTGCAACGTCATGATCGAGAAGAACTCTTATTGCCATCATAGCTGCGGCACCAGTTGCTACTGTTGCATCCATCAATATAACTTTGTAATCTTTTATGTCCTTCGGTAAACGTAGATAATATAACTAAAAGAAAAAAAATGGACAATTTTTTATCGGAATAATATTACAAGGTGTTGATTACAATTTTCGAATTTAATTCAAGTTTTTTTTTTTTGCAAAAGACAAATAAATTAAAATTTAAGTATTAAAACATAATCATTTTTTTTTCTCAAATGATTGAAAATCATGCTCACCTCTGGTTCTCCAGTTTGAAGATTTGTCTGAATAAGTATTTTGCCGATACGTATATCTTTACAAACATCTCTCACAGCTTGTTCCATTGTTTCTCCTGCTCTTAAAATAGAAACACCACATATTTTGTTGGTTGCCGCTCGTTTTCCATGGTAAGGAACACCTTGTGGTGTATCCACTATTATTTCCTATATGACAGAAAAATCAGTTTTACATTAATTTTGAACATAATAAATTTTCTTCAAAAATACATTTTTCAACATTATACAGAAAATTAAAAATATTTTTTTATTGTGAAATAATTAAAATATGTTAAATTGTTTTGAAATAATAAGTGTACATCTAATATTAAAACTGCGTGATCTCTTTGATTTAAACTTGTATTCATATTGTTTTCAATTAAATAAAGTGCAAAAATATACCTGGAAAGGTAAAAGAGACAAGGCGTATTCAATAACCAGGCGTATAAGTCTCTTTGAGTAAAAAATGAATTCATCTCGATGTGTATATCTGTTCCTTATAAAAGTATGAAGACCTTTACTTTGTGGTGAATCGGGTAACATGAAAAGAGACGAAGGCATAGGTTGTCCGAGACAGGAGTGAGCAAGTTTCTCTCTTAATTTAAATCCTCTCTATAGAAATAAAAACAAAATAATAAATTAACTGGAAGTGATAGTAATTTTAGGCAAATTAATTCTATAAAAAGGAGAAAACTCTACATATTAAAGTTTAGACAAGTGCTAATAATTCTTCACAAATAAATTTTACACGAGAAAATTTAGTTAAAATTTATAATATAAAGTTTTCTAAAATTTATTAATAAAAGTACGTAAAAATTGCTTAAATTTAAACACAGAAAATATTGTAAGAAAGTACAAAATGGAATTAATTGATAAGCTATCAGATTAGATTTCTATATAAGTTTCTTTTTCATTGGATATAATAATATTTATTATATAAAACATAATAAAAGAATCTTATAAATAAAATTTATAAACAAAACACACAAAGTTTACGAATTAAAATTAGTTTTGAAAGTAAAGTAACAATAAAAATTTTATAAAAAAGAAAAACGAATGTAAAAATTTTTAAAAAGAAAAAAATAACTAAATATTTACTTAAACCATCCGTGCAGGGTGGTTTGTTTGAGATCCATATTTTCATTAACTAGTGTAAGATTTTCAATTTTATTCAATAAACTGAATACACTTTCATCTGCTCCTTTAAGCTGGCTAAAAAAACGACGTACTGTTTTTAAAGAGTCCATTACCTCTGACCTTGTTACAATAGAAACCTCGTCGTCACTCTCTTTATTCGTTCTTTCAAAATCATCACTTTTAATAATATTTTGACTACCGAATTCTTTATTCGAAGCATTTGACATGTAATCATCAATGATTCTATCATTAAAATGAATTTCGTATACAGGTGTGTAATCATCAATGTTAACAAACTCATCAAAGGATACTGATGAATTGAAGAAATTTTGGATATCATTCCAACGTTTTACAACCTCATTAAAGGAAGGTTCAGGACAGTCACTCGTTGCATCGATGACCATAATCTGCCGAGTTTCATCATAATCATTTTCTTCCGCATATTCCACAGGATCAGTATCCATCGTAAATCCAGCTTTTTTGAAGCATTTTTGAATAGATTCTGAATTTACAATTTCCCAACTTGCAGCAATAAAGTGCATAGCTTCAAGTATATTGACTTTCCAATTTAAAGATGTTTGTTGATTGTTAAGAGAAATCTCAGTCAAAATCCGCCGCGCAATCATTTTTCTGTAGTAATGTTTAATAACTTTAATAATACCCATGTCAAGTGGCTGAGTGTGAAAAGTACTGTTGGGTGGTAAAAATTCTACTCTTAAATTTGTCAAAAATTCTAAATTTTTAGGATGAGCAGGACAATTGTCAACTATCATAAGAATTTGACGCCTTTTTGTACGCATCTGGAAATCAATTTTTCTTAGCCAGAATTCGAACTGTTCACTCGTCATCCAAGCATTTTTTTGATCAGTATAGTCACAAGGAAAATTTCGAATATTCTTAAAGCATTTTGGCTGTTTAGATTTACCAATCACTAGGGGTTTTAACTTTTCAGATCCATCCATGTTGCATGCCAATAGTATAGTGATACGTTGTTTGCTACATTTTTCTCCATTACAATATTCTATACCATGAGTCATGCTATTGTCAGGTAATAAATTGAAAAATAATCCAAATTCGTTTGCACTGTAAATATCTTTTGGTTCGTATTCTTTTAAAATTCTAGGGAGAACATTATTCTTCCATCCTTCAACAATATTTTCTGATATTGATGTACATTCACCAGGTATTATCTTACAATTGATGACATATCTTTTTCGAAATCGATCAATCCATCCATTTGATGCAGTGAAATTTTCAATTTTTAGCTGATTAGCAACAACTAATGATACTTTTCTGATTACAGATCCATTGATGGGAATATTTTTGGATCGTAATTGATGTAAACTTTCGAATAGAATTTTTTCGAGCTCTTCAAATTTTGCACTTTTTACTCTCTTTCTTTTTACATCAACTGTTTTTGCAGCCTCTTCAAGTTCCTTTCTCTTTAAAATTATCGAATATAAAGTGGATGTTGAAATATTAAATTCCTTAGCAATTTGTACTTGTGTTAATTGAGTATTTTCATCCATTTTAGTAAAAATTTTCATTTTTTCTTGAATTGTTAAGGTTTTACGCTTCATTTTGTTCATTGTCAAATAAATAATAATATAAACCTTTTGATGATAATCAGTTGCTACTATAGACAAAAATCATTTGTTATTTTACTACGTTGAACATGATAAACTTATTATGCCGCAGTTTGACATTTAATATCTGAAGATATCATTTTACATCATAGAATAAACCATTGTAAAATTGCGTATTGTAGCAAACAGGCCAATTCATGTACTTTTTCTGAACTTCTGCACAGGTGACACATAACCTCCCTTAATCACAACACTATAACAAGTGTCAACACAAAGAAATAATGAAAGTTCATTCGACAATATTCGGAACTGTTCGGAACCTTTCGAATCATTGGTCAGCAGTATTTAAATATTTAAATTACTAAACAAACTAAATAATTAAATTTTTCTAATTTATGTAGAATTTCTCGTATAAAGTTTATTTATGTAGAAATAATATCTCTTATCTAAATTTTAATATATAAAGTTTTCTCGTATAAAATTAAGCTTGTAGATTTTTTGCGTAGAATCATTATCAAATTAATTAATTAAATTATAAAAAAAATTAATCAATATTTTTAAGTCTAAGGGCCAGTTTCACCGACTCCGGTTAAAAGTTAATCAGCGATTAAATCCTTAACCGACCAATCATGAGCGGTTAAATTGGCTTTAATCGCTGATTAACTTTTAACCTGAGTTGGTGAAACTGTCCCTAAGAATTATAGAACTTTGTGAAATTAACCATCAATGTTTCGAAGGTAAAAAGACTTTTATTTCAGGATCAGTGATTTTATTTAAATCCTATTAGTTTGTTCTTTTCTTTTAAAAAAATTGTTTCATTAAAAATTTTCATAATCAATATTGAATCCATCTTTATTAATATTGTCAAGTCTGAAGCTATTGTTGATTTCATAAAGATAAATAAATTAGATTTATTAATTAAATTAAAAACAAAAAAAAACATACCAGTTGAAGTTGGGTGTGAATATGTTGTACAATGAGTTCGATCGCCACTTCGTTTTCTCCACCGCGGGGCACGATAATGTCAGCATGAACCATAAGAGGAGCAATGTAATAATAGAAAGAGGGCTTCACCATAGTGGAATACTGTTTTAAAACACCCTCTAGATCTCTTCCTCTCTGCGTTATATCCCTTCGTAGACGTCGTGCGAGTCTTATATCAGCATCCGTATCAACGAAGACCTTCATGTCACACAGCTTCACATTTTGAAGAAATATAGTTGTAAAAGATTGTTTTACTTCTTCATGAGAAATAATTTCTATCTACTTTCCTTAATGCATCACACTGGAAACGCGAATAGTGCGCGAATGGACGTGAAGCAAATAAAAATGTAAAGGAAACAAAAGGGACGTTAGGAGACCAGCAGTTGAATCCTGATCCTGTACTCTGTAAATTTTCTTCAATTATACACCTTTTCCCCCAATTTCGATCGCAAATTAATTTCATTTTGTAGTAATGATCAGTATTACAACCACCGCTGTGTTAGTGGTAACAAGTGATTAAAGGAAGCGAAAAAAAAATATTAAGGAGTTTGTTGCTTTTTTTTTGTTTTAGTCAAATACAGTTACTACAAAAAATTAAACATGCAAACACACACCTAATTGTTTTTAAAAAAAAAAGTTACCTTCAATACGTCTGAGTTGTAAAAGGTCAAAATACCTTCGAATATTATGACATTGGCACCGTACATCGTTTTCTTTGCATTAAAGAAATGTATAATTAAAATTTATTACGTTAAGGACGTGTAAAGTAGGTTGATAAATTTAGAACTTACGGTCCGATTTTCTCTTGAGTGCGTAACAAAGTTGTAAATAGGAACTTCAACCTTTCGACCTTCTTTAAGGCGTTGCAGTGTTGCTTTCAATAATTCAAAGTCAAAAGCGTCTGGATGATCGAAATTATATTCATTATTTGCAGCCATTTCATGCTGCTTTTCGTTTAGAACCTATATTAAGAAAATTTGAAATTTATAAGAAACATATTTAATTGTGCCAATTTTCAATTTTTTTCCTTTCTCTCTGCTTTTGATTTTCAATCTTTTTTAAATTTCTAAACTCTTCACTCTCTCAATTTTGAATTAAAAAATTTTTCAATAAACCATTTATTGTCATCGTTAATTATACTAGAAATCTCACTTTATAGAACGAATCCATGCTGAGTAATGTCACCCACGGAACATCTAGAGATTCGATAATTTTTGTTGCTACCGTTGTTTTTCCGGAAGCACTGCCACCACAAATACCTAAAAAAAAAAAAAATTTGTTTCAAAATTTTATTCAAATTCGAAGAAAATATTTAAAAATTAAAACGAAAATTATAGAGAAGAGAAGACTGCAAATCAGGATAATAAATAAGCTTATAGAGATTACGTAAAGAGATATTACGTTTATATAATGTAAAACTTTAAAGTCGGAATCAGTTTCTTAAGTCAATTTTCTACTAGATAAAAAGTTTGTAAAAAAAATATTTTCTTCTTTCAAAAAGAAAATATATCAACTGACCAATAACAAATGGTTCCACTTGCTGCCCTAAAGAATTATACCAAGGTGGACGTCCAGCAGTATATATAGTTCTCGTTTTACTTCTTAGAATCGATTCCGAAGAAGTTTTTTTATTAGATTGCGACATGCTTGTCGTTCGTTGCCTTCGAGATCTTGGTGACTTTTGAGATCCTGCAAATGAAAGAAGCAAATTTATATTGAAAACAAAAATTGTATTGCAAATATTGAATTAAATCATCTTCTATAAGAAAAGAAAAACTAGAAATGTCACAAAAATCACAAAAATAAAATATAAGAATAAAAATTAGAAATAATTACAGAAAAAAAAATTACAATAATCAACCGAAAAATTAAAAAAAAAAAAAAAAAACAATATGTTTTTAGCTTGTGATAAAATTTATAACTTTCATTTTTAATCTAAAATGTATAATACTTGTTAATTTATTATTTAAATAATAAATCAGTCTTAATAAATTTATGGCGTTATCACTTGATAATAAAAACTACACATTTTTTAAAGTTTCAACAGCTCAGCTTTTCTTTTTAGAAACGTAATAAGTATTAAAGTGTTTTAATTTTTTTTACTAATTATCTCTTACAATTATATTAAAGTTCATTTTTAAATTATATGAACAGCCGGAATGTAAAACCACATATAAAATTTGTACAGTCTTTTGAATTGGTCTATGATAAACCTCAAAATCAATTTTTAAACCAAATTTTTAATTATTACTAATTTATTAGTAATAATAAGTTAAATAATAAATTTTTGAAAACATCGATTTCGAAGTTTGATGCCAACTCAAAAGGCCATACAAATGTTATATGTTCTTTTACATTTCGGCGGCTCATATATTAAATGCAAAAAAAAGTTAATCGGTGATAGAAATCATAAAAATAACTGATTTAATAGAAAATCAATATCAGATAAAGCATAGACCACGAAACATTCAACTGTTGCTCCTGTTAGGTAAGTATAATAAAATCGATGTTTTATTACGTAAATTTTAATTTACTTACAATGATCTCTTAATTTTTCCAACTACCTAATATTTTACTGCATAATATAAATAAAAAAATGTTCCACAAAATGCAAAAAAAAAAAAAAAAAAACTTTAAAAAATAAGTAGTTGTAATTAAATATTTTAATTACAATTAAAATATAAATTCTAATAATTTAATAAAAATCAGAAAATAAGTATTCTAATTACCTACATTTATAGATTTATTTTATTGTGGGGAAAAATTGTGGAATCTATGAGTTGATTGTTTGCACAATGTATTCGCACTGATGTGGAGTAAGGGAAAGGTCGTGAATTTAGTTAACATTGCTACAATTGTTATTACCGCTACAACTGTGAGGCATTATTCCCACAAAAAAGCATTATGTAGAACAAGCATTCTTTTGAAAGAATTGCAAAAAATAATAAAAACAATAGCTAAACAATTACCAGCTGAAGGAGGCCTTGGCGATTGTGGAGTAGGTGTACCCATGTCGATTCGTTGTTGACAATCACTATCGTCACATGTTTCCTCAATTAAAGAAATTTCTCGATCGACTAAACATGCATCTCCATCATCGCTGTAATCAATTTAATACTATTTACACAAAGATGTCAATTACCAACGGTCAATTTAGAAACTGCTGTTTTAGAGGTCAATTTTGAGGTTAGAATTTAAAAAAAATAATGTTGATCAAATATTTTGCATGGGATTACCTTTCGGAGCTCGCAGAACTTGGTGTTTCAAAGTGTTGAATTTTTGCAGCCATTTGATTTTCAATTTTAAAAGTGCTTTAAGAATGTTACGCACTTGAAAGAAACGTGTTGCAAATTTTTTTGATGTCTGTCTCGCGCAGGTGGCGGAGCAGACGTGAGATGTACGGATTTGTCGTGCCACGAATCAACTTTTCGTCTCTCTTTTTATTTGTCTACAGCAGAAGCAAGTGAAATATGATTGCAGTTATTAGCTAGATAGCTATAAAATGTGTTGTGCAAAATAAATAAAATCTCTATGTTCGTGAATTTCTCTCAAAAGTGTGTAGAAATGAAAAAATTGAGGTTATGCAAAAATGGAGGATAATTGACAGCTGGCTTTTGTGATTATTACAAATTTTCTTGAAATCTAAATTCAAAGTATGTATTTTTAATAATTTACCAATAGTTTTAATATTCTCAATGACATTTATAGGCAAAGCTAAAATTATTATAAACCATTCGCAAAATTATTATTTTATGATAAATAAACATAGTGTCAAAAATACATAGTGCGTATGACAACTTGGATAGTAAATAGTGATATTTATGTTTCATTTTATAACGTTTTTTAAAACTTTTTATCCGAATTAATTAACTATTAATGAATTAGTTTTACTGAATTAATAATTAGTTGAGAAAAATGTAAATTTATTGATTTAAAAAATAGTTTTAATTGTCAAAAACGTCTATATATATATATATGCATGCAATAGATTTTGGAGCAGATAGCATTATTCTACGAATTTATTATTCGTAAAGGGGAAATGTAATTATTTCATTTCCGCAAATATCTTTTGTTGTATATTTAACCGTAGAAAAGTTATACTCGTCCTTTTGTTACCATTCAGATATATTTTAATTAACTATTCACTGTACTCATAATAAACATATGCTTGATATAAATATATACTGAATAACTTTTTTTTTTATTTCAATAAATGCTTATATAATAAACTTGTTACCTACATTTCCTGTTAAATTATTATTTAATAATATAAATTTAAACCGTTTTTTTTAAAAAAATAAGTAATGGTTATCTAGTAAATGTTAAAATTGTGAAGAAAAGAGTGTTATCTATTTTTACGTACTGCAATCATTTCGAAATAACAAATTTTTAATCTAGTAAACGTTAGAACTGTTAAAAAGGAAGTGTTATTTATTTGTACATTCTACATTTTATTATTTTGGAGAAAAACATTAAATAATGTATATATAGATTATATTTTCAATATTGTATTATATAGATAAATTAGAAAATAATGCAAATAGAAATTGCTTGGTAATAATCGGTTTACTTTTTTTTCCAGCTCTCGTAATGTGACACATTTTCCACGAAAACAATATTACTTATGTTAGCTTAGGATGATTGGATTGTGGTCTTGGCGACCAAGTTGGCTCGGGAAACTTGGTTTAATGTTACTTACTGCATGGCTTATAGTGCTCATTGTATCAGTTTCCCAAGTGTACAAAACCAGTTCATCAACTTCACTTAGTGATTCTGTTAATAGGCAAAATGGTCAACGACTAAAACAAATGGCTAGCGATTTTGAAATACTTAAAAAACAAAATGAAGCTCTTCGAAATATCATTATGGGGTATAGGTTCATTTTACTTACTTTTTTTTACTGCAATAAAAATGAAATGTAACAATAGAATTATTTTAAACAAAATATTGATTTTTCAGAGACGAAGTAAAATCAATGAAAGGGGATCATTTAGGTTCGATTTTAGATCAATTAGAAAAAGCATCTATTTATCCTGATCCTGTAGAAGGTCATGGTAAACCTTCATTTGAATATGAGGAATTGAAGAGACGCATACGAAATAATATTCAAGAAATGTGGTAAGTTTTGTTTAAAGGTAAATTTTTGTTATCGTTTTTTTAATATTGCATCATTTTAATAAATCGAATTTCCAGTAACTAGTCTAGAGTTTTTATTAAATTTAAATAATTTATGTATTTAAATTGATCTTTAATTCTTATTCTTCTAGGTATTACATTAATGCAGAATTAAATAAAATTAAAAAGCACGGAAACGAATTGACTTTCGAGCAACGTGATAGTGAATTGCAAAATGCAATAAACAATGTATGGGAACATAAAAAATCTCTTTTAATAAATGTAGATAGATTAACTAAAGCCGATGGACATGACAATTGGCGTGAAAATGAATCGAAAGAATTATCTGATCTCGTTCAAAGACGATTCACGTATCTTCAAAATCCAAAAGATTGTAATAAAGCAAAAAAGTTAATATGTAACTTAAACAAAGGCTGTGGATTTGGTTGTCAGGTAATACTTTGTTATTTTTCTTCTCTTTATTCAGAGTGTCCACTCAACCTTGAAAACCGGCATAAATTCACCTTGATTTATTTCCTTAAACCTTTCAATTTTTTTTTCAAAAATCTTAATTTTATTCACCTTGAGAATTTCAATCGGACACAGAAATGAAAAATAAAATGTAATTTTTTTTTTATAGATTCATCACGTAGTCTACTGCTTTTTGGTAGCGTTCGGTACAGAAAGGACAATGATTTTGAAATCAAAAAATTGGCGATATCACAAGGAAGGATGGGATTCAATTTTTAAGCCCCTTAGTGAGACGTGTTTATCAACAAGTGGTGAATCATACGCTAATTGGCCAGGAGATGCCAATGTACAAGTAATTTCTTTACCAATTGTTGACAATGTTCATCCTAAACCGCAATATCAACCACCAGGAATTCCTGCCGATTTGGCACCACGTTTAGAGAAACTTCATGGTCATCCTCTTGTTTGGTGGGTTGGTCAAGTTTTAAAATTTCTCATGAGGCCGCAGGATGATATCAGTAAAATTTTGGAGGATGCTAAAGAAAAACTTGGATTCAGAAAACCAATCGTTGGTATTCACGTACGGCGAACCGACAAAGTAGGTAGTGAAGCTGATTTTCACGATATTGACGAATATATGACAAAAGTCCAACAATATTTCGATAGTTTGGAAGAGGAACCAGATGTGAGAAGAGTTTTTATAGCGAGCGATGATCCTAAAGTTATTCCAGCAACCAGAAAGCGTTATCCAGCTTATGAAATAATTGGTGATCCAGCAATTGCTGAAACCGCTTCTGTATCACGACGTTATTCTGAGGTTTCATTGCACGGAATACTGATAGATATTCATCTTCTTTCGTTGAGTGATTTTCTCGTGTGTACATTCAGTTCACAAGTGTGTCGTGTTGCTTATGAATTAATGCAAACATATTATGTTGATGCGTATAATCGATTCACATCCCTCGACGATGTTTATTATTATGGTGGACAAAATTCGCATCCCAGTATTGCAATTTTAGATCATAAGCCTAGGAAGGCTGATGAAATTGAATTGAAAATCGGTGATCTAGTCGAAGTGCTTGGAAACCATTGGAACGGTTTTTCAAAAGCTCGCAATTTACGAACCAATTCAAAGGGTTTGTATCCTAGCTTTAAAGTAGTTAATCGAGTAAAGAAAGTAGACTTTCCCAAGTATTCAAATGTGCCCTTACGTGAAATTTAACTGTAATGGTAAATTTCTTGTAGAGAAAAGATTGATACGTTAAATTTAATTTATTTAATTAGCTACCCGTATATGTTATAGATTAACAATCAATAGTTCTTTGTTGTGATGTTTTTTTTTTTTAATGATTAATGTGAGAAATTATTTTAATTTTTTTCGATATATGTTGAAAAATAATACATTGTTCTTAAATCTTCCGATACAGTATGTTGTGTAACATAATGTATTTTCTACTATCTCAAATATTTTTGTAAGAAACAATTATATATATATATACATGTATTTTTGCTTAGAAAAGAAAATTAATTTTTTTTCTGTAAGCTCGTGTGACGTGGGTATGTGCAAAAAAGAAAAACGAAATATATGTAATAATGGATTTAGATTTTTAATTATTTTTAAGATTTTGTTATCGGTATTTGATGTTTTGAAAATATTGATTTAATATGTGAATTTAGTTGTCCAAAGATTTCATGATTTATATATTTGTAGAAAGTTAAATGCCGTTAAAAAAAAAAAAAATTATACAGACTTGTAAAATCTAAACAGACTGAAGTATGTAAAATTCTGATAAAATCGTAAAAAATGCCAATATTCTCATTTTTCTTAATAATTGTATAGTTGCTAAAAGTAATAGTCCAAAAAAGGTCAAATATAATGTCTTTTAAATGTAGAAATATGAAGAAGGAATCGATAATTTTTTTTATTATATTCGAGTATATTAAGTATAATCCGAGTAAATAATATTTGCAATATTATACATTAATTATTTATAATAATAATAATAATATTATTAGTATTACTTATGCATTTCATTAATTAGTTTTTAATATGAAATTTTAACTTAAAAATATTTTAATGATCGAAATTTTCACCGATTCCTTCTTCTTAATGTATGTTTATAAAACTATGAGCTTTTTGAAAATTTCATTGTAGAAATCATATATCTTTGCCATTAATTAGTATAGAAAAAGTGGATTTTTAAATTTTATTAAGTCGTGTGTTTTGTTTATAATGTCCTTTACCAAATAATATGTAAATTGACATAAAAAACCTTCTTTCAATATTTGAATATAGAAAATTGTTTATGTCAGAGCTTATAGCGTGCAAGGGCAAATCATTCGTGTAAGATAACTTTGAATGCTGTACATGTTTATAAAACATGGATATCGAGCTGGGCTTGACGCCTGTTTTTACTATAAATTAGAATTGTTCATGTATACATATTGTAATATATTTTATACTATACGAGGCAAATTAATATTAAGAATTATTGTATGACTGATTTTGGTTTTCAATAATAAATATTTAAATAAAAAATTTTGTCTTAATTATCTAAATTTAAATTCATTAATTATTATTAAAAATTATTAATTTTAGTAAAATATCGATTTGAATTTCGCGCTTTTATTTAACCAACCAATAGAATATGAAGCAACGCACGTGGTAAGGAGGCATTTAAATATGGCCGTCGAATTTTGACAGCTGCAACAGTATAAATAAACAATTTAGAAAAGATGTAGGTTATTTTACATTAATTTTAGTTTTACTGGCAGAGAAATGAATCAAATTTTTCGTTTTTGTAAATTTGATCCCTTTTTACTTTCACGTCATTACGGAAGTCAAGGGTAAGTACTATTATTTCCGCAAATAAAAGAAAATTATATCAATTATTACCTCTTCGTGCGTTTGTGTATTATGCAATTAAATCCGAATGATTTATTTTTAAAAATTATTATATCATACATAGATTAGCACATAATTTTTAAATGCAAATATTTGATTTATAAAAAACATTTTACGATTAAAGAAAATTGTTATTGAAAAGTATTTTAAAAAGCATTTATTGCACCCCTACCGAAAGAGTGGTACTGGAATGGTACTGAATTGGACTTGGCTTGAGTTCCACTTCAGTACCACTACCTGATAACCCATAAGAAGACATTTTTAAAGTACTTTAACAATAGTTTTAAAGGTATATAAGATCAACAAACCGTCTCTCGCGAAATACGTGTAAAACAGCAAAAAAAAACATAATAGTTTGTAGAAAATTTCTGTTAAGTTTGGAAATTATATTGCAATCCCTCCTTGAACAATAGACTCCAAGGTCCTTTGTTGAAGGATTACAATTTTAACCCTTTCAGGGGCACATTATTCTAAGCATACAAATTTTTGTTTCATTACGTATTTATACGTTTTTTGGGTCGCTGAATACAAATCTGAGGTCAGATTTTGCAAATTTTAAAAATTCAAAATGGCGAATCCAATATGGCGGACATTTTTTTAAAAATTCAATATATTCGCCATATTGGATCCGCCATTTTGAATTTTAAAAAACTGACATCTAATTCGTAATCAGCAACCCCGAAAACCCCCGAGTAACGAGTTTCATACAAATTGCATTATGTTTTGAAAAAGTCGTCCGCCATATTGGATCCGCCATTTTGAATTTTGAAAAACTGACCTCAGATTCGTAATCAGGGACCCCAAAAACCCCCGAGTAAAGATTTTCAAAGTCGTAGCACTTCGCGTTTACAAATAGCTGAATTAATTATTAAAAAAATGCATATTTTTCAGATTGATGGAATAATATTAAGTTAACAATAATAAATTATTCATAAACAATATTATAGATTCGTTATATTATATCCTTAGAATCTAAAAATAAGAAATATATGATTATTATTAGATAAATATGCCGGAAATACCAAAAATACAACAACAAAAAAGGTGGGACGTATACGTCCCACTGCCCCTGAAAGGGTTAACCCGAGTTTTATTGCTTAAAAAATTTGTAATTTTAATAACTCAACTTTAAAAAATATATATTCAGATTCGTTAATATTTCCAGATTATGAATATCTAAAATTTATCATAAAATAATTACATTTAAAAAAGTTATAATTTATCTCGTATACCTTAAGTTTGATAAAAAAATGGACATCATTTTTGAATTTAGCTGACAAAGGAAATATCATATGCATAATAATGTATGAAAATAATATAAATCCATGAAAAACAAATATAATATTGAAATAAATATAAAGTTTTAGTTTAAACATATTGAAAAAGCTAGTCGCTTTTCACTTTTATGAGGGTATTAACGGTAACTCGACCCTTTTCGCAGGTAAATTTCCCAGTTCCATTTCAGTACCAAAATGCACCAAATTAGTACTGAGTTGGTACTGAGCCCTCAGTTCCAATTTCCCAGTACCAATCCAGTACCACTCTTTCGGTAGGGACTTAAATAATTTTAAGAAATTCTTTTCAAATGCATTCAATTCAATTTGTTTAATTTTAATAATTTTAAAGTAATTAAAAAAATAATAATGATAAATGATCAAAAATAATTTTTGGCAGCAATCCTACACATTATGATATTCTACGAGTCCCACAAACTGCTTCACAAAAGGATATTAAAGAAGCATTTATAAAACTTTCAAAAGAGGTAATTTTGTAAAATATAATATTTATAAAGTTTGAAAATAGATTCAGAAAAAATATGTAAATAATTGTAGTGCTTTTCTTGAAAAGTTACCATATTTTTTAGTAAATAAATATTTACAGTAGGGAGGGTATATTTTTAAACAATGCGTCAAATGCTGTAAATAAATTATGAAAAATTGAATATTTAATTAATTAACATTTTTATTATATGTATGTAATTCAGATGCATCCTGATATAAAAGGAAACCAGAGTCATAGTGAATTTGTGAAAATTAATGAAGCTTATAAAGTTTTAAGTAAAGAAATCCTTAGACGTGATTATGATATGAATTTAAAATATGGAACTTCTTCAAACGTTTCCTCAAATTCTCCTCATTCTTCTAATAATTTTTATTATTACAGACGACCACCAAATTTGTACGTAAAATCGAAACTGACATAATGCAGAATTTTAATTTAGATTTTTATCACGTATATTATATAATGTTGTAATTAATTATTATATATTAATTAACAGTCATAACAAAGAAGAATATGAGCAATATACATATTCTCAAACGGATGATAATTACAATGTAAATAGAAAGAAGCGCATAAACACTTTTGGAATTGCTTGCATCTGTGTAATAATTGCAACGATTAGTGCATTTCTTCAAGTATTTCTTATAAATAAAAGAGTATTAGAAAGTCAGCATTACTATGCAGAAAGAACTTTACGTTTTTCCAAAGAGTTAAATGAAATAAGGGATAGTGCAAAATCTAAAACTAAAGAACAACAAATTCAAGATTTCTTAAAAAAAGTGGAAGCAGCAAAATCAAACAATTTAAAAACCAATCCACAGGATAAATGAAATAACTCACAATCATGTAAAGATTAATCAAAAATATTAATACAAAAAATAATGTCATTATTAAATTAATAAAATTTAAAAAAGTTATATGAACATTTCTCCAGTAGATAGAAAAATACAATTAATATTTATATTCAAATTTTAATAAACAAAAAAAACTTTAAAATTTTTATAATTTAGGAATGTGTTAAATAAAAATTAGAAAAATAATAGGTAAAATTTAATTGTTTAGTACAATTTTTAAAATGTATACCAAATTTTAAGTTTTTAAATTTTTTATCCAATAAAAATTTTCTATAAAATGTTATTTTTATATTAAACAATTTATTGAAATTTATTTATAATATATATATATATATATATAAATTTTAGAGTTACGCTGTAGAATATTAATGATATACAATTATGTCAATAACATTTAAATGTAATTATGATAAATTATATATATAATTGTAAATAATTAAATAAAACTCTTTTGTTTTGATTAATGAATATTTTAAAATAAATATTTTTCTTTTACTTCAATAAATGTCAGTACAATTTTTCCATTCATTCAGTTTACACAAAAAAAATACGAACAGGAACTGAATTACTATTGTGCATTAGTATAAAAATAATCCTATGTTGTATCATTAATATGATACAATATGATACATATGATTTTTTTTTGGTTAATAGAAGAAACTATGTCTATCGAATCACATTTTGAATATTGAGCAAATTTAATAACGTCCTAATGTATATTGCAAATCAGAATTGACATTTTAATTGATATCTTGATATAATTAAGTAATCACATATATTTAATTAATCAATTACTATAGTTAATTTAATCGAGTAACTAATTTTATAACGTTAAATGTATATATCAAGTATATAAATAGTTAAGTATTTCGAAGAATTTTTAGTACTTTGATAAAATTTTTCTCTTGCTATACGTATGAGGCATTTTTTTTTTTTTTTTTGGTTTTTAAATTTAAAATATCGTCCTGCTCAATGATATGTCTTTTGTCTCTTTTTCTAAAAATAATTTTAGAGAATGTCTGAAATGTAAGAGTTTATCACTATTTTTCAATTTTTTTAACGTAGGTCACTTCGGATACATGAGGATGTAAAGGTGTAAAGATAGGATTACCAACTTCGTCCACATAATCAGCGTATTTGAGTTCATAAACCGGTTCGAAACCTAATCGCTGACACAATTTTCCTGTTATCGCAGAAGAGCAATCGACTCGTAGTAAATCATAGTCTCGAATTTTGCTGATTTCCCTGTAAAAGATAAAAATTATTAGTTTCAGTTATTATTTACTTTCAAACCAAGTAGAAATAAAAATAAATAATTAATTATAATAGATATAATTAAACTCACATTGATTTTTCTAAAAGAGCTTTCGCAATTCCTTTACCCCTCCAATTGCTATCAACTGAAACTATCCTAATTTCAAAAACTTTCTGATTGGGGAATTTTCCGTGAATATTTGATTTTACGTCTACGTAATGAAGGAATTTTAAAATCTTTTTAAATTTTGGATTTTTACAATTTGTTATGTAATCTGGTTCTTCATTGCTAGGAGGACCCATGCTACCTGTAATACAAAAAAAAATTTATAAATCTGAATTGTGTGATTATAAAATTTTGCTCTTGAAACAATCTTAATTAATTTATATCATGCTAATAATTCATGACACACTTATCATCTAATCAGTGTAAATGTGTTATAATTTGTTGCTATACAAATCACAAGTAGTAGTGCGTACTATATGATTCAATGGTTAATAATTATTCACAAATCATTGATCAGCAAATGTACCGTTCAATGAATACAATTAATCACATTTATAAGATATAATTTAATTTTCTTCCAAATTATTTTATAGAATTTTTTTAAATTTATTTTAAAAAATGTTTAATTTAAAAAATTAAATTTAATTATAATGTAATTTAAAAAAAAATGTAATTGCCTACCATTTAATATAACACCAATGATTGATCCATTACTAGAAACTGCCATTAGACTCAAATCTTCATTCATGGCAGATAAACTATAATCCTCCAGTTCATAGCAAGTGCTATTTTCACCTTCAGGAATTAATTTAATTGTATAGTTTAAGGGTTCATCTCTGAAGAAGAATTTTCTCAAAAAATTCAAAACTCGTTCTCGATCTTCCTTTCTGACAGCTTGGATATGATAATCCATTCTGTGATCCAGGTCGTCAGCGACGTCTGCCAACTATAAATAATAAAATTAAAATTTATTAATTTTATTTTTTCTATTATCTGTATTCTATTTATATTTCAATTTCTGTTTCAGAAATATATATATATATGTAAACATTCGGAATAAAATATACTGATTATTTTGAAAAACTAATACACATTTATGAATATATAATTTTTCCATTGCGTTTCTTAAATGGACAGCTGCGTGTTGTGAAAAATGTAATTTTGAAGTGTTTTTATTTTGTTCCTGACACCTAAGTGACAATTTTTATTATACATTAAATAACATTATCATAATAGTTATTACCTTTAAATTCGAAACACTATATTCTGCTTTTCGTTGATTAATTTTTTTTTCTTTTATTGAAATCATTTGCAAAACTATTTAATTTTAAATACTCATTCTATTTATAATTCAATATAAATCTTAATCGACTGTCTCTCGAGGGCTCATAATTTAATTACTATTCTGATTAACATTGACATAAACAAAGGTGAAACTTTTCCAAAGCGTACATTATACTGACGATAGAATTGAGTTTAAACACAATTTCAGTTTTAGATCATATGGTCGCGGAACTATAATTAGAATTTTCTATATAACTAACAAAACTCTCACGAAAGCTCTTCGATAAGCTTCTAGGGCAAACGCTAAATTTAAATTCTTATCAGATTCATTCATAACTATTAATGAAGAGCGTAATGCATAATTATTAAGAATAAAAGCTAACTATTTTAGCAAGCTAAAATCCATACCTAGACATTGAATTTTTAATTACATTTATTTACCTCATTCATATTATTTTATGATACAATAATTTTTTTTAAGAATCTCAATAAATTCAAAAAAAGCTTTTATTTATAAATTCATTAATAATTAATATAAAGAATGTAGTTTCTTCTTCTTTTTTTTAAATTTTCACTTTAAATTTGTTGATTTAATCTTAATCTTTAATCTTGTACCAAGAGTCTGCTTAACTAACTTTTGTCTTCAAATTAAAAATTATTCAAAACTTTTAAAAATGGTATCTTTACTGGTGGCTTTAATTAATAAAAAAAAAAAAAACTCAACAAATTAATTTAATATTTATTTAATGAATGAAGAAAGCATCTGCGCATTTACAAGTTTTTATCTCTCAGTATGATAAATAAAATAAAATACCAAACTTTGACAAATACAAGAAACTAATATTGTAAGTATAAATTATATATAAAATAAAACTTTTCAATAATTTAAATATTTAACTATTTTCAAAAATTTTTTTTGTGTTTTTTCAACATTGTAAAAAAAATGCATTTATAAATTTTTACAATTTCTAAGGTAAACGTCTTAAAAAAAAAAAATCGGCACGTGTTAAGAATATTTAAAAATAGTTTGATTTTAATTAATTCAAATAAATGCATAAAAAATTTGCATACAAAGAATTCATAAGGAATAATAATTTCTATAGTTGAATAAAGATTTATTATTTATTAAAAAAAAAAACTATATAACAATTAATTTTTAGATTAACTTCTTTTTATAGTTTTTAAAAATTGAAAATAAAACCAATAATTAAAAAAAAAATAGATTTTGAATTGTGTGTTATAAAATTTTATATGTACATTTCTGATTTTTATTCTAAAAATAGAAGACTCATTAATTTGAGTAGAAATTTTTCTCAATGAATTTGCTGGTGCAAGTGCAAGAAATTGTGAAATATAAATTTACACTTGTCATGATAATATATTTTCTCTTTAGTGAGACTATTATTGTGTCAGATTTATTGACATAGTTGCTGATTACTCCGCGCAGTAAAATCATCTCTTTGCAGAATACAATTTATTTATTCTGTACGACATTTTACGAGTTATAACATTATAATTTACTATTTAATTTTATTTATTTATTTTAAAAGAAAGCTAATTTTTGTTTCAATTTTTCTAAAATGAAAAATTTCTTTCTTTCACTTTACTATAAAAAAAGAACTCATTCATTTACTATACAGAAATTAGAAATTTATCAATGAAACAAATTTTTAATGAATGAATAAACAAAGAAATTAGAAACAAAAGTAGAACAGTAAAATGGCCTTGATATGAAATTATATATGAAGAAGTGTTTACAACTTTCAGACACGTAAAATGCAAAGAAATAATACGCCAATTAAAGACATCTTAAATCGATGACTGCGATTATTTAATCATATTTTGTTACATTTATTATATTTACATGTAAAGAATCATGATGATGAATTTATTTTTTGTGCATATCATTTTTTAACGAATAACAATATCTTGTAATAGCAGATGTCTCTTAATAGTCTGAATATAATTGAAGTCTCTTTGTTTTTATCTTCACAGTTAATTATATAAATAATCTCAACACAATTATTAATAGCATTAATATTATTATTAAATAATTGTACGATTGTTTTTTTTTTGTTCATTATGAAGTATTGGTTTTTATTTTTATGCAAATGACACATACATAAATGAAGTGACACATTGATTTTAAATCTCTTCCGGTATTTTAAATTAATATTTTATAATTAAAATTACGCAACTAAAACGGGAAATGTAAACGATTGCAATGAAAAAAATAATTTTTATTGTATTTGCATATATCTAAAAATGTATTTTCAAAAATTTTTATTTTTTTACTTTGATTTTTCAATTTTTTTTTTTTAGTTACCATATCAATTTTTATAGTTCTTATAATATTACAATTTATTTTTTTTAATTAGATTTAAATTAATGTAAAATTGAATTTATATTTTCGTTTAAAATTAAAATTTTTCAATTTAAATATAAATGCAATGCTATATCGATATCGTTATATTTTAAAAATGTTAGAAAATTAAATAAATTTTTTGAATGAGAATTCAATAAATTAAATGCAGGAAAAAATGATATCGCAAAGATTTAAAACCATTTTTTTCAAATTTTAATCATTTTTTCGATGCATTTTACAATTTAGATAATTATTAAAATTAATTAATAATTAAAAATTATTATCAAAAAATTTACATTCTCGTTCTTTATATCCTTTCAATGAATTCTCAAATCATTATTAATAAATTTAAAAAATAATCTTACCGTATATCTGGTCATTTTTGGTCCATCTTTCAAAAATTTGGTTTTCGACATTTCGTTATCGACTAAGCTGATATTTTTTAATTTGGTTGCTATTTTAGTTTCCATGATTTATATAAAAAAAAAATTTTACAACAGAAAACACTGAAGTTCAATTATTTAAAAAAAATGTCTATTTCATGTGCGAAAAAGTTCCTTTACACTGACATTAACTTGGGAACACGTTCTCTATTTATTCATGGGTTTAAAGCAAAAATCTTAAGTGAATGCACTTGTATCGTAATTCTCACAATGCAACAAGTATACTTGTCGATTTTTTTTTTTTTTTCACTGGACGGCTTTTCTATATAGCGTCGTCGACGTGATAGTTTTACACTGAGCGTTCTGATAGGTCTTCGTCAGGCTTATAAAGGTTCCTACCAAGCAAAAGCCATTCTTTCAGGTTCAAGGATATCTCATTAACTTTTTGACTTATATACTTTTTCTTATGGCATTTATATAATAAGCCACTTGTATCTAAATTTGAAATGAACGATTTTTACAAAAATCTGAAATTTAATTTTTCTTTTCAATATTTTGAATCTCAAACTACAAACAAAAAAAAATTTTAAATCTTAAAAGAAAATTTAAAGTTAATTTTAAGTTAGAAAGTTAGAAAGTTAGAATTTATTAAATTTAACATATATTGAAATTGAATAAAATTTAAATAAATTTAATTATGACGATTGTTTTTAATTTAATTAATTTTTCAAAAAAATAAAAAATTTTTTAAAATGAAAATTCTAATTTAAAAAAATTTGTTAAAAAAAAAAATTATACAAATTCATAGAACTTTTATTAAAATTTATTGCACTGGTATCAAATATAGTTTGAATAAACGGATAAAATTATACGCAAATACTTTTCAGAAAAAATTTCTTAAGCAAATAACACTTATAGTTTTTTTTTTTTTACAATTGTTCAGTTTAAAAATTCTTTTTAAATTTTGGAAAAATCAGTAAATCCACATTAATTTGTTCAAATAAAAATTCGGATCGAGTTACGAATTTCACAAAAAGATTTCATATAAAAATCAAATTTTAGAAAAAAGAAATATATTAATAATTACATTAATCTTAAACAAAACAAATGAAAAGTAAAATAATTAAATATACTTATAAATATTAAATGAAAAAAAAATAAGAAATTATTTTTATTAACATTAAAATTAATAAAAATATAGAAAAATTAATTATAATTAAAATATAAATATTAATTTGATATTATATTAATAATATTTAAAGTTTGACATTAGATTCTTTACTTGTTGAGACTCTGATGTAGATGATAAGAAAAATAACTGATTCACAAAAGGGGATGTTTAAACGCGAATTCAAACAACGCAAGAAGACGAGCGAATTGAGACTGTTAATTGTTGGAAAAATAAAGTAGGTTAAATTAAGTTTGTTTATGTATTTATCTGCCTTGACACTTTTCTCGCGTTTCGACTTATGAGTTATATGAGATATGTGATACGAGTAATCATCAGGAACAGAATTACAAATTTTTTCGTTATTTTGCGATTTAATAAAATGCGCTTATATATTAATATACTTCAAGAAAGTCAATCTGCACAATTTCAAGTACAAAGTCTTATCAAAATTCTCTCTCTAGTTGTGTGTGAATATAAATTTCACTAATTAAAAAAATTGCTTGATAAAATTTAAATGAATAAAAAAACATTTTTTTAAATTCAAAATTATTATTTTAAAAAGTCATTTCATATTTCATTGAGACCTTTTTCATACGTATATATAAGTTGAAAAGCGATTAATATGAGAAACTTGAAATGTCTTTGAAAAAAAAAAAATGAAAAATAAAAAAAATACATTTTTAATGCAAATAGTAATTAAATAACGTGTATAGATTGTGATCTTTGCTCTGATACTTTTCTGTCACTGCTGATGTGAATAAAAATAATATTTGTCTCCCATTCACATATAATTTATAAATGACTATATATGAACAATTTGCAAGTGTAAAGTACTTTATCCCGCAAATTATATTTCATTGAAATAGGGATCTATGGCCTAGATTAAAATTGATATTATGTAATATATATAAACCAGTTATTTGCAATAAAAATCATATTAGAATAGGATATCATTGACATTCGAGACTTTTTGACTAATAAGCTTAATAAATTTACAGTTATTTTCAAAAAAAAAAAAAAAAAAAATGAGTATAATAGAAAAGTTGAGAATATTCATAACAATTAACCGCATTTATTGCATCCAGATGCAATTGAGTTATTACATGCTTGAAAAAATCATAATTAGTTTTAAATTTAAAATTTTCTCATTCAATTTTTTTAAATTTGATTTATTTTTTAAAGATGTAAATCAATTTTTTTATTTAATTATTTAATTAATTAATAATAATTTATTTATTAAATTAAAGTAAAGTTTTTTTTCTTTTATTTACTTATTTAAATTTAACCTAATGGTCTTAAAAAAAAGCCTTTTAATTAAAATTTTATTAGCTATATATTAAGGAATAAAGCAAATCGATTTTCATTATAATGATATTTGCATTCTCCTGTATATTTAGATAAAATGAACTTGGCAATTTGTTATATCGATCTGATTTAATCATTACATGGAATAACATTAACTGCGCTAATAATATAAATGTATACATATAAGTATATAATTATATATATATTGTCAGCAGGTCATTTACTCTCCATGTTCCGCGTGATGTCGAATCGACACAATCACAGGAGAATGTTTTAAATACTATCAGGGGAATGTCCTCCATTATTCTTTGTGAAGGTTAATCGTGATCGATGCGATCATTTATATATTCAATCGAAAGAATAAAACATCTTTAACAGTCACCCTTGAACCCATAAAAATCTTCTACTGTTAAAACGGTTTTAATTTCAATTAAAACAGAGCAATTTATATTTACTTCTAATAAATTCATTGTCATCTAATAATAAATTAATTATCCAACTGTTAATGCATAATAATAATAATAATAATTGATATGTAAATTTCTAAAATGACTAGAAATTTGTCATAAGAAAATATAAAATTGTTTTCCATAAAATTTACTAAAATTCAAAAATGATTAATTTTCGAAATTTTTTTCAATTAAATTGCTTTCAACTGATTTTTGAACTTCATCAAAACAAATTGTTTTCACAATGGTCTATATCTATATGCTTATCAAAGAGAATCATGTTTTATCATTGAAAAAATTTTCTAATCATAAGTCAATAAATAACTACTTCGATATTTCATGATCACATAATATATAATCGCATTGTTCTTTATAATCCTTGAAAGTAGTAAACGTCAATTGTCGATACATGTAACATATTTCTTCAGCATTTATGCTAAAGACATACTTATGCGCGTGTAAAAATAATCTTTTGTCATGCAAATCGATTTTTCTCAAAAAACTTTAGTCTCATGTAAAGCATAAGGGTTCACTTTTTATTCCCCCATAATAATGATCAATCACAAAATGGTAAGCTTTCATGCATATCAATAATATATATTTATATAAATCAGTTCAATATCAAATCTAAAAAAAAAAAAATCTAAAAGTCATCATCAATTCATCAGAATTACTATACATTGCCCTTGACAATACTCACGCCATCTAAAAAAAAATTAATAAATAATTTATGAAATTTTAAAAAATTGTTAATCACCTAATAATAAATTTTATCAATTTTGTCATTTGAATGCAATAATATGTGAAAACGTGCCATAACGAGGTATGATAAACAAATTTTCTCTAGAATCATTACAATTATAGAAAAATATTGAAAATTATATTTTCTTCTTGAATTTTAAGACGTAGCTCCACAAATTTTTTTCACTTCTTGGTGGAATTATCTATACGAAAAAATATTCGTTACATCATAGCAATTTCAATTATTGTCCAAAAAGAACTGTAATAATAATCTATTCAAGTTTTTTTTTTTCCTCAATACTTATAAGAAACCTTGATGTGATTCATAGTACTTTTAGAATGGATTTCAATATCAAATGACAAGGTTATTTATGTAAAGAAAAAATTACTACCGATACATAATAAATTATTTTGATTTTGAATTGCGATAATTTTCCTGAAAGTATTGAATATTCTTAGGGAGAGATTTTGTTTTGTTTTTTTTTGCACATATTTAGCTTCAAAAATCTTTATGTTTTTTTTTGCAATAATAATATGTCAATTATTTATAATTAAGAAATTTTGATTTCTAATATTATAAAATTATAATGAAAATAATGAAAAATTTGAATAATAAAGTATGTAAGAAAAAGATAATTTTTCTTTGGAGTGAGAGGTTAGACCGGAGTTAATAATTTGTGAAGGTAGGTAAAACGTTCTTGAATGGACGATAGATATAGAAGGCGGAGCCAATGTAAAAAATTGATATCCAATAGGATATAGTTTCTAGATTAGATGATTATTTAAATATTCAAAGAAATTATTATGTAGGTGGTGCACGTCACACTAAATTAATTAATTATATCTGACTTTCTTGTAGATAGTTTAAAAAAATGACCATCACTTTATATATGAAAATCATTTTGATATCATCAAGATCTAAACCATTTTTCAAACTAAATTCTTAGATAAAAATAATAATAATAATTTTAATTTGAATTTCCAATATTCAGTTTAAAAACCGGTTTTGAATTTCGACTTCCGGTACTTTATGGTTTCAGCTTTAGTCCCCCAATTCTATCGATATATAATTTTTTTCTTTTGCTACAAGTGTATGCATATATCTAGTTTTTAATTAACATTATTTTATGTTTTATTGTTTTTTTTTCTTCTCATTTATTATCTACTTTTTTGTTCAATATTAGAAATTTAATTTAATTTAAATTCTTATTTTTCTTTTAGTCCTAATTATTAAAAATGTAAAAATGATTAGAATATATATATATATAAATATACTCACGATGAAAAGATGAAACGTTATGTTATGAGTCGAAAAATAAATTCTTTCAAAACACATTTTATCAAAACTTGTTTCCTAACAAAAAGATAAAAAAAAGGTTGATTTTACTAGTCACGTGATTACTTCTTTATCAATCATGTAATTATAGGAAAAATTGTAAGATAAATTTTTACATTAATAAAAAATTGTTTTCGATAAAAAATATAATAATAATAATATCAATTATTAATGTTAATAGCAATAAATTCACATCTTAACGACAACAATTGGATATTTTGATTAGACTAAATATTGAACTACATTTAAAATTAATTCATTCGAATTAATTGTAATAAATATTATATCATAATTATCTTCTTTCATTATAATTTTCTAATAACAACAACAATATTAATTAAAAAATTTTAATTATACAAAAAAAATAAAATTCTAATTATACACTAATTGAATTAAAAAATTTTAATTAGCGATTATTTACTGAATAATTAATTTTTACATGAATCTGCAAAAAAAAGGGAAAAGCAGTGAAGAACCTAATATTGTATAAATCGCTGATTACAATTTACCTAACATTTGGTGAAAAATGCAATTCTCCTATTTATTTTTTCTTTTTAAAGAAAAGGGTCACTTTCGGTTGTCCCTCTTTTGGCACTGTTGATATTGCACTGACAGTATATGAAGCTGTGATAAAGCATAATGGGGGTCAACACTGGATACATAATACATCCCTTTTATAAGCACCTATGGAATTGATGTCCACCTCTATTTTTTCATTAAATCTGATTAGGAAGCGCGCTCTATACGCGGTTTATTGATCAAAACGATACATCATACTGTATCCGATAAGGAATTAAGAACAATGCCTCCCCTATAATGTGAGACATTTTAATTTTAGGAATTTAATTCGCAAATTTTTATAATTATATATGAATTTTTTTTTAAACTCAATCGAACTAATTTCAAATTTTTAATATTATTTATTTTTTTAAATTAATTACTTAAGGAGTAATTTTTAGATTAATCATTAATTGCACTGAAAGCAATTTTAAAATTGTTAATAAATTTTTATGGATAATTATAGTTAGTGATCAATTACTATATTTATATACGTATATGTTCATTAAACACCTGCTGTGAGCTTCACCAACGTCATTAATTGATTCAGTTATAATCGCGTCAATTTTCCTTTAAATGATAACAATAGTATAGACACGTATAACTGTTATTTATATTATTTTTTTTTATAATTTGGAAAATTTTTTTCTTTAATTTTTACGAAGTTTTTTTGTTTTTAATTTTTCCTATTCTTTTTATTAATTTCAACTCAAAATACTATATTAAAAATAGATGAACTAAAAATAGTTTTTTTCCCTTAAATATGTATTCAGTTCATTTTAATCTTTCTATGATTTCTAACGTGTGCGACTGTATTTTTATTCGATATCTTATTTTCGTTTATATTTTGATTTATGTTAGCTTTTTTTTAATTTTTTAAACAAATGAAATATATTATTAAATTATTAATTTATGTCCTACAGTTTTTATTACTACTTATGAAATTGCTGAATATTTATTAGCTTTGATCTAGCGTGAACAGTATTATTAAATGACTGTATATCTGTATAATTATAAATCTTAATATGGAGCTCTTTTCTATCAAATATATATGTATATAATGATAAATTGTTAAACATTAAAGAAATACAATGTCGCTAATAAGATATAAATATTCCCATGAATACATTTGCAACATTGTATATATATATATAGCATATAATTTGCATTCTTTTGTAAAACAGTTATTTCTCTCTTATATGTATATTTATATAGAATTAAAATGTGATTCTTAAACTCTTATAACTCATTTTTTTAAACTAAATTAAATGAGAGTAATAAAATTTTTCATTTATATAACAAAGTCACCATTTAGATAAACGAAATCTATTTTACTTTACAATTTTAAAAAATTGATCTTTAAAGACAATATTTAAATATTTATTATTTATATTTCGACATTTTTCAGAATTCAGAATAATATTCATTCACGATATTAATAATAATATTAATTTTAATAATTAAGTTTTATTACTATTGTGACACATAAGATAAGTTATTAAAAACTCGAGTTAATTACAGAATGCATAAAGTAATGATAATGTAAATGCATAATTGTTATTCGTTGCTAATCGTTTACGTTTTTTATTTAATATAGTACAACAGGTACTATTTATTTTTTTTTCAAAAAAAATTAATCTAAGTATTTTTTTATAATTATTAAAAAAATGTTTTTTAATATTTAATTATAGATATTCAATTTTTCTTAAAACAAAATAAATATCAAAAATTGAAATTTGATGGGTACACATTATTTTGTTCAAAAAATGTATCTGAGAACAAGTTTATATTTTCAGAAAATAGATTTCGTCTATATACTTGGTTGCTTTTCCTTTTTCATTAATATTGTAAAAAAATTCTTATCATCTCATATTCATTTTTACAAAAAGGGGCGGGACAAGGTTAACTACAATTCCATTATAATTACGTACCTCTATTAGTAAGAATACTCCTCAGCATCCTACGCTTCTTGTTTAATCATTCGTATTGTTAACATTGGATAAAACTTGCAGGTCAATTTTTCAATATGCAATTAATTAATACATCTTTTTCTCTTCATATATCTTCTGATCATCCTTTTAAGTTGTCCGGTTGATGTCCAAGAGTCACAGGTGTTTCGTTTTTTCCAAACCTTGAAAAATAAAAAATAATTAACATTTATTAAAATTGTAATTATCATTAAAATGTAATTTTCAATAAATTTCTAAGTTTTCTAAATTAAAATTTAAAATAAAACCAATTTATTGAAACTAATTTGGTTTAGCAAAATAAGAAAAATATCAGAAATATAAACTTAAGCTGTAACTTAATATTATTTTTCTTTAATAGTATTAAAGACCATAAAATAAGTATGAAAAACGATAATCAATATTAAATTTTTTTTTAACAAGAAATATAAGATTTCTAAAGTAAATCTCATTTATTAATATTATATCCATCGGTCATGGATGACTACTTGTTTCCTAATTCTACCAAGAAGAAATATCTAATTTCAATATAAAAAAATATTTGTAAATAAAAGTGATAATAATATATTTACATAAATATAATTAGAGATCAAATGATATAATTTAAAAATTAATTTTAAATAAAACATTAAATCGTACTTTTTTTTGTCAACAAAGAGTTAAATTAATTTTTGAATTCTATAATTTATTTTAAACAAAAATATGCAATTGAAGTAATTTTATAACAATTAGATATTAAACAATATTTCAAAATACTTTTAAATATTCAAATTTATCCTAACTATTAAAATTAATTAAAAATTTAACAATTAAATTAACTAATTAAGTGTAAATAGAAAATTACTAAATTAATTAATTTTAATTAATAAATTTTTTTGGAAAAATAATTACATTTCATTGAAGAAAAATTATATTTCAAAAAAAGAAAAGAAAGTACTTTTACGAGACAAGTTAGATTTCTCGGTAAAAATAAAATTAAAGAACCCGCTGCATGAGAATTTAGTCCTCCGGGTTGACGATAGATAGACCTAGTGAACGGTGTCCAAGGAAACACATGGAATTCAATTCATCCGCCTACATTGAATATCAGAACCAGAACCAATGCCCAGACACACGAGTAGGAAGTTGTTAATTGCTTTATATTCTTATAATCGCCCACTGTTTATGAATTCTGTAAATTTCTATAAGATGTGAAATAAATTTTGAAAAATTATTTAATTCATTTAATCAATGTGTGCTCCAATTGTGCTTTTACTAAATGTTGCCATAAATTATAATATATTATTTATAACAACAATTGTTGTCAAATTTTAGATTTTTTAAAAAATTATAATACAAAATAATAATGGCAACTGTCAAAGTGACAGAGCAAAAAGTTATTCTTTGCGGTGAATACGGCGTGGGAAAAACGTCAATTTTCAGGCGATTTGCAAATAATTCATTTGTTAATAACAGTGACAGAAAATCTACTCTTGGAATCGATAATATTGATAAAGAATATGTTGTTGACGGTAGACGAATACGTGTAAGTTAATATTCTTTTTTTTAAAAGAATAAAATTTAAGAAAAAACATTAAATAATAAAATATTATTAAAAAAGTTCATTTTTAAATTAATCAATTTAAAATTAATAGAAAATGTAATTTTAATTTCATACCTATTTTGAATTTTTTTTTAGCTGCAATTATGGGACACAGGGGGCATGGAACGAGTAGCATCGGTTACATCAAGTTATTATAAATTTGCAGAAGCTGCTATTTTAGTATTTGCACTAGATAATTCCACTTCATTTCATCTTCTCTCTCAACATCTTCTCGATATAGTCACCTACGCTGAAAATGCAAAAATATTTCTTTGCGGAAATAAAAGCGATCTTGAGGGAGGAAATCCACAAGTTACAGATGCTGAAATGGAACAATTTTGGTAAAAAAAAAAAATTTTATCTGAGAAAAAATACTTCTCTTATATATTCACTCTCGTGTATTTTCTCATTTGATGAAGATTATAAAATATACAACTCAATTTAATTCTAAATTCTAATTACCTGATGTATCTACAAGTATATACAATTTAACAAGAATATTTAATTTTAAAAAATCAGTAAATTATTACACACTTTATAAGCAAATGTAAATATTAAGATGATTTCACTGTTTAGAAATATTTTAAGAAATTTAAAAAAAAAATTTGAATCATAGGAATACTTTCTTTAAAAAAAAAATACTTTTCTTTTCTTTTTTTTTACAAGAATAATATAATTAATGAAAATGTAAAAATATAAAGAATAAAATATGTTTACATTTCATTGAAATAAAAAATAAAAATTTTACCTTAACAGATTAAATACTTTTTTTTCAGCGAGCAATGTCACAATTTAATCTCAGCAACATATAAAACGTCGTGCAAATCCGGAATGGGTATAAACGAAATGTTCGAAGAAATTGCACAGCATCTAGTTGAAGCTAATCGATCTCGAATGGACCTTCACGATATGGATAAGGACCATTTTAAAATTTCTCACGCTGACGAGGCTACCGAATCATCTTGTTTATGTTAAAAGCTGATTTTTTTTGTCTTTTGCCGTTACAACTTCTTTGCTCAAATGCTTGTATGAAGACCGAAAACACAAAAATGGTGCAGTAATAAAAAAAAAAGAAACTCAAACTCAAAATGGAACTCTTTAAACAAAGTACTACGCAGATCTTGGATAAATTTTCCTGAAAATATATAATAGAATGAGAATATAAGACGTGAGTGTCCGGTTCACCGGTGCAAATAAAAAGAAATTGTTCCTTTCAATTGGTTGTGCTGAATCTTATTTTGATATATAAATGACTGCTTTTTTTTTTGAATTATATGTTTGTGAATCTCATTTTTCTCAGGTGCATTTAGTGTTGGGTCCATTTAATTGTCTTCAGATCAATACCGTCCTCGATCATCTCCCATAAAGGGCTGAAAAAAATATGAAAGTTAAAGATGAGCTTTTCGAGTAATTTAACAAATACTGCTTTTTTTCATTGTACATATCACGAATAGTATCACAATTTTCAAGATAAAACACTAAAATTGACATTATTATATTACATTAAATTGGAATTGACCATTTTGCTGAACTGTGTGTTTTATATTAAGATTGTAGTAATATTGTACTAATGAGCTTAATATTGATTTGTAACAAAAATTTTACGATTGGAAATTTTTTTTAAGAATAAATGTTTTATAATGTAAAATTTTAAAACCTCATTGCTCTTAAGCGTTTCACTTGGTATATCGTTCTTTCTGCTGTGTAATCAACTTCTTCCAAGGTTGTGAATCTTCCAATTCCAAATCTATAATGCGAAAGATATGAAATTTAGTTTTTTATTTAATAAAAGAACAATTAACGAATTAAAAAAGTTGACAAATTAAAATATTTACGAAATTTAAATTTTGCTGTGAATTTGCAAGAAAATTGAGAATATTGAACTAATTTACAAGGAAAAAGATTTTGCTGAAAAAATGTAATTAATTGACCAGAAATTACAGAAAATTAAAAAAATTTCCCGAGTTTTCCATAACTTTCCTGATTGTTAGACATCGTGATTAGCGAGTCAATTATTTAAAATGAGATATATCGTATGATTTTTAGAAGTGAATGAGAGAACCTTATACTGGAATGTGCAAGATCTTCGGAAGCTCCAATTGCTCGAAGAACATAACTAGGCTCCAAACTTGCACTTGTACACGCCGATCCACTACTTAAAGCCACATCTTTTAATGCCATCAATAATGATTCTCCTTCGACACAAGCAAATGAAAGATTAACACATCCTGGATACCATGCAATAGGATCTCCATTTCGTATCACATGAGTCAAATTTGAAGTTATTGTATCGAGAAGTCGATTTGCAAGACATGTTACGTATTCATGATCATACTAAACAAAAAATGGTATATTTCCAAAATTTTGTCAAGTAACAATTTGTATTTAAATTTTCCTTTACATACCTCCATTTCATTTTGTGCAAGCTCGCAAGCTGCTCCTAAACCAACTGCCAAAGGAGCTGGAACTGTACCACTTCTCATTCCTCTTTCTTGTCCACCGCCACTTTGAAGAGGTTCAACACGTACTCTAGGTCTTCTTCTCACGTATAAAGCTCCTACTCCTAGTTTAACAGTAATAATAGTCGAATAAATTTTTAAAAAAATATTTTTCAACTCTATAGGATTTTAAGATAAATACCTTTGGGGCCATAAATTTTGTGACCACTTATGGACAACAGATCAATATTCATTTCATTAACATCAATTGGTATTTTTCCAATTGCCTGAGCAGCGTCTGTATGAAAGAAGACTTTGTTCTTTCTGTAAAATTATATTTAGAGTTGTCAACTCCTTGGATTTTATTAATTTTTTAATTCATTTAGAAAATTAAATTAGACAATTCCAGTTTTTTCGATACAAGAATTTTCGAATTAGAATTATAATAATTTTACTTGCCTACAAATAGCGCCTATTTCGGCAACAGGTTGTTGAACGCCGATTTCATTATTGACAGTCATAACTGAAACTAAAGATGTATTTGAAGTAATAGTTTTTTCAAGTTCCTCCAAATCAATAAGACCATTTGATTTAACAGGTAAATAAGTCACTTCAAACCCTTCGCCTTGTAAAGCTCTACATGAATCTAAAACGCATTTATGTTCCTAAAAATATAAATAAAAAAAAAATGATAAAAATACAACATTTTTGTAAGTTTTCTCCATGATTGAAGATGTTATTTATCCACATAAAATTAAAATTTCTTACTGTCTGAGTCGTTATAATGTGCTTCTTTTTAGATTTATAAAATCTAGCAACCCCTTTGATTGAAATATTATTACATTCAGTAGCTCCAGATGTAAAAACTATTTCCTTTTTATCAGCGCCAATCAAATCAGCAATTTGCTAAAAAAAAATTAAAATTAACAAACATGTCATACAATAAAGACTTGTTACGACAAATTTTGTAACACTAACTTTGCGTGCATTTTCAACAGCTGATTCCGTTTCCCAACCATACATATGTGTTCTTGAATGAGGATTGCCGTGAAAATTAACTAAATACGGCATCATTTTATCCAATACACGTGGATCCTATTAATAAACAATTTTAATGTTCAATCGTACATATTAAAAAAAATCAATTATATAAATACCATTGGAGTTGTGGCTTGAGCGTCCAAATAAAGTGCACGACCTTCTGTTGGACCTTTTTTATATTCCTCTGTAATTGGAGCTGAAAATAATAGAAAATAAGAATAAATTAACTTCAAATGTAAAAAAAAACAATGCAAGCAAATAACGTTGACGTTTTAAATAAAATTAAATAGTAATTCATAATCTATAAAATTGTAAAACTCAGTGGCTTGAAAAATAACTTTAATTCATAAAACAAAATTGATCGTCATTAATTAAAAATAGTAACTAGTACAATGATCACATACTATATTTAATATATAATTCGCAATAAAATATGACAATTTCTTACATTTGAATTCCGAAGTATCTTGTCGTTGTCGTTCATTCGTATGTAAAAGCCGATACTCTTTGATACGACGAAATGTCAAAACTAAAGCCCTTGTGGGGCGAAACATGTTGTTTTTCTTTAGATTTTTACAGTAGAAAATTTAAAAATTTTCAAAATAAATAAGAAACGAAATTCACAAAATCAAGACACAAGTGCTTGCGCCGAGAGCATGTTGTTCATAACCTCTAACATTATATTATCTTCTTCGATCCAGTGCTACCAAACCAAATATATAAAATTATGAAAAAAAATTGTTACTTTTTTAAAAGCAAAAGAATAGACTTAAAATTGTTAATCTTTTCTTATAATATAATTGTTTACTTATTTTTATTACTTACTAAAATAATGAAGAATAGAATTAAAAATATTAAAATTAATCTTTACATTTGATTTAAGTTTAAACACGTAACAATGCTGCCAATTTCAACAAATCATGTTAAAATATGCTTAAATACTCTTTTTTGTTTAATATTTTAATGTATTTTTTTCTTTTTATAATAAAAGAAATATATTTTTTTGTTATTGAATAAAAGTTACATTTTAATTAACTTTTAATTTACTGGTATACAAATTGATTTTAAATTTTATGCGCGCAAAACATTTCTGTGCATGACTTCATGTAGGTGTGTGGTATTTAAATGTGTTTTATGTGTGTGAGACTGTCATCATTCTCGCATACAACTGTCAAAAACGATTGTTGATTTATTAATTTTTAATAAACTACGGTACTTTATTCTACAAAATTATTCTAAAATTATTTGTTGATCTGACTTATTGTAATAGTGAGTAAATTATAAATTTATTTTAAATATTCTTAAGTTATTAAAATCATACTGAAATGTCAAACAAATAAAACCTAACCTCTCTTTCTGTAATATGCCATTACTTTTGTTCAAGTTTAATCATTAATGTAATAATAATTCTTATATCAAATTGAGGAATTATTATTTAAATATTATTTATTTTATAGTTATTGAACAACAATAATTAAAAAGTTAAATAAATTTTCCAAATCGGCTTTACCGTAATTGATTCTTGATGTTAAATTATTTTCAACTTTGTTTTTGAAATAGAATATTTGATTATTTTTATGTTTACCAATTATTATTTTATTCAAGTGGTAATTTAATAAATAATTATTGGTTATTTTCAGTAACTTTTTTTCCAAAATGACACCACCAATGGAAAGAATTCAAATTCTTGAATCAATTGAAAAGGATATAATTGCTTGTTTACAAAATGCTGGTCAAGCTTTTATGGAACTCAGTAAAGAAAAGTCTAGTTTAAAACACGCTGAAAGCCACACTCATAATTTTTTGAAATCTTTGAGTGCTGTGGAGTCTAAATTGAGTGAACAGATCAATTATCTCACTCAAGTATCAACAGGTAAAATGACAAATATATTGCAATTTTTTTTTTTTTTTTCAAGACTGAAATTCACTTGGAATCTAAAAAAAAGTTAAAATATTAAAATAAATTGTAAATTTATTTTTTAAAGGTCAACCTCATGAGGGATCAGGTTATGCAAGTCAAAAGGTGTTACAAATGGCTTGGCACAGACTTGAACATGTTCGGAGCCGTGTAAATGAACTTGAACGAATGCGAAATAAACATAATCAAGGAAGATCTTCAATGAGAACTAATCAGTCACAAATGGTGCCCGTAAATTCGATGCAACAACCTCCAATAAATGCGACTTCTTAGTGTCAAACTTCATCATCTCAATTTACAGACTCATTATTCGAGAATCATGCAAACATTTCTCAAGTGCAATGGCCATCAAATTATTCTCAATCAATGAATTTAAATCAAGAATTTCAACAAGTATGTATGGAGACTTCTAATATTGATATGGAATTTTAAATTTTAGGCTATTATATAAACTTCATATAAAAAATGATAAGTTACTATTTAAAATAAATAATAATTTACTAAAACTTACACAAGGGAATGTAATGAATTAAAAATAATATACCGATTATTAATCAAACTAAGAATATTTATTTATTTCTATTTTTACAAAAACATTCCCATAAAAAGGCAACTTTTTTTTTTATTTAACAACATTGTATACATGTGCGTGTCTAAAAATTGAAAATTTTTCTTTTTGGTAAAGACAATTGAAAAAATTACAATTTGTCATTTATGGAAAGACGTTAGTGAATTATGTATTAAATCCTATACCTTAAGGTACAGGACCATCAATAACAGCAATGCTGCGTTGAACGGTTGCAGCCAACGAGAGTCGTGATCTTCTTTCTTCTTCTAACTGTAAAGTGAGTTGTGAAATTTGCCATTGCAAATCCACCATTTGATGTTTTAAGGTCGCAATAGTTTCCGATAAGCTTCTGTGTGAAGAAACAAAAAATTGCTTATTAATATTCAAACAAGTCGCAATCGACTTCAGAATTAGCTTTTTATAAAAAAAAGAATTGTCTTTGCTTTTTTATATGGTCCACTTGAATATAGTCTCTAAATTTGAAAACGAGAAGTATCTCCAAGGGAGAAAAAGATAATGATTTACATACCTGTCTTCTCGCGCATCTCCATCGCCAATTTTATTATTCATAAAGGATACTCTATCGCGGGCTTTATGAAGTGGGTCATAATCCAACATAGCTGAAATTCATATGACCGTTATTTAAATATAAAAATTTAATTCTACCGAGCCATTAAACAATTTTACTTGCAATAGTTGCTCGAGTAAGCAAAATCGCGCTGATCGTGTGAGCCTTGTGCTTGTTTTTTTTTTTTTTAAAGAGCGATGATAAATGTTTCTTTACTATAGTCTATAATAAACTTGTGACAACAAATGAATATTTATATCTCCTTTCTATAAGAAGAGAAGTTGCCTGAGCTAATTCTGAAGTCGCACAGGAAATAATCCTGATGAAAGAAAAGAATCAAAATTGAAGCTAGCGTTAATCTTTCAAGCTGAAATGACACAAAGTTATATATATTTTATTATTGAATGTTAATAAAACTTATTAAAAGAAAACTAAAAAAAGAAACACACTTGGATTATTTCATGCTGCAACCACTGTACAAAATGAAAAATACACTAATAAACATCTACAGTAACAATTAAATATATTAGTTACACATATATATTAGACTTGTTATTCACAACTAAAAAACTGTTTTTTTTATTCTCATCAATTGAGAACAATCAATATTATTTTTTAGAAAATAAAATAGTGAAAATGACAAATATTGTATTTTTAAATTTTATGTTAAAATAAACACTTTCAACTCACTCGAGAGGATTTTGTTATTTTTTTGTTTCACATTACTACTCACACAACAAGCAGTTTTTTTTTTTTTTATTTAAAACTAATACTTACTAGAATGAACAGTAAATCTGGTGTTTACTGTAAAACAATAGCCTTCAATTACTTTTAAAATAATAGCATCGTCCTCAAACTGTCGTTCGTCTAGAATAAATTAATTCACATAATTAATAAAATTAATAAATTTTATATTACAAAAATCAACAAGTAGGTACATAATTCACCTTGATTTTTTTATTAAGAATTTTTTTTAGTTTTTCAAGAAAAAAAAATTGTAAGCTATAAACATAAGAATAGAGCATTCGACAAGTTTTATTTTGAACAAATAATAAAAATATTATTTCAAACATAAATTAAAAAGTTATAATTTCAATATGGGCTTTAAATTTATATTATTTATTCTATCAAATTAATAAAAAATAATATTATTCTTTTTTTTTGACGAAAACTAAATTTTTGAAAAAAGACAATAAAACAAATTTTCTTTGGATTTTTATTCTAAAATCCTTGTGATCAATTTAAGATAAAAATTTCTACAAATTGTCAAAAATATCATAAAATTATTCAAAAATTACCAACTACTAAAACAATTGAATTTTTTTTAATGAGATAAGAAAAAAAATGCAATTATACATACTGCACAACTTCGTTGACCAACTATTCTCAGAAGAGTCAGATTTTCCAAAAGGCTTAATTGTATAAATAGGTGGAGCTGGTCGTAAAGAAGCGAGGCTCCAAGGTGTTTTAGTACCTAGAGATTGACCAATTTCCACAATTTGCTGTTGCTGTTGTTTCTCGTTGATTATTTTCGTTGCCTATCGTAAAAATATAAATACAAATATTACTTTATTTGGAAAACTTTTTAAAAAGACTTGAAACATTATAACAATAAGAAAAAAACGTCCTAGCTACGAAAAAAATGACAGAAATTTTATATAAAAAAAAACTTCTAAGTCAAGACCCCTACACTTCTAAGAAGCATAATATATATGTATATATATAATGGAAAAAAATTATCCACATTCAAAACTTCGATAAAAAGGGTTTTCGATGAATTAAAATCAAATAAATATTCAATATAATATGGTTAGTAATAAATGGACAAAGCAAAAGCGTACTTCCCACAACATGGCTGTGAAATAGAAAAGCATATCTGATGACAATGAAAAATAACAATAGTAATAATATATAATATATAACTATTATAATTTATAATTATATAGTAAATAAATAGTTATATTATATATAACTATATGAAATATTATAAAAATAAATAAGATAATGACGAGAATATAATATAATTAGTAGCGAAATCAATCGGCCATGTTATTGATTCAATGAAAAAAAGAAAACAACAGCCATGCTATGGAAGCTTGCCTTCATCCGTCGTCTCGGGTAATGGAATAGCTTTCTTGAGCCACCAATGTGCGTAAAGTCCTGAAGTGTAAACTTGATTTCCCTGAGGATGATTATCACTATCTTGTTTTTTCTCACGAGCATCGTTTCTGTGAACTTTCTTGATAATATTCTGATGTGCGCATGGAATTGGTTGTGAATAATGTTTTCGACACACATCATCATCATCATCATCATCATCATCATCATCATCATCATCATCATCATCATCATCATTGTCATTAATGAGACCAATGTGAGAAAATGCTGCAGCAGTCTCTTCTAATTTTACCGAGTCATTTGATTTTCTACTCGAATTATCAAAGTCCATTTCCTCAGTTCCGATATTTACACTCGATTCACCTGCACCCCATCTCGATACAAATATGTTAAGGTCAGAGAATTGTTCACTCTCCCGGGGAGTTGAACCAAATGGCGAACTACAAATACACTGATATTCAAATTTATTCTCATCGTTTTCACTCTCACTGTGCGATGTTCGTATAATGTCTGTGTGTTTTCTTCCCCGACTAGTTGTAAACGATTTATAACACGAATTCATTTCAGATGAATTAAAATGACAACTATCAGCCATACCGGAATCCGAGGACCATAAACTTGTTGTTGGAATGAATTGAGAATCTGCAGCTATTTCATTAAATGATCTTGGCCAATCTTCGGGTGTTATAATTTCTTCTTCTTCTTCAAAATTTCTCTGACTTTGATTCAAGGATTTCCAATTTTTGACATTATCCTCGCCAAATCGAAATCCAATTGTTTCATTTAAATTTTCATTACACACGTCACGAAAGTGTGTTACATCGAGATTCGATGCGAAACATTGTGATGATGTGACAGTGGCTGGTAAACTTTTGCTTGCCTCGAGAGAATAATGATCTTCGGAATTTTTTTTCATCACAGCAAGTAAACTAGAACTAGATGGAGGGAGCTGTAATTTTTGAGCACAATCTTGAGGTGGTGAATCATCGAAAACATATCGAACATCAAGTAATAATGTGGATTTGTGCAAGGGTCGTTTCTTTTTTTCAATTGATTTTTCACAATCGGAAGCAAGGGAACTTGTCTCTGATGTATAGTCCTGACTATTTGTGGGAAAAATATTGTACGTAATGGTGCATTTTCTCATTTTTACATGACCCAAATCGGGTTTATAAATATATTGAAGATAAAGAAGTTTCTTCATTAATTCGGGGTGAATTATCTTTTTTCTTACGAGTCTGGCATAATAACGAGAAAGCCGTGTAAATGGAGGATGATGACAACTCACATGGGGCATCACTGTTGGAGATCTCAAAAGACCCAGGCCCTGCTCTTGTGATAGAAGATCGATCCATTGTTGTCTGTCCTCTTTATGAGTGCATAATACGGTTATATTCTCAATCATTGGGCCTAAGGAAAGAGTAAATTGTTATAATTCAGAAATATGAAACTTATAATATACAAAATCAATTACCGGATATTTCAAACGCATTTTTTAAATCGTCTGTGTTCTCTATTAAAACAGCATTTATACCGGTCAATGGAAGCTTTCCCTGTCAAATAATTATTATTCAAAAATCAATAACAAATAATTGTAACACACGTGTTAAATTTAGAAAAATTTAACAATATAAACTGATAAAATAAATTTAATTTATGAGAAAATTGTAAAAAAAATACCTCGTAAACAAAAGAACTCATTCTGGAGCTTGTACTAAGAACAAGTAAATTGGTAGGAAAAAGAACAAAATATCTGTCACGTCGTTCAGCACCCATTATTATAGTGACAGGGCCAACATGTAAAATATCACCTAATGAATTCAATTCCTCTCCTTCCCAACCTTTAATACCACTTGTTAAAATTTGCAAGGCCAATTCTCTCTGCTTACGCATTAATCCACATTGCTCCTAAATGTAATTAATTAAAATTAGACAAAAAAAAAAAAAAATTAACTTAATAAAAACAAAATTTCATTTAAAAGTATTTCCAGAATATAATTATCTAATTTAAACTCTAATATAAATCTTACAGCAATTTCACGATAGACACAAACGCTTCGTTGTGTGTCGCCTCTGTCAGGATGATTTTTTTCCGTATGCCTTTCTAGTTCTTGTAGCATAGCAGAGTATTTATCCAGTCTTCGAAAAGGTTTACTTAATCCTGTTGTTAAAACTAATATTCCAGGCGTTATAGCACCATTGCGTTCCATAAATTCATTTAATTCATCTCTAAAATGATAAAAAGGAAAAAAAGACACATATAAAAGAGAAGTAGAAAAATAAAAATCATTAAAAAAAAAATTCAAACCTGTAACGATCTAATATGCAAACAGCTTGAGGATGACAACTGCAATAAATAGAATGTATTGATTTCATACGAGGAGCAAGATTCAGAAATAAATTTCCAACTCTTGCATCAGAATCTTGTAACAATGCACTATCTAAATTTGACAGAAGACGTTGATGGATTTCTAGAACGTCTTGTATATTTCCGATCAATTGTTTATATTCTTCTTTTTTTAATCTAAAAGAAATTATTATTAAGATACTTCATAAATTATGAATAGCAAAAAAAAAAAGAAAAGTAAATGTCAGTGATCTAAATAACTTTCTTGTCACTTACATATTTGATGTTTCAAGAGGTTGTAAAAAGTTAGTAACTAATCCCTGAAGTTCAGCAACATTTGCCCTCTCTGAATCAATTATATCTTTTAATACTATATCACGATTAAGTTTTTGATGAACTGGTAATTCGGGAGGAGATTTTTCTGGAGATAAATTAACTGTTGCATGCCCTGATTCTAAAAAAAAAAATTATTTTCATTTTTTTTTTTTTTAATTTTAATTAAAACAAACAGAACAATACTATTTATCGTAAATTATAAATAAAATACTCCAATTCTAAATAATTTGTTAACTCTATTAATAAATTCACCTGGTATTCTATACTCTTTAACATAATTAGAAGGAAACCATCCCGTTTTTTCATATAAAGTTCCTTCCCACCAGCCTCCATCATCAGTCTGTGTTATTGTTATAATATCTCCCTTTTTAAAGCACAACTAAAAAATCAATAATTACAAATTTAAAGACACGAAAAAAATTGTAATGCAAATTTAATATAAAATAAAAATTATTTACCTCATCGTTATTTCGTCCTTTGAACGAAAATAAGGCTGTAACCAATTTTAGTGGATCTGACTTAGACATTGTGAATTCGTGCAAAAAAAAAATAACTGAAAAATTATAAAAGAATGTAAGTAGGCGGTTTCACATATAAAATGCGAGTACAGATGAAAAATGAATCAGTCAAGGTTTAATTTCGAAATACATGTCAGTTTGGTATGTATAATTGTACCTAGATTTTGCCTGAGCCAAATATTGAAAACTCCTCAAGGCATTTGCTGAAGTGTCACTCTAATTTGTAGAATCCTCATCATATATAATATATCATTAGTTATAACACTATATAATAATATAAACTTTGATTGTAAACACTGTGTAAATATTATTATTAATAGCAACAATGCTTTATGTATGAGAACTTTTATTGTACTGGATAATACTGGTATTTAATGATCGGCTTGTTAATGATTAAACTACAGGATAATTATATACACTTGGAACTTGTGTCTATAAATAAAACTACAGAAACTATCTGAAATTATTAAAATCCCATTCCAATCTGCCCATCCCAACCATTTTCAACTAAAATCCATATGCCTTGAAGTTGGCACTGGAACCAAATAAGACTCTGATTGGTTAATTGTCAGCTGTCAGAATACACATAACCTCAAAATAATACATCTATATCGTTATGACTTGTCAAGTTGTATATTACTTTTTAATTCATCAAAATTTGACTATATAGATTTAATTTGCACAGTTTTCAATATAATTCTAATCGTTTATATCTTGTGAGAATAAGAGAAAAATGATTTTTAAAATATGGACTATTTTATATTTTATACTGTTATTGATTGGATGATTTCCATCATCATTTGTTTGTGATTGGTTGAATTATCATATAGGGTAAGTGTATCAATTACTGTTAAGGTCCCAATTACTGCGATTTTTATAAAATTAGTAAAACTTAGTAATTGAGAACATAAAACAGTTTTAAAATGACTTTAAAACTTATTCCTAATGATAATTGATATTATATCCACTAAAAATGCATATTTCGACTATTATCAAATTAGTTATTTATTTTTCAATTGAACCTATCACAGTAATTAGAGCATGTGTATATTTTTCTCATGCTGCTATTACTGTGATCTATCCAGTCAACCTAACCTCTAAATCAACGCTTTTTGCGTTACAGTAATTGGTGCACATGATTCACAGTAATTCATGCAAATTTGCAGTAATACCAGCATATGCCATTTTTTAAAAAGTTAATATTTTTAATAATATATATTAGTTTTTTTCAAGTTTAAAGTATCGTTTCTATTTTAATAGACACTAATAGTGATTTAACAAAAAGAAATAAATCATTATTTTATTTACACTTATATTATTTTATCATTAAAGTCGGTCTTGGGTTGTACATCACAGTAGTTGGGACATTTACCCTAAGAGACAGGTTCTTATTTTTTATAAAAAAAAAATTTACTAATTAGATTCTTTTTAAGTGAGGCCGCGTCTACACTAGGTAAAATTTTAGTGGAAATTGTGTAGTAGAGTGTAGTGGAGTATCGTGTAGCTAGTGTTGCCAACTGCCGCGAGAGAAACTTCAACACACACTCAGCGGCGTAGAAATAGCCTCAAATCAGCAGATATAAATAATAATTATTAATTTAAATAATTTAAAATAAAAATAGGGTAAGTATACCAATTACGGCGCGTTCATAAAAAATAACTATTATTACTATTATGTTTAATATAACTGTTGCAAAATAATTAAAAAGAATTATTTTAATCTTTTTTGATAAAATTTCTAATAAAGATGTACATTTAAACAATTATTAATTTAATTACGTGAGATCAAATTTTTTCCCTCGCCGTAATTAAAACAGTCTTAAGATTTTCATTGGCCTTAATTACCCGAGATTTTTATTTATTTATTAACATTGAAACTTGTGTATATTTTAGTTGACGACATTCGCAAAAATTCAAATTATCCAGAAATTAAATTATTAAATTTTTATGTTCTTCAAATAAGCGTGTAATATTACAGTAATATTACGTGCTACTTTGGAATCTATTTATTTTGTATACTATAATCAATAGATCTACTTTTATTGAAGGGCTGTTTCACTTAAAATTTAAATGAACAAAATAAATTATTTCCTTTTTTGACAAACTTAATAATCAATAGGAGCTTTTTTACATTTCTCCAGTCGGGTTTAATTTTTTTGAATCCTATTTAAAAGTAATCATAATTTTACATATTAAATTTTTTAATTTCATTTCATTACAATAAATAGCAATATATATCTAAATAGCAACTAAACTTGCGGCAATACGAATTAAAATATTTTCGAAAATAAATCAATTATACAACTTAATGGTTTCAAAGTTAATAATATTAACTTTTTTATTATTTTTTTATTTAATTTTTATTAGGTATGCGACGAACGATAAAATGATGACCCACAATTTGAGGCTATTTCTACGCAGCTGAGTGTGTGTTGAAGTTTCTCTCGCGGCAGTTGGCAACACTAGCTACACGATACTCCACTACACTCTACTACACAATTTCCACTAAAATTTTACCTAGTGTAGACGCGGCCTGATAAATAATTACAAAGCTATACAATATTATTCAGGGGCGTAAACTGTGCTAAAATTCTATTTTACCATGAGAGTACATACGTGTAACATATTTTTTTTGACATAGATAGATAATAATAACATGACCGATTAATAGAAAATATAGATAACATATAACAATAATACATGAATGACAGTTCTTTCAATCAGCTGTTTCAGTATGATTCTCCAGTAATTAATTGTTTCTAATCAAATTCCAAAAAAAGGTATGTTTTGCTATTTGTGTGATTGTTTTCTCACGCATTATTGCACATTGTCACATGTTTTAATTGACATATACATATATATGAAAATGTGTTCTTATAGTTTTAGTTCTAAAGTATTTTTTTCATTGTTTATTCTTTAAGTTTAATTACTCGAATATATGTCATATACATATATTGTTTTTACTTTACATAGTGTGCTTCAAAAATAATTTCTCTTTCCAGGATGGTCGAAGACATTAGAGTTAAGGAGCAGTGGCAACTACTCCAAAATCTCAGATCCACTGTAGAAGGATTATTAAATAATGGATTGTCAAATGTATGGAATGTTTATGGAGGTCTTAATCGATTACATAATATAATGGAACAAATATTTAAACATGGATGTAGAATTTTTGATCCTACTGTGAGTATATATGCAAATTCTTCATTATATGAAACTATATACTCACATTATCTTATCTCCTGGTGCATTGTCTGTTTTCTATTATCTAATATTTAACTTATACATCTGCTCTAGACATGTGTTTAAATGTAATTATTATTATTATTATTAAGAATTGAGCAATGCAAATGATTTGTTATAAGCGTCTTTTGTTATTTTGCCTCGTATAATGAGATTGCAATTTTAATTAGTATTTATATATATACAAAGACTGATGATTGGAAAACCCTGACATTTAACTTCTTTTATTAATCCATAAGAGTTGCTAGTTAAATATACAGTTCTTATTTTTCAGGGTGAACCCGATTGTTGGATTTTTATTCAGGGATTAAACTGGCTTCAACCGTCATTAGCGACATCACCAATTATTCGAGAATGTGATGATTATTTTATTAATTTACCAATTAGAATTGCTTCTCGGAAAGATATGTTGTGGCTCTATACAAGGTATTTAAATTAAATAATTAGTTCGATAATTATTATATTTGAAAATTTTATATATCGAATGTTTTAATAGTTTAGAAAATCACTCGCTCTCACAAAAATTATCATGGCTTTTATCCGATAAGGAGCATTTACTCTCTTGTTTGGAACCCTGGGCATTTTTATGTCAAGAAACATTAGCCGAAGCAACTCTCATATGTTTAAAAGCAGTTGAAAAAAATCAACCTGTTCTCTTGACTGACATTGATCCTTGTTTGGTATAATCATTGAATATTTTGTAATTTTTTATTTAATTTCGTAATTAAATTAAAATTAAATATAATAAAATTTTATTTTAGTTTCTACCAAATTGGAAATGCGGTAAAGACAGTCCCAAGAAATTTCATCGTCGTTCTTCTTCATATCCAGTGAATTTACGCAGTTCATTAAAGGAAATATCATTTAAAACATCGGATGAAGTTTGTAAAAAATGTAATACTCCTCACATACCAATAGCGTCTCAAAATTTCATCACTGATTTAAAAAAGAATCTCTCCATTGAAAAAATAAAACCCACAGAGGAAGAAAAAGAAGAAGAAATGAAATTAAGACGACGATCATTTCTAAGGACATGGAATAGTTATCCTGAATTAAGAGAAAAATTTGACACATTCGAGGGAAGAAGTACATCAACAGAAAATTTAACTTTTATAAATAAAACAGAAAAAAAATTAAATCAATCAATTCAAAAAATTGAATTGGCATCTGTCATTAAAATTGAATATTTTGAAGCTAAAGATGCAATTATACCATCAGAGAGAAAAGCAACAAAACAAAAAAAAATTTCGCGAAAAAGTCGAAGTAAAACAAAAATTCATTTAAATTCACCCATAACAAAAAAATACAATAGTGGAAGTTCGGATACATTGAATTATGAAGAGAATACAAAACCCGTTACAAGTGAAAGTTTTTCTTTCAATCGACAGTCAAGTGTTGAATCATCATCTGTTACAGATTCGATAAAAATAGAAATTTCCAATTCTTCAAAAAGAAAATCCTCCTTTTTAGCTGGTTCAGGACCAGAATTTATGACACCATGGAGTTTAAAGATTGAGGGTCAAAAGGATATTAGAACACCGAAAAAGAGTTTTATGGAAGATGGTGGCAGTAGTGTTCAACCAATGGCAACGGGATATTTTCCACAACCTTTAGAGGGACAAAGTATTATGAGTTTTCTTTCATCTGCACAATTTTCAAGAGCAAACGCCGAATTGGATAGAGAAAATGCTCACTTCAGTATTTCTGAAGCAATGATTTCTGCCATCGAACAAGTTAAATGTAATCGACAATTAAATTTATTTGAGGAAACTATCGATGAAAGTGACGAAGAAATAAATCATTTGAAACAAAGAATTCGTTTTAGACGCCGACAAAGGCAGGAGGAGAAAAGAAAAGTTGGAGTGTGGATTCGAGATCTTTTAAGTGACGGAAAAACTGACAGTAAGAGTTTTATTATATAGAATTTTTTTAATTAATTTTAAGATATAAAATAACTAATAATTCGATTGTTTTTTTTTTTTAATTTTTAGCAACTACTACAGATCAAAGTGTTAGTCCTTTGTCTTCTTCTTCTGAATCTCAGTCAGACAGTATTTTTTCGGATGATGCGGTATTTCCGTCTTCTGGTATACCATTAATCTTTTCTTATTATAAAAATTAAAATTATATATTTACATTTTCTATCGTTTATTTCATAATTTTTTAAATTTTTGCTGGAGACTAAATTTACTAATAGTATAATTTTAATTGGAAAAATATAATTTCAGGAATGTATGAGTCAACAGCTTCTTTGTCCTCGGAAATTGACTATTTTAGATCGTCTTCGAGACACGGTACGGAATCGAATTTAACTGATAGTATAATATCAGCTGAAGGTGTGGCCTTATCTCTAATTAGTAGGTTTAGTGAAAAACAATTACCCAGGGCAAGTGAACTCAAATGGCTTGTTTCTGAACAAGATGCTCCTCAACAGGTAACTATTATCTAGAAATAATTTACCAATTGAAATAATAAAAAATTGAGATAATTTAACGGCCGGAATAAAATTAAATATATATATATAAAAATTTTTATTAACATTTAAATTTTAAAAAGGTGAAATAATATTGAATGTTTCGAAAAATTAATAAAATATTTCATCCATCAATTTTTACAGTTGTTACCGTTACCGAAAAATTGGTCCATGAGTTTAGATGAACTAAAAGTGAGTGATTCGTGTCAAACGATTCCACTTCGAGGTACTATAGAATGGGCTCCTCCGAGGCCTCAGATTATTTTCACGCCACATCCACCACCAAAGTAAGTATTTTTGTAATATTACCTCCATAAGGGAAATTTTTTCACTCTTTTCATAAATATTGATATTTTTTTTTTACCAATAACTAAAAATTACAAACTTTTATTATTTGTACTTTTATTAAACGAATTTGAAAAAAAGGAAATCATTACAGTATTGCAATACTCATCACGAAAATCTAAAATCAGTTTAAAATTGCTTTTTAATTAAAAAATTGTTAAAACATTTAACAAATATATATTTTTTTCCTCTTTATGAAACCGGAAAGACAGTGAAAGAAATTGTTGTCATTATTTGAAGAAATAAATTATTTATAAAATTTCAAACGTAAAAGTTTTCCAAAAAATAATATAAATGTTGTAACATTTTTGCAGAAAGAAAACATCGATATTAAAGCAAAATTATAGATGTGCTGGATGTGGAATGAAAGTTGCAGTTGAGTATGCGAATAAATTTCGTTATTGTGAATATTTAGGAAGATATTTTTGTACCGGTTGCCATACAAATCAAGTGTCAATGATACCCGGAAAAATTCTTTATAAATGGGATTTCTGCAGGTATGCATTTTTATTACAATTACTGTCTTCTTTTATTAAATGAAATTTAATAAGGATTAAATATGTTTAGAAATTAAATATTATTTTTTTTTTTTAAATATCTTCTTTTTTTCTTTTAATCTAGATATCCAGTTTCGAATTTTTCATACAGACTTTTGGATCAAATGACAATGGATCCTCTATTTCAAGTCAACGATTTAAATCCCCTATTGTACAGACGTGTCAAGCATTTGGAACGCACGAGGATACTTCGAACTCAATTATTTTTCTTTAAAGATTTCCTTTTTAATTGTCGTTTTGCTACAAGGTAAATTTCAAAATTAAAACAAATAAATCGAAAATTTGAAATAAAAATTATTAAAATATTATTAAAACTTGAAATTAATAGAAATAAAAATTAATTCAAAGCAAAAATAAAATATTAAAAATCGATATGATTTTACAGTTTACAGGAAGCGCTGAGGAAAGAACCAAAGCATTTGTTGAATGATCCTCACATTTATTCAATACAAGATTTGATACAAGTGAAACTTGGCGTTCTTCCTGGTGAATTGCACAAGTTAATAGAAGACTGTTATGCACACGTAGCAGAATGCATGGTATGAAATAACAAAAAAATTTTTAGAATAAATTATATTAATTTAGATAAGTCTTTTACTGTCTATAATTATGATCTCTAATTTCTTAATTAATTTACAGTTATGTCAAGCTCGTGGTTTCATGTGCGAAATATGCAAGGAAAACTCGAAGGATGTGATTTATCCTTGGGAATTAAATAAAGTGATAAGATGTGAAGCTTGTGGTGCGTGTTTTCATATTCATTGTAGAAACAATTCAAGCACCAAAGAATGTCCAAGATGCGTGCGAATGCAGGCAAGACAATTATCTAAAGATCCACTTTGACCCAGGCTATATTTATACAGCAATTTACGTATTATTTAAATTGCTTTATTTATTATGTAACATTGCAAAGACAATTTGCAAATTATCTATTATTATTTAATGCATTTTGACTCTTTAATTTATCAAACTACATATAGAGATGAATGTTCATCGAATGTAATCAAAATTAATTAGTTTGAAATATTTCAAATTTATTGAATCTTTTTTTTTATACTTATAATTTATATAGTATTGATGCATATTTATATAGTGTTAATTATATGAATCTCAATAATTAATGATCAAATGACAAATATCTACATTTAGAGACTGTATATTTATCTAGTTAGATAATATTTATTTAAAGAATTATATTTCATTAAATTCTAATTTAGCTTTAATGGTAAATGTTCACCACAATTGATATAAGCAAAAAAAATTACTAAATGTATTAGGAAAAAAGCAGGACGCACTTTTTAAATGGTTGTATTCAGCCATAGGTTTATGCTTTAATTACAATTTATCTTGTAAAAAAAAACAAAAAATTAGGCACATTGTGTACAAATTTTTATATTTCAGAGAGACTGAAAAAAGGAGGTCTTATTGAAAAGCCTTGAATCTGTTAACTTTTCTAATTTTCTAAAAAGAAAAAACAATGAAGATATTTATTAAACATTTTTGTAGAATTAGTGCCATGTTATTAGACAGTGTCTCAAAGATATTTATATATGAGAAAAAAAACTATTCATTGTTAGAGACAATTCATTGTTTTTTTAAAAATAAAATTGAAAAAGTATTATATTCTAAAAATATGAGATACAAAAAATGTTTACGTTATAAAAATATATTTCTGCGTTATAATGTAATATGAATTTTCTTTAGCTTCAATTTAATAAAAATATGCTTTTCTATTTATAAGGAAATAAATAACAATATTTTTTCAATTAATACTTGTTATTTATTTTTTTAAGACCTAAAAAAGTGAGGTGAGTTTTTAATTTGTTTTAAAACTTCAGAAAGTTAATTAATTAATAAAAAAGTGAAATTTTTAAAAGTATTGGGGGAAATTAACACACAAGTTGTTTTAATTTTTATGATTTATTAATTAAATCATGTCGATAAGGACCACATACACACGCACACTTTAAAATAATAGATATTACAATTACTGTCGATATAAAAGTACGCAATAACATTGTAAATATGTACACCAAATAATTTTATCAAAAGAAAAAAGAAAAAATAGCAATGAACTTATTTATATTCATGTCTTTTTTTTCATCAAATCTCGTAATGTGTAAGGAATAATGTATATACATGTAGTCACAGATTCGATCTGTATTTACAACTCTGAAATAATCCCGGCGCTTTTCCTTTTTTTTAATCTTTAGAATAAAATTTAACTTGCTCCTCAAACAAGTTACATATTTAAAAAAGAAAGAATTAATTTCTATAAAATTTAATACCTAAACTCGTATTGATCTAGCATATTATAAATTTTCAAATTTATTTTATTGTATTAAATGAATTTTTCATAAACTAATTTAAGAAATTAAATTTTGAAAATATCTCGGAAAGGGAAGTAAAATCCTATCACAAGAATCTGCAGTCAAATATCAGTCTATTTCATTAAATAATTAGAATACATTTTAATGTGAACTGGTACTAGACTACCTTAATTTTTGTTTTTCCTAATCAAGAATAGTTAATCAAATGATTAATATTACACTCAAGATATTACATGTAAAAAAAAAGAACGTCTTGCTCGTGATTTTTTCATATTCACCGTTATCAGTCTGTATATAAAGTGCAACAAAAATGCATAACAATGCGCCACACTTGTAATCTAAAACGGCAATTTTCATGTCTCATTTTTTTTTTACTGTTCTTTATTTTATAATAATAGACTATCATTTGAAAAGATTTCAATAATAATAAATTTAGTACCTCGATTTCACTTCATGCATATATTTCAATAAATTCGCGAATGGATAGATAACGGTGACAAATTATAATTATAATTAAAAAAAAGTGTGTAAAATAACAAAAAAAAAAAAAAAAAAAAAAAAAGATAAATTTCCTACAAATAATTCAGAATAAAAGCGTGGCGCTAAAATAAATTTTTAACAAAAATCAAAATAGCTTAAAATTACTGAGACTGCAGAAGATTACGTTAATGGTATTTATAAATAGTAATAAAAAAAATGAAAAAAAAAATGTATAGAAATCGCTTTTTCTTTGTCAACCGTATTACCAAAACTATGCACAAAGCTTCAGTCATACTCTCTAGATTTCTATTTTATTAATCGTTAAAATTATGTTTCTCAATAGCGTTAGTCGTTTATCACATCAAGGAGTATGCACTCGTCGGTAGATAATTCGTCCAAATCGCTTGTCTCTTTTATTTGTTCGTAATTTCAACTTAATGAGCAAGCTTTACCAATCAATGTGATCAGTTTCGCATTCCGCCTAAGTTTTTTTTTTTTAATACTTACAATGCGATGTTTATATATCTAACACCTCCTTTAATGGCACCTTTGCAACTTCGAAGAAAATCCTGAAACAATTATTCAAAATTAGCTCCTTATTTTAAAAATAATGTAAAATTTTAATTAAAGAAAATTACTTACTTATGACTATATTTATTCCTAACAGTGGCGAGAGCTTCTTTGTGTTTTCTAAGTAGCCCTTCATTTAGCGCAAGAACAACTTCTTTTAATTCAGAAAGAGCATAACCCGTGTAATATTCAAGTGTCGGTGTCCAACCACTCAAATCCTTCATTTGAAGAGCGAGGAATAGCGCGGCAGCTGCCATTTTGCTGTCGCTAAACATTATTGTTGCGTAGTCCATCAAAGAATATTCCAAGATGTAACGAGCCAATGTTAAAGTTGGCATTGAAACTTTTGCACACTAATAAAAAAAAATTAATAAATATTACTATTTTTTTCTATCTTATGCATTGATAAGCTGTAAGTAATAATTTATTTATAAATTTTTTACCCGAGCATATCTACGAAGAAATCGATATGAGAGAGGAATTCCAAGATCGTAATCGACAATTTTAAGAATATTCATTTCCATTCTCAAAAGTTCTTTTTGCGTGTAAGCGCCGTCACAAATATACAAAAAATCTTCCACCATTGGAGGTATTCTTTCCTGAAAATTAATTATAAATAAATTTGTTAAATTACTTAAAATAGAAGTAAATATCTATAATAAATTTTGTATATACAATCCTTACATCAAATTTGCTCGCGATGAAAAGACTTGCAGCACCAAGAAGCTGTAGCGTCTCTTTACCAACTGTCACTTTTGTCAGGTAAAGATCAACTAATTTAACAGCCAAATACAAAGTCTCGTGATTTAATTCAAATGATTCCTGTACCTCAACCATCCAATCAACTAATAATGATCTCATCCATCGTGAAAGACAAATTTGCTTCTCCATGTAATCTCCAATTGGGAAAATTTTTTCTCGTTCCTTTAAATAATTGAATATATCCATTGCATAGTGAGAAACTTGGAATGGATCCAACCAATTTTCACCATCGAAATCCCATTCAACACCTTCCGGAAGCTTTCTCTCTGGTGGTGCATTTAATCGTGATTCTACTGGAGCTTTTTGTGTCACCGATTTTATAGGTTCCACTTCCACAATTTTTTCCTTAATCTCCACTTTTCCTTGTGCCTGCAATTTAATGAAAAAAATTTGTTATTACACAAAAATTAATAATTACAATCAATAAATTATTTTTAAGATTTTTGACATTTTTAATAATTTGAGTTTTATAAGCAAATTAATAATTTAAAACAATATTAACAATTAAAAACTTAAAGTTCCAAGTTTAAAAAATCCCATTTGTTTTTTAAATTTCAATAATTTTTTTATTGAAAAAAATGTGTAAAAATTTATTAATAAAAAAAAAAGATAAAATGTTTATTAAATAATTTTTTTTTAAATAGTATAAATAACTAAAATAATGCATAAAAATAACTTACTTTAAAACTAGACCTCGTCACCATTTTCAAATTTTCCTCAGCAACTTCTTCTAATGCGCTGACATATAAAGAATTATCCTCGGATTTTTCTAAGTCAACGCTGCGTCTTAAAGCAGCAACTTCGGGAATTTCCAATTTTTCTTCATCCTTTTTGACAAATTTTGTTGATCGTGCTGGTAATTTTGTCTTGGCAAGTAATTTATTGTCATTTTTCACTAAAATTTTATCCAATGAACGAAGACCAATTGTCTGAGAGGATATCTGCACTTTTGATGTGACTGCTGCTTTGGATTGTGTAACAATTGTTTTTTTCACAAGTTTCTTTGGGTCATTGACTTGCGTAAATGTTTTACCAATGGCCTAAAGAAAGAAAAAGAAAATTAATAAATTTAATTTCAAATTAAAAAATAAAAATTGTAAAAATTGTTAATCTTACTTTGGTGACATTGGTAATATTTCCTAAAGCTGATCGCTTAACAGTTTTGTCTTTGGGTGGAGAAGCATCGGCTTTTCGTTTAAGTCTGGTTTCCCTAATTACTACTGATTGTTTTGTTAATTGATTGCTCGTTGTGGAATTGCGAGTCGCCATACCTTTTCGCATTGGTACTGCAGTTCCACTTGGCTTGCTTTGTGTGCTAAGTATTCTGGTTGGTGGCATTTTTATGGTTGAATTATTAATTTTTTTTTTTTTTTTTTTGAAAAGCTGAAAAAAGTTTTTTTTCTCATAAAATGTACATAAAAAAAATTATTTTATTATTTACTCATTTATTTCAATAATTTTTTTAAAACCATCAAATTCTGACTCTCGGAGTTAAATATAAATTTCTATTAAATAAAAAATAATTCTTATTTGTATAATTAAAAACATAAATAATATAATAAATAATTCCATATGTTACGTGGCAAATGTTTTAGAAATTTTAAAAGTTCACATTAAATATTTGACTTTAATTGAATTAAATATTTCTTTTAAATTGAAAATAAAAGGTAAAACTAAATTTTTATGACTCAAAAAATTAATGTTATTTCATGTATAAAAACAAATTAAATGTAAAAAAAAAAATTTTATTTATTCAAAGGTTTAGAAAATTACAATATATATTTTAGAAAACTAACATATTGAAGGAAATTAGGTTAGGATTAAATACTATAGTATATAAGAGATAAAGTGTAATATTTGTCAATTTACATAATAAAAATGTAAATAAAGAATATTTTCAAATAGAGAATAATTATCAAATAAATTACATTAAATTTAAATATATGAAAATTTTGTTATAAAAAATAAAAATATAAAGACAAATTTTGTCCTTGTCAAGAAGGAGCATCCTTCAGAGTTGGAATCAGGAATACATTGACAAGAATAAATTACTTTAGGGTGAAAATTTCTAACTGAAATTCTGGTGTGCTGTGTATATTTACCAGAGCAAAAGGTTATGAAAACGAAGAGAAATTTCAAAAATATTTACAAGTCAGAATAAATCACTGTATCCCTCAACCGCTGATTTTATAATCAACAGAAGTTTCTGTCATAAATTAGAAAATATTTGAGACATTTTGAGGTGAAAATTCTAACCACCATCAAGACTGTCGAAAAAAAGTACACAAAAACGCGGGAACACAAGAAAATGAGATTTTTTCAGAAAAAAAATGCATCATGAGATGTGTATTATGAGTCTTATTACGATAAGATAACAATTAGTGAGAAAAAATTACTGATATTAAATACAAAGTAATTATATACAAATTATTGAAGTCGCTTGGGAAGCCACCCACGTCATTTCTCACGCTCAAAACAATCAATTATCTTGAATGAAAAAACGCAAAATATCAATTTAAGAGTAAAGTACTGAATAAAAATAGTAAATGTTCTTTACCTGCAAGTTTTATTCAGAGATTTTAGGTTCCAGAAGGTGTAAATTTCTCATTTATGAAAATCTTGTCACTTGTACGTTACTTCATATTCGTCCATGCAGCAAGGAACAACTGCAGTTAGATTGATGCTCGTTTGAAAGGTCAGTTTTCGGTTATAGTAATCTATGATTGGCGGTGCCTCCAGGTTTTGGCCAATCAGAATAGTGAATTAACAAGAAGAAAACTTAAGAGGTGACATCTTGCAACAAACGTTCAAATCAACAAGTAAGTATTCCTATCAACGTTGTAGGAATCCATGCTTACCAACAATTTATTTGTGTTTACAAGTATTTTCAATTTTCATTAATTTTTATTTTACTATAATTTTTAAATGTTAGTTTGTTTTATAGTATATTGTTTATTGTGTATCATATGATAAAAGCTTGTACCAAAATTACCTATTGCACCTACCTCTATTATCAATTTTGTTTGAAAAATTCATACTTTAAAAATAAGATATAGGTTATGTTTAATTGATACATATGCATTGTTTTCTTTGATGAAAAAAAATTAATTTGTTAAACAATAACACAACAGGTAGGAGTTTTGTCAGTATATTGTAATTATTTTCTTTGCTTTGTTTTAACATTTAATTAGTAATATCGTTGTAATTATGTTAGTGATAAAAACAGCATGATATTTGCACAACACATGTTATGAAATTTGCACTTTTTGCTATTTGTTATAATAGTAGGAGTTAATGGTATATATTTGTTTAAATCGTCAATTTTGTTTGTCAACATACTTAAAATTCTTGAAATAGTAAATATTTCTTTTTATTAATACTAAAAATATCAGTTGGTAATGTAGGAATTTTCTAAATTTTTCAAAAAATTAAGTTTTAAACATTTCTTTTTTAAAAATTAATGCAAATTTATTTTCTATTTATGCTATCTACAATTTACAAATTTTCAAGTTAATTTAATGTTATTAAATTTATAAACTAATATTTAAATAAATTTTTGTTTATTTTTATGTTGGTAAAAAACCGTTATTTTAAGTAACATTACTATACATATTTTTATAGATGCAATTTTTGGCGGGTCAAAGCTCAAACAATAAAAAAAAATGCAAGAAGAACGTTTTATAATTAAATATATAAGTGTAAATAATTGTTTTCTTTATCTACCAGATACGTGGCTGAGAAAATTATCATCAAAGGTTAGTATGATTTATATTGTTTAATAGATATTTATTGCTACTAAACAATTAAGTATTTTTTATAACCTCAAATATTAAATAATGAATTGACAAAATATGATTTTTTTTAAGAATAAATATTTGATATCGAGTGTTGATAATTTATATTTTTTACCATGAAAAGTCTGATAAAATAGAAATCGATAGTAAAAATTTAATTCTTTTATGGAGGCAAAATCTTAAAATTGTCACTTAATGGGACAAACAATTTTTTATTCATTTATAAAATAATTAGTTATAAAAATATAACTTTTATTGATAAATAATATTTTACTTTTTAATTAGGTGGCGGAACTAGGAATAATTTTTTTTTTAAATTACTTAAACTTTGTTACAAATTATTAAAAATGATTATTTTTTACAGCCAAATGTTGTAAGACTGACTCATAAATGTATAGATTATTACTTATCCTGGTTTTTATTACCAAGTCCAAATGTCTTTCCTTCATTAAGTGCAACTTTTGCAAGAAGCTTAGGCATTGAGGAAGGAGATGAAATTTTTATTACTTGTGAATCTGAACCACCTTCTCTTACAAGTATAACAGTGATTCCAAAAAGTATACAAGATCAGGAAATTTTAGTAAGTATTAAATAAATATTTTTTCTGTATTTCTATTTTTTTATTTAAATTATTATAAAAATTAATTTATTAGTTAAACGATGCGGTGAACTGAAATGATCCACGCTATTAAAAATTCTAAATTTTAACAAAAATGATTAGATTTTAAATATTCAGGAAAGTTATTTTTATTTTACAAGAAGTAATAATATTTATTAAAACAATTTTAGGAGCATCAATGTGATAAAATTCAATCTATTCTTTTGGATCAAATAACTGTTGTTGCAAGAAATCAATCAATTGTCGTGTGGGTTTCTAAACGACTGCATGTAACAATTCTAGTTGGTAATTATTTAAATTCACTTATTTTTGTTTACTTTACATTAAATAGAAATTTATTAAACAAAATTTTACATTAGATTCGCTCAATCCAAATTTTCGTTATGGGAAATTGTTCGAACATTCCGAAGTTCATGTAAAAAATGCAACTGATAAAATTAGTACAAAGTTTAATAAAAAATCGAAAATCTCTCGTGATATAAATTCCAAAAGTGCAATGTGGAGCATATTCAAGTATCTGCCACCGATATTTTCCGAGACGAATGAAATCTCAAATGAGGAGCACACATCCATTGACTTTCAGGCAGAATTGAATAAATATATCAATATTGGTCCTCCTCAAGCTTTCCGAGTACATGAAATGTTCAAAATAGAAGATATTTCTGAGGCAAATGCATTCGATGTTTCCTTACAGTGTCCGTATAATGTCTTTATTCACAAATGTCACTTACCAAATGATTTTCATTCATCACATGAGAATTTTTATAAAATCAGAAAGATTAAGGAGAATCGACAATACGATGAAACAAGTAGCGATTTTTTAAGAGATAATACTCAAACTGTGCCTAAAGAATCAAATGAGTTAATTGTTAAATTATTCTGTTTAGAAGATTATTTAGAGCAATGCTCCAGTCTTATTGACAAAGAATATTTTCTAGTATCTCCCTTACATAAATGCATTTATCTCACATCAAATTTAAAAATGAATTTAAAAGTCAAAATTGGAGGCAAAGTACTTTTAAAATCATATGAATCAGAAGAAAACAAAGTTACATCTATTGAAATTTTTCCTTTTAATAACAACGTGACTTGTGATGATTTTCAAAATTTTGTGAAACAACATTCCAAATATGAAAAAATAGTTATAAATTCTTGTGCTAAAATTGCATTTGATAATAAGAAAAGCTGTCTTTTGAAAATTAACCCTGAGTGTAAATATGCTTATCTCAATGCTGATTGTTTAATGAATTTGAGAATACATATAAGTAGTATTGTAAAAAATGATAAAGGAGACATTAATGAAAATTTAAACAATGATGGATCGTGGATTAAAAATATTACAGTCAGGTGAGACATTTTTTCGTTTATTTTGTTATTTTGCATTTTTATTATTACATTGCTTCGATAAATTTCTTATATTAAATTAATAAACAATTATTAAATAAATAACAACTCAGAACATTATTGTTTTAGAATTTTCGATGATTTACTTTCAAAATGTGAACTTACGTTACGTTTGAGTTTGGGTTTACATAATATAAAAGACTTGGATTATAATCGTGAAAATATTTTAATTTGTGGTGATACAGGCTCAGGAAAAACAACTGTTTGTAAATTATTAGCTAATCAAATACAAAAGCCTCCATATTTTATTCACACACACGTAATTGAGTGTATGCCACTTAAAGGTAAGTTTATTAATATATGCATAATTAATGTAATGTCTCATTAGATATAGGTATTTAATTATTTTGAAAGAAATTAAATTTTCTTTTACATTTATTATTTAATTATTAAATTATCTACTTTGTAAAATAATAATAAATTCAAAATCAAATTTTAGAATTAAAAAAAATAATACTGGGAAATAAGAAATTTAACTGATTAATTAAAATTTTACTATTTTTTGCAGGCAAAAAAATGGAAGTAATACAAAAAGTAATTCAATCTGCAATGTCAGATTGTGTATTTCATGAATATTCAGTGTTGATTCTTGATGATTTAGATAGCATAACAAATGCTGCAACAAATGATGAAGAAATGACTCCTGATTCAATGAATGCTGCCAGGTAATTTTCAAAATGTTTCCATTTTTCAAAAAAGAATATATTCAATTTTCTTTTCAATTTTTAAAATTACTCTTCATTACTACGTAACAATTTTTTTTCTTATGATGGTCTACAAATTAATAAAATTTGTTTCCATAATTGTTTTATTTAACTATTTTTAATTGATATGAATACTCATATTTTTATATTGAATTTTTCAAATTTAAATAAAATTTTGACTGTATTTCAGTCAAAAAATTATTAATTTTATTCAATTTAAAGAAATAGTTATTTAATGTATTCGATTTTTAATTTATAATTTTTGATTTAATGTTAGTTTCAATATTTTTAATTTTCAAACGTTTTTAAATCAGAATTTATGTAATCTTTTCTTAATTAAATTTAAATTTATTTTCGTGGTAAATTTTTTTTTTGAGATTGTTAACGATAATTGATTAAATAATAATTATTAACAAATTATGATAATAAAAAGGATGCACAGAAAATTTAGAAAGATTTTAAAGCGAGTGGTAAGAAATAAAACTGCTTTTGATAATAATATAATTCAAATTTTTCGCGCTTTTTTTATTACAAACTTTTACTTCCGCAGTAATGGCGGTGCGGAGATAAAACAACGCCTCAACTCTTTTCAAAAGTTGATTGCAGTAGTTTTAGTCGGTTTTAGTTTAGTTCGAAGATTATAGTTATAATTGTGTTTTAAAAGATGAATAATCGTAATCGTAATAATCGTTTTTTTAATAGTAATGATTCGTTAGTCAATTTTACTCAAAAAATAGTAAGTCGATCATGTATATATAAAATTTTTTTCAATTTACTTTTTTATAGGTTAGGTTTAATCAATTAATTTTTGAGTTCCATTATTTGACTGTCCTATCTCAATATTTATGATTATTTTTAAAACTTTTGTTGAAAATATTCTGTATTTTATCGTATTTTGATTAAACTTAACCTACAAAATAAGTCAAATTTTTTCCAGAATAACAGATATGATATTCAATACATTGTCACAATATCAAACGATCCATTACATTACATTGATAGCTACTTGTTCAAATATAAATAAACTTGGATCAAAATTTAAAATTGCGAAGGGAGTTCATTTCTTTCGGACTATTGAGTCGATACCGATTTTAGAAAAGGTATTTTTTTTTGTAATTTTTGATAAAAATTTCATTTTATTTTTTTGTTTTTATAATTAAATGTTACCTTTTAACACGCAGAAAGATAGAATAGAAATTTTAAAAGTTAGAGTTGGAGATAAAATGGAAGTATCTGGTGAAATTAACTGGAATCATTATGGAAATAAAACAGAAGGATGGTTGATCCAAGATTTAGTGGATATGTCAGACAAAGCGGCATTCACAGCCTGGAAAAGACATGGTAGTTTTTTAAATGTCACATTTTTTCGAATTTTTTTTATTAAATATATTGTGACATGTACTAAAAAAAATTACAGAAGCAAAAAATTATAGATTATGTTTATGAAGTTCAAAATGAAAATTCACAAAGAGAATCAACTTTCAATACAAATTATTTTTTTTCAGTCTTTATTACATCCAAAATATTCAATAAAAACTGATTTTGCTTATATATATATATATATATATATATATATATATATATATATAATTAAAAAGGAACTTTAAATATTTAAAATAAACATAACCTATAATTTTTTGCTTTTTAGATCCCTTTGTGGGTACCCTTCTTCAGAGTTTACTATATTTTCATTTATATGACTTGAAACAATTTTATCTTTTGTAATTGAAGTTAAAAAAAAAAACCTTAAATTATATAAATGGTTTTTTTATGATTATTAAAAATAACTTTAAAAATTGTTTCCTCCAGTGAATGATAAATTAAAATCGACAATCACGTTATTCGAGGAAGATTTATTGGATGCTTTAAATAACAGTACACCAATGTCTTTGGAGGGTATTAATTTGTACAAAGGTTCTGGACATACATGGTCTGATATTGGAGGGTTAACAGAAATAAAACAGACATTGGTTGAGATTCTTCAGTGGCCTTTGAAGTATCCTCAAATTTTCAAAAAAGCTCCAATAAAATTACAAAGTGGTGTTTTATTGTATGGAATGCCAGGGACTGGAAAAACTTTATTAGCCAGCGCAATAGCAAAAGAATGTGGATTAAACGTGATTAGCGTGAAGGTTAATTTTATTATAAATTTAATTATTATTCGACCACATTAATTAAAGTTTGCTTTCAGTACATATTTATAATAGGTAATATTTATTTGTTTTTCTTAAGGGTCCTGAATTATTATCAAAATACATTGGTGCTAGTGAGGAGTCAGTACGACACGTTTTTGAAAAGTGAGTTCAGAAATTAAAATTTTTAAATTAAGTAATAAAAATTTGATTAATCAAACAATAAAAAAGAATTAATAATTGTATGTAGGAAATAGTATTTGAAATAATAAGAAATTAAAATTATATGATTTTCAGGGCACAAAAAGCCAAGCCCTGCATTATATTTTTCGATGAATTCGACAGTCTTGCTCCTAGGTGAATATTAATTTTAATAAATAAAGCATAAAATTTAGTAGAATTTAAATTATATAATTGGAATTGTTAAAGTTTCTGTGAATTTATATTTTTAAAAAGTCAATTATTTTCAGACGTGGTCATGATAGTACTGGAGTAACTGACAGAGTAGTTAATCAATTATTGACACAATTAGATGGCGTAGAGGGAAGAGAAGGTGTTGCGATTGTTGCAGCAACTTCAAGGCCAGATTTATTGGATCCAGCAATTCTGAGACCAGGACGTCTGGATAAACTGTTGCTTTGCCCTCTACCAAACGAGGTAATTAATATTAAATTATTAATATAATTTAAAAACTAATAAAGTTCATATTTATTTAAAAATTGTCAATCAGTAGTAACAAAATTGTTTTTCTTCATATTTAAATTTTTTTCTTTGTTCTCGCATGATAATTTGAATATCGTTTAAAGAAAACTGCTAACAATAATAATTCAGATGTTATGAAAACTTTATAAATTTTGCGTGAAATAATTCATTACAAAAAGTAATCATTTAAAAGAACACAAGAGGAGAAAAATATTGAATATTAACGTCAATATTGTTTAAATAAAAAGGCAAAAAATAACTTTATTCAAATATTGTGAAACTTTTAAAAATATGTGAAATAATACTTTTTAGAGAGGATGAGGAAAAAATTTATAAAAGAATTGACGTGAAATATTAACGTCAATGTTGTTCAAAGAAAAAAATATAATTTGAACGTTGTGAAAACATTACGAATTAGGGAAAATCATTATTAGCAGAGGGAAATACAGATATAGATGATATCAAAAACAAATGAAAGCTACATTCATAATATTGTTGTCCCGGTTATATCTCTTTTGAAGGAATGTCACGTTTTTTGTTTTATTGAGAAAAAAAATTCTCTTTTTATTTTCATGTTTTATTCAATGCATTTTTTATTTTATTTGTAATTTTTTTAAATCAGTTTAGTACCAATTAAAGATTATTGAAAAATATATAAATAAAAGAAAGGAGTTAAATTTGTAAAATTTTAATAAATAATGAATTTCAGATTGAAAGGGAGGAAATTTTAAAGGCCATATGCAAATCAAATCGTATAAATATAGAGAATTTGGATTTAAAAGAGTTGGCAAATTTGTCAACGGGATTCACTGGCGCTGATTTGAATGCAGTTTTAACTCAGGCAAGATTAGCAGTTTTAGAGGAAGCTGTAGAGGCTGCGTCTTTGGTAAGTTTGTATTTTTAAAATAAAAGATTAAAAAGAAATTTCGACTTTTCATTTGTTACATATAAATAAGAATAAATTAGAAAAGTAAATTTTTTTTTTAAAAGAGTTTATATAAAAAATAATCTTGTTATAATTAATAATAAATTACACATTTAATTGGGAGTATGTGTGATACTGCCATTATACGAAGTGAGTTTCCAAAAGCCAGATAATATGTAACGATGATAACATCATTAGATTAGACTGGTAGGTAGATAGGCGGGTTGATGTGTAATATAACTACGGAAACATAGTCAGGTTTATTAGTACACGCCACGCTACCCCATTTCGCTCCACTTCATCCTCCACATACTTCGATGAACACTGAAGGGATTTATCATTTTATAAATTATAAACATCCGTTTTAAATATGAAATTAGTGTTTAGAAATATTTTTCATTAAACATCTTTTTTTCTCATCTTTTCAATTGTGAAATGCTGAGAGAATTATTTTGCAACGAGGGTTTCTTTTTTCTTTTTCTTATTTTAGAAGAAAAATATTATAGCTAGAAAAATATTCAACTTTGTGACGATTTCAATTTTCCATACCATTTAACAAATAATTTTTCTTTCGAAAATATAGGAGGAAAGGAAAACCATCGATGATAGAAAACTGACTCAAAAACATTTACTCAATTCGTTGAAATCGATCGATCCATCCTTGACATCAGCGGAGAAAAATAAATTCAACTTTATGTAAGTATTTCTATTCTGTCGCGAAATAAATTTTTTCTTTTAATTTCCATTTTTGTCTTATTTCCTAATATTATTAGAAACATTGTTTTGTGCAGATATTCACAATTTTCAAAAGGAGGAGCATTTTCAGGAGGTACTCCATGGAAGCAGAAAGCAACTTTGGCTTAATTTAAAAGTCGCGATGAGTTTCCGGGCGGTGAGTGTTTTTTTTTACAGGCATGATTGTTTTATTATGGATATATTATTTTTAAATAAAAACATTGATAATGTTTTTGATTAAAAAATTACAATTCATTTAATTTGATTGGCAAAAAAAGGAGTTAAATTAAAATACATTGCGAGTGCAATGTTTTTAAACAATAAGGAACATGTTTGGAGACTGTTTTTCTTCTAATTAGCTCGTCTTAATTGGCAAGCTTCTAATGAATGATAACCAAGCGTTATTATAACTAAGCATAATCCCCTCCGTCTCCAGTTTAGAGACTCCGTGTACCTCTACTAAACTTGGAAACGTTAACAGCCAACGTACTCTGTGCATGACGGTATAAAGTTTTCGTATTAATAATCGGTATAATAATTAGTATTTTCACGCGCGACTTAGCAGGAAGGATGCCTGCGCGAGGAACTTCGAGGATCTTGATTTTAAGTTCTACGAAGGAGGGCATATTTCACCGCGCTAATGTCCCGCCAGATAAACTACAATATTAGCTGCCTACGCTGTGATTTAATTTAACTTTGCCCCGACGACATCCGCTTTGCTTTTCGTGCAACTAAACAGGATGCCTACCAAGTCGCTCTCTACAAGAGAGATATTTATTTATTTTAACCGCGCCCGTCATTTATTCTGATACTTTTATATTGTATATATATATATAGTGCCCGATAGTTTCCTTCTGATGCTTTTGAACATTCGGTTAAACTTACTGGAAAATTTACATTTTTTCTTTACATTTTGAAGACGAATGAATATTCCCTAAAAAAAATTATTAGTTCAAATTTCTAGTGTTTCAAAATTCATAATATCAATTTTTTATTTATATCCGAACTTAATAAAATAGAAATTACATTGAATTGAATTTACCGATTCTTCATTTGTCGAAATTCTTCATTCATAATTTGATAGATAATAATTTATGATTAATTAATTTTTAAATTCGTTTTACATTCGGTAAAATATAAATTTTGTTCTGTTTTTCAATTCACATGTAAACAATTTAATTTTTAACACTTTAAATATTAGAAAATTGCTTGTTAATAAAAATTACCATTTCTTGTTAATAGGAAAACTGAGGAAACGTAACCTAAAATTTAACAATCGTTCCTTCCTCGCATAGTAAGAAATTTTTAATTTTTATCCAAATGCAACTTTTAATGATTTAAAGTGTTAAAAATATAATTACTTATACTTCTACTGAAAAATTGTTTAATGAAAAATTATTTTTATTATTTTGAAATACAAAAATGTTAACTTGAACAAAACTTTGTTTTGACTGTTTTTCCAATATTTTTAATTTGCAATTCGTCTGATGTGAGTATAATATCTGTTAAATAAATAAATAAATACCAGATAAATAGAAAATTTGGTTATATATATATAAAACTTTTTTTAAAAATTTAGTTGCATTAATATTCTGGTTTTTACAAATTTGATTGAACAAAAATTCCGTTAAATAGACATTCTGTTGTAAGAATTCTGTTAAAATATAAATCCTGTTTAATTAAAATTTTTTCGAATGAAAATTCAGTGAACTGATTGATAATTTGACATAAAAAATTCTTTTAAATAAAACTTTTATTAAATATAATAATATTTTTGTAATAAATGATAACATTCTACGTAAAAATTCGGTACATTATTAAATCTACTTTATAAAATTCGTCCTTATATAAAAAAGTGAGCTACTGGAAAATTGAACTAATAAATAATGATTTTAAGGGAATTCCTTCTTACATAACTATAATTAAAATGATATTTCAAAATTTAATATTTAATTTAATTTGTTTATGTCAAATATTATTTATCTTTATAGATAAACATTGAAATTAAAACATTTTCCAATGATGAGAAAAAGTTTTTTCTTCTCTAAATGAATTAAATTTTTTGATATAAACAAAATTGATTAATTGAAAAGTCAATTAAATGAAAAGAAAAATATAAAAGTGTATAAAATTTGTATTGAAGGCGAGGAAGCGAAGGAAACGTTTATGTGTGATATTCTATTTAGGGATTTTGTTGGTGTGTTGGTTTTTGCATTGAAGCGAAAGGATTCTTCGCCTTTTCAATTGGCGGGTTCTGACGGCGATGGCGATATTTACGAGGCGTCGAGGCGTAGGTAACTCTGTTTGTGGCAATTTCTTGTTTCCATTAAGTTGGCCGGCCTGCGGGGTAGATTCAACCCCCAGAGCGTTGCGCAACTTTGGCAACGAAGGTCTGCAACTCAGGGGAACTGGGAAATGGCGTACACAACCTTAGCTTTACACTATACCCCCCGATCAAATGATGCGCGTCACCGCTCACAATAACCGCTTCCCTTCTCTTCATCTCTTCACTTCCAATCCCATTCCATTTACTCGATTTTACATACTTGGACTTGTAATTGGGACCTTGTCTTATTTATATATATATAGACTCCTGTAGATTTTTAAATCCAATTTCAATTATACTTTTAATCTTTATAATTGTTTTAAATTTGTTATAGTATTTTTGGAAAATTATTTTAAAAACTCTGCTCTCTAAATACAAATGAAGTTTACGTATATTAACTCATTTATATTAAAATTTTTGAAGCATTTTTGTAATTCAAATTATCCACTCTTCTCTATAATATAGATACTTATTTAAGTTTTTATTTATTTTAAATTATAAATCATTAGAGATATCTATTTCATAAGAATTTTAAATCCACTGATATAATTTAAAAGTAATTTTTTTTTTTTTAATAACATACACTGAGAAAAAAAATTTAGTGTTTTCAACAAAATTGTTTGGTTAGGCAATTTTGGTTCTTGTAACCAAATTTTGGTTGGCTGAAACAAAGTCGTAGAGTTTTCTCAACCAAACATTTGGTTAAGCCAACCAAAATTATTTGGTTGAACATTTTTAAATTCCAACCAAAATTTGGTTACGACAACAAAATAGTTTCATAAGGATGGGTAGTCCAGTGGTCAGAGCTCCCAACCTTCAGTTTTAAAACAGTAGAGGTTCAATCCCAAGCGGAGATGAGATTTTTCAAAGTCCACAAATATTTCAATTAGATAAATATAAATTAAACGTTAAATTGGATAATAAATAAATAATGAAATAAATAAAAAAAGATAAAAAAAAATAAGGTAGAATAAAATTTTTAATTTTACAAAAAAAAAACTGTTTGTTTGATCAACCAAACATTTTTGTTGATCTAACAAAAAAATTTTGGTTGAGCTAACCAAACATTTTTGTTATGCCAACAAAAAACACTCAACCAAATTTTTTGATTGTCTCAAACAAATAGTTTGGTTGCTTAAATACCAACAAAAATTTTTTTGTTGGCCTAACCAAATTTTGGTTGCTCTGACTAAACATTTTTTTCAATGTAAAACTATAATTCTCTTAGTACATTTCTTATTGTATTTTCTCAGTACTTTGTACGAATGAACATTACCCGTATGATTATAAATAAATAATATTGATTTCATCAAAATTTGGACGATTTAGTTGTACAATTTGAGAAAAACAATTTTGTGTCAAAATTTATTGTTAAATAATAGTTATTTCATTTTTTGTGTTTTAATACCACAGACCTAAACAATTATAATTTTTATCCAATTTTTGCAAAAAAAAAATTGCTAATTCTGCTCTTTAAAAGATTCTCTATAATTTTTTTTTTGTAGAATTTTGTTAAAAATGTTTTGTTCAAACGTTATAGAATAAATAAAAAATTTTTTTTTTTTATATTTTTTGTAACAAAAACCAACAAAACAGATTTGTAGAGAATCTTTCAAAGAGCAATTGTTCACTAATTTGAAACGAAAAAAAAAATAAACAAAATGTTAAATAATTTTTATTTGACAATAAATTTTAGATTAAAACAATTTTTTTTTAAATTGTACAAGTACATCTTTCAAAATTTAGTAAAATTAATTTTAATTATATGTTAATAGTTAAGAGGCTGAACCTTCCTTAAGTAGTAATCATTTAACTTTAAATTTATTATTTGAAAATTCGATGTATTAGAAAAGTTGCTTTATCAAAGTTCAGTTAAATAGAAATTCTATATATAATCAGAACTTTGTTAAATAGAAATTAAAATTGGGCTTATTATAATATCCACTTTTTAAAAATTCTTCCAAATGTAAATTCAATAATTTTTAATTTGACACCACAAAAATTCTTGCAAATCTAATTTGGTGGAATTTTTATGTGTTCCAAAGAAAATAGACGTTCTAAAATGAATAAATTTTAATAAATTGAAAATTAAATTTAAAAAATGTATTTTTCTTTTTAAAACTGAATAATATAAATTAAATTCTAAATTTAAAAAAATGATAGGTAAATTAAATATTTATAAGAAATTCATAATTATTCTTGTATATAATAATTATAAACATTTTCAACATTTGTATAATTAAAGACAAACTTTATTTTGGGGATGCGGCGCATAATGTGTATATTTCTATGTGTATAGGCATCGTTTAATAATCGTCTTACCCCGTTAGCGCCTTATCATGTATATATAGTAAAAGGTTACAATCGCTTCAGCGACGTTTCGCCAACCAGACAGAGAAAAGCTCGCCAAAGTTGCGAGGGTGGCATCCTTAGCATAAAAATGGCCAATTATCCAGCTAACAAACTACCTTGGCGGATTCGTCGGGAAAAACCCGCGCTCCTAACTTGGTTAGCTGGTTGAAGGACATTAGTTAGCGCAAATGCCGCTACTTGTCGCATTTTTATCCCTGATTACCGTTTCTCGAGAAAGTTAATCCTATTACCTTAGTGAAGTCAACTGACTCGCACGACTAACTTGGCTCTTCTTTGCTCTTTTTCACCTCAGGCGTTGGCAAATGTATAGATGTGAATACATCCACTGAAATTATTATACTTTAGGTGTGTTATTTTTTTTTTATTTTTACTTTTTCTTCTTCTTCTTTTTCAAAAGAGATTGCTCTTTAAAGTCTGTTTCGTGATTTCAAGCTTTTGAGATTGAAAGCAGTCAGCTT